CTTGAAAATCCTCCACAACCAATCCACCTCCACCCCCTCCTCATACACTCCCGGAAACCTCCCCCTCGCCGACCCCCTCGCGCCCTTAGCCCCCCTCTCCCGCTCCCTTAACTTCCCAAACCGCTCCCGCTGCACAAACGCCCACCGCTGCGTCGCCGACCACGCCTGGAACTGCGACAGCTGCTTTTGGATCGCCGCCGTGACGTGCTGTTTGATCGATTGCCGGTCGTAGTGTTTCTGCGCGAGGTAGTCGGGTGGGTTGCGGCGGGTGGTGGTGGTGGTGGAGATTTTGGTGTTGTCTGGGGTTGCTGTGGTGGTGGAGGGGCGGGGGGTTAGGAGGGTTGGAGGAGGTGGGTTTGAGGGGGCGCCGGCATAGTCGTCGCTGTCTGAGGGGACGATGAGGCCTGCTGGGTCTGCTGAAGCTGTGCGCTTGCGGCCTTTCTGGCTGCGGGGGTCTGTTTGTTTGAATTTGGCCATTGGGGCGATGTGTGGTGAGTTGTGAGTTGTTGGTGATGGAAGAAAGAGGTATCCTCCAGAGTCGATGTTTGGATTGTGTTGGGTAGGTGGATGAAATTGGAGAGTGAGCGTGAAAGGTGTAAGTAGCAGGCGCCGCATGCATAGACTAAGGGGGTATCACATGAAAGCACGCATCCGCCAACTGAACTCAACTCAGCTCACTTATCATCACTCCTCATCCCCCAAATCCCAAACACTTCTCCCAAAGAACCCCCGAATCCCCCTCGCATTCTCCCTTCCCACCATCTCCGCCAACTCCCTCTCCCCGGCATTCGCCACATCCACCACACTCTCATACTCCAAAATCAACCGATTCAGCACCTTGCCATTCACCCCGGGCACACACCTCAGCATATCCTGCGGCGTCTGATTGAACGTCCTCGTCTCGGGGTCCTCGCCAGACTCCAGGCCGATCTGTACGGCTTTGATGGGATCCGGCTCGTCTTGGGATTTTTTGAGTTCTTCGAAGATGGAGGCGGTTTGGTAGGGCGAGGAGGACCAGATGATGCGGAGTTTGGGGAAGGCGAGGGTGAGGAGGACGAGTTTGGATTGGAGGTCGGAGCCGACGGCGGAGGAGGCGGCGAGGGATGAGGAGGAGTAGTCGACGAAGGGTTCGAGGGTGAAGGCTTTTTGGGCGTCGAATTCGATGAGGAGCATGGGGGATTTGTAATGCTGGAGCATGGTTTCGGCTTGGTTGTAGAGGCGGCCGTTGGCGAAGGAGGAGATGAGGTCGCGGACGGATTTTCGCTCGATGCAGATGTCGGGCGTGAGGACGTAGTCGCCGACTGTGAGCATGCAGGGGATGACGACCATGTTGCGGCCGTGGAGGAGGGAGGGAAGACTGCTGCGGAATTCTCGAACATCGACTACGACTCGAGGTGGTTCCGCGGTCGCAGCCAGACGACCACCTCCTGCAATGCGCGTATTGACCGTTCGTAGGAAGCTCTCCTGAGGATCCAGATTGTCCAACTCATGCGTCAACGTCAACGCCATATTACTTCTCTCTCGGATGAGCTTTGTGAAAGAATCCTTCTCCCTCCGCACACTCGAAAGATATCTCTGCTCTTCCACGCTTCCTCCGTAATACATAAAGTACACACGCACCTGCCGATTGCTGTGGCTGCTGCGATACACTTCTATCCGCCTGATGAACGCCGCATCGGGCTCGTACATGATCACGTACCTCGGCTTCACTTCTTCAAGCAGGTGATCGTCCATATCTCCGTCGTACGGATGTACTAAAACAAGGTCTTTCATGTCGTAAAGTTCGTAATAATCGTCCATGTCGTCGAGTGGATCTGCTCCTATATCAATCTTCGCGGCTGTGTCTTGATTGAGGGTATCATTTTGAGCAAGCTCTTGCATGAGTGATTGAATGTGCGAGTCCTTGTCGCCTGCGATTTGGACTGTTCCGCTCGTTGTTCGAGTAGGTGCTGCAAGTCCAGCGGCACCGCCTCGGACTCGTCGGCGTTTGTTGGGCGGTGCTCTTCCTCCCCGTGACGCTGCACCACCGTACTGCTTCGAAGTGCCATTGATCTCCTTCTGGTTCTCTTCGAACAAATTGCTGCTCACTCGAGCAAAGTCTCTCTTCCATTGCAAGTAGTTGCGCAGCTTTCGTCGCATGAGACTATTGCCGCTGGGCTTCCTGTCCCCAATGTCATCGTCGCTAACCTCATCAGCGTACATCGTCGTGAGATACTCCCTCAGCTGTCTGCAAGTCGACTGATCGCCACACATGACCAGTATGCTCCCACTCGACTCATCATTCGGCTGCGGATTGAAGTACACATCCCTCTCAATCTCCTCCAGAATCTCCGCAAGCAGCTTCCACTTCGGCAATTCCTCCAGCACTGGGTTCAACCCAGTCTGATCAGCCGCCAAAGGATCCGTGATCTTGCCCGTATACACCCTCCTCTTCGCCGAATCAAACAACGTATGTGCCGCATCCAGAAACAACCACGGCGACTGATTCTGCCGATTCGACCCAGGTGGCGGCTGACTTGCAGCCAGGACAGTATCCAGATATTTATGGAAGCTCACAGCATCGAGCGTAAGGACGAAATGCAATATCTGCCTCAGAAGTCCCAGATCCCTCACCGTCTGCCGTGTCTTATAGCTCGTCCGATGCCAGACAGGATCCAGCTGCCGTCTGATCATCGAGTCGAAGTTTCTATGCAGCGCACTATCCAAATTCCAATCGTCCATCTCCAGCCCCGAATTCCCTTTCTTCAACTCCGAAATCGACGCATCCACGCACTCCATCACCGCATTCTGAATGTCCTTCATCAAATCCGTCATGGGAACTTCCAGCTCAATAACTTCCGCCTTCCTCTTCCCCTCCAAGCTCTTCGCAACCGAGACATGGAATCGAGGATACAGCACCGGCGTCCTCAGAAACAGATTCCTCAAGATATTCGACAGCGGCTGGAATCCACCCGTCAAAGGCTCCGGCTGATCCGAGAAAGCCTTCAAGAACCCATTCTTGTTCTTCTGCCGATAGATCCTCACAATGAACGCCTCCAGTCTCGTCGCTGCAATGCGCTCGGCGTGCAGTACCACCAACCCCGTCACAGTCGTGGGATCTAGAAGTCCGCTCAAGAAATCTACAATCAAGATCCTGCTCGTGATACTGCAAATGCCTCCTCTCTTGTACATCTTCTCCCTCGTGCCCACGTTCGTCAAGTCGGTATTGACGAGCTGCATGCCGCGACATTTCGGCGAGCCGCTGATGGCCGCATGTTCGGCGAGAGATTCGCCGATCCAGTCATTTTCGCGTTCGTCTGCTCCAACTAGGATGACGAGGTTGTTCCCAGCGGCGTCGTAGGAGTGGAGGAGGTTCGTTACGAGGCGGAGGAGGCCGAGACCGCGGGCGATAATTAGGAGGGCGTCTTCGGCGCGGAGGTTGTGGAAGATGTCTTGTTGGAATTCGAGGGGGAGGGAGAGGCGGACGGGAGGGTCGGAAGAGGGTGTTTCGGTGGTTGCGGAAGGCATTTGGGGAGGAGAGGGTTGAAGTGGTTGTTGGACAGCGATGAAGTGAGGTGTTGGAGGCGAGGTGGTGATTGGTCCGGAGCTGGGTGGAGACAGCTTTCACGCCAAGATCAAGCATACTTCGACTTCACGGATGTACGAAATGGAAGATATGAAGCTGGGATTGACATTTCAATTGAGGCGAAAGTCATAGGGACACTCGTCGATGTTGAAATCACTTGTCGCTTTACTTCTCTACTCAGTACTTGCTCCATTGTCGATGTCACTTATCGCCTTAGTCCTCCCTTCACTTCTCCCTTGACTTCTCCATCCGCTAAAGGCTCCCCAGCCACCGCTCTACAACGAAGCAGAGCTCAAGGACCAGATTGCATTTAGGCAGAAGACATTAACGACAGACAAAGACATATGAAATGAGAAGGGTAAACTTCAGCTTTAACGGACGTTCGTTGCCACGCAGTCTGCGTGCTACTTATCCTACCGGTCATTAGGTCGGTGCCTTGTTCAGCATGATCATGTTCCTTTTTTCGCATTTTCCAGTTCTTTCTTGTCGCTGTCCTCTTGCCTACCTCTTGCTATCTTTCCATCTCACACACAACTCAAAGTGCGAGTCCATCAAAAGAAAGCAGGGCCCTGTCGCTCGTGGAGAGGACACGCGCCGTCGTCGATAGGAGCACAGCCCTCGCACAGAGGACGCATGCAGCCGTCGGCCGAGCAGGTGGTGCCACATGCGGGGCAGAAGGCCTGGGCGCACCGAATGCAGCGCAAGAGAGTGTTCCATGGCTCGATGCCGTCAGGGTAGAGGCTGACAAGCTCTTCGTACATGGCCTTGGCTCGCTCAGCTTCAGCGCCGAAGAACGCGTCACCGCGCTTGCTGTCGTAGGTGATGACGCGATTGGCAAAGAAGCAGCACTCTCGGCCGCACGTCTTGCAGACCGTAATGGAGACAATCGTGGCATTGTCGGTCGCGTTGACGGCGGATGGCACCTGTGTGATGTGGATGCCCTTGCACATGGTGTTAAGAGTGCCCCAGGCGTACTCGTGGTTTGGGTGCTTGACTTCGTTTGGCTGCTTAGCCACGACTGGTGGCAACTGCAGAGAGCGACGAAGCTCCTGATATCCCTCCGACACCTGAGCAGCCTCAGCGTTCTGAGTAGCTGGCAAAGCAGTAGGCGCCTCCGTGTGCAGGCGCGGGGTATTGCGGGAGGAGGTCACGGGATCATGCAGTAGCGGTGGCGACGGCACCCGCTCATGGGCCTCACGAAAGGCCGGGTGCTTCAGATTGAGCCGAGTGATCTTGTCCTGTGCTCTGTCTCTAGCATTCTTCATGGTCTGCTTCGGATCGTCGTCTGTGCCTGCGCTAAAGTCGCGTCGTGGTGGTAGCGCTGGAGGCTTGCTGGGGGTTGGGTCCATTTCAGGCTCGTCATCTGCGTAGGGGTCGGTCGCACCCTCGTGGAGGTCGAGGTCCATCTGCGGACTGAAAGTGCCCTCGTACTGAGGCAGGCCTGATTCCGACCCCGGATTGCGGCCGGCCATGCTGTTGTTGGTGAAGGTGCGTGCCGCGGGGTTGCTGTCGGTGGGCGGCATCTGAAGAAGACGCTGGCGACGGATTGTTTCGATTCTCTCCAAATCTAAGCCAGCGATCGGGCCGTCCCGCGCATATGGCGCCAACATACTGTTTTCGGAAACAGCGCTGCGTATGCCGAGCCCAGATGAAGCATCGGCAGAGCTAAATGCAGTCGATGGACTCGCCGGATTCAACGGACTCGGAGTACCCTCAGTCGCACTTCGGTACTTGTGCAAATCACCTGCTTGGCCACCTTGTTGCAGTGCCGGTGGTACTCGTTGTGGTTGGCTAGACGAGGCAGCTTTAGCAGACGGTGCAAGTGGCCTAGAGGGTGTCTGCCCCGCGGCTGGAGATGCCAAGGTGCCTGGCGCATCACTCGCAGTAGCACGCTTTGACACATGCAAGGACGACGGGGAGTCGAGAGATGGAGTCAAGGGCGATGGCTTCCTCGTGCCTTGGGCTGGGAAGTGATTTGCAGATCGGCCTGATGGTGAGAAGGTCATCGATGCCGGAGAGCGCAAGTCTTTGGGAGACTGACTCGAAGGTGTTGAAGTCTTCGCTTCGGGGTAGTGCAAGCCGCTGGGAGGTTGACTCGACGGCGACGAAGTCTTCGCTTCCAGGGACGGCAAAATCGGTGTACCAAGATGGAGACCAAGCCCAACACCTTCTCCTTGAATCTTCGGCCTTGGTTGATGTTGGCCAGGGATCATACCAGCGGCACGCTCACGATTGGCTTTTCGCCCTCGCTTGTCCGACCATGGTGGAACTCCTGGCGGCAGATCTGGCAGCGGACGATTTGGAGGGTCGCTTGAGGGTGGCGACCAGACTCGTGGCGGCTGCGGCGTGATCATCGCGTGCGACGATGTCTGATGTCTCAGAGCAGGCAAGCCAGATGATGTCTTGCCTGGTGGCAGACGCTGTGGGAGGTTGGCCAAATGTGGCGAGTCAGTGGTGCGTTGTGGCTGATCTGATCTCGGTGTGTTTGACAGTGCCTTGGGGTTCAATGAAGACGTGCCAGACGACATGCTGCTTGCCGATGGACGCTGTGGAGGGTTGCCAAAACGTGGCGAGTCAATGGTGCGTTGTGGTTGTTGCGATTTCAGGGTGTCGGCAGAAACTTTCTGGCTCAATGAAGACGTGCCAGACGATATACTGCTTGCCGGTGGACGCTGTGGAGGATTGACCAAGCGTGGAGAGTCAATAATGCGCTGTGGGTTAGATGATCCCAGAGTGCTTGAGGACCTCTTGGCGTTCAAGGAGAGCGTGCTAAAGGACTGCGAAGGAGTGCCCACTCGCGGCGAGTCAATGCGGTCGGGCTGAGGACTGTCTTGCGTGTCGGGCGAGGCTTCGTGTTCGAAAGAGATATCGCGGTTAGTTGTGCTGCCCGGGATGTTGAGGCCAAAACGCGGCGAGTATGTGTTATTTGGCTTGGGCGTCTTCAGCCTGTTCAAATACGGCAGGCCGCTTGGAGGGACTCTCGTGGCCTGCGTGATGCTAGTCGCATCTTCTTTCGCTGATCCTTGGTCTTTGGCGACCTGAGTGTGTTCCTCTGCCGTGAGTGGGGAGGACTGGGCCTCTACGTTCTTCCTCTGGGTGCTGGCGGTACGAGGGTTTGGCGGCCTAGAGAAACCACTTGAAGGAGTAGAAGAGGGCTGCGGCAGTCTGCTTGACTTCACAACATTGTGCTGCTTTTCGGCCCTCCAGAATGGCGGAGTCGATGGATTCGGAGTGGGAGGCTTGCTTGGCTCCTTGCCCTTTGAGCCGGGGTTGGACAGGTTGGGGTTTGGAGCTGTTGGCGTCGACTTTCCCTTGAACAGCTTCTTCAAGATACCGCGGACGAGCCGCTTCAGTTCGCTCTCGTTGGCACCGGTTTTGTGGAAGTCAGCCACCGCATTGTAGGCTGCCGCTGCATCTTCGGGCTCTATCTGGTCAGGCCATGCATCTGGCCAATCCACGCGGCTGGTCCGCTTTATCCAGTCCCTGCCGATCATAATCCGTCTCTTTCGTGCTTCTCCGTTCAGCTCGTTGCGCTTCTCTGGTGAAGAGTCCTGGCCCGCTGCTCGCATTGCTTCCCGTGCCTCCCGGGCTTCTTCCTCCAAGACTTGCCGCCTGACGTATGCCACAGCCGATTCCCAGTACTCTGGGTCTATGTCTGCCACGTCTGAATGAGGCATCGCAGGTGCTCCAGTCTTCGCAATTAGGAAGTCACCCGGGCCATCCTTGATTTTGGCGGGGCGCCGATACTGACGAGCGTCCGGGGGCGCTTGTTGGCCGACGCCCGAGAACACAGCATTGCGAAGTTCATACTGGCCACCAAGTTCGACCTCATGCGACGCTTGCGAAGTATTAGCTCTGGTGCGCGCCGAGCGAAGACTTGGCATGCTAGCTTGCGTCTGCAGTCTTGGAGTCGAGTCGAGGGGATCATGAGTGGAGTCGAGGAATTGACGAGCATCGATGACCTCCTCCTCGTGAGAGTTTCCTGTCGAGACCGAGTTTCCTGTCGAGACCGAGTTTCCCGTCGAGACCGAGTCCCCTCGGATTGTGAACGTCGATTGCTGAAGGGGAGCCGTGTGGGGCTGCTGGGGGCTCTCGTCGGTCAGAAAAGTTGGTCTAGCGCTGCTGGACGCTGTAAGACTCCGAAGCGACTTGAACGACTTCTTTACTTTGGGCCATGGTGTCTGTTTCTGTATCACACAGTCAGCAATTTGACGCATGGTTAATACTCGCCTGGGGGAGAGGTCTTCGAGGGTCGCTGCTGGAGCAATGCAGCCGCAGCAGACAGACTGCAAGACGGTCAGCTGGTTGACATCAGAGAAGGACAGGGGGGTTCAAAATTACCAGTTTTCTCTGAGCATCTGATCACTGTTCTTGCTGGACAATGGCTCGTCTTTGATTTCGTCTTCGGTGTGTATCGATGGTTGAATAGTTGCTCGTGATCGGACGAAGCTCGTGGTCGGTCGGAGTCCGTGGTCGGTCGAAGCTGGTGGTTTGCTCAATGCTCAATGCTCGTGGCTCGGAATCGATGTCTCATCATGGGCACTGCTCAAGTGCGCTGCTCTGCTGCTGCTGTGATGTTGTGATGTTGTTATTGTCGCGACCAGCGAGGTCACCTTGGCCTCGCCCACCACATTCCCCCCTTTTCAATCCCACCTGCCCGCCGCCGCTAAAAGCAAAACAAAAAGAAAAGTTTACCTTATCATTCACATCGCTGTCGATGGCACTCTCCGAGTCTAGCTCAGAGCTGGTGTAGTTGTCGGTAAAAGCTGGAAAGTTCTCCACGGTCGCGACTCTGCCTGAACTAGCGTACTCCGCCGGAATCTTTGGGACTGGAGGGACATCATCCTCGTCGTCGAGAGGGCCCTTGCCTAATGACGAGTTAGCGACCTCTTTGATGGAAATACTCAGGGACTGGCGGACTTACGGCTGAACACGCTGAGCAGTGAAGTCATCGACGCCGACTTCTTCAGCTTGGCAGGTCTACCGCCTCCGCCAGAGGTTTGATCTACGTCTTCGTCAAATATGCTGTTGGCGCGACTGCGGCTAACCATGCCGCTCCAAGGGTGGGCCATGCTGGCAGCTAGGCCCGTGAAGGTGGTCTTGGACTGCCATATGTTAGTTGGCGAGCCTTGTGAATTGTTGATGAATGGACATACCGTTCATGAGAAAGTGTATTTGTGTGATTGTCGGTGGCGTGCAACAGTCAGCACCGCATGTGAAGCGCAATTGGTGAGGGCGTGATCGTTGTGATGTTGGTGTCGGAAAAAGGGTGGTGTGGTGGTGCCGGCGGTTTGGTGGACGTCCAGCTTCAACTTCACTCTCGTCGGCACGTGCCGCAAAGCTCACACCAGCGGCGGACCAATAGCGTCGAAGCTAATAGCTCAAAATGCAAGCATGGCTACGTGCAAAGGGTGCAGCAGACGCCGTGCGAGGTTCGATAGTACCAAAGTTCTGGAACAGAGTCCGTGCAACTTTCACAAGGTCGGCAACGTCGCCTTCTGCTTCCATATCCTCGAGCCCCTGAGAGCCACCGACAACTTTGGGGGCGAATCGAGTCCTAGGTCGAGTCGGACGCCGGTGTTGCTGGGCAACGATTGACTGCAGACGAACGGGTGGCAGTTCTGCTTCAGATAAGCATATAGTCTGAACAAGGCATACTCACATTGCATCATTTCCAATACTTGAACAACCTCCTCTCTGCCAACCGAGTCCACTCCGCGTCCCCTTCACGAAGTTGAAACTTGCAAAGCTATACTAATAACCATTTCCATTTGCACGCTGCACAGCAATAACATGGTATCTCCTCTTACGCCACCTCACGCTATCTATGCAGACTTCAAACTCATGGTCCCTAATCGTATCGTGTCGTTTCGTTCGTCTCGATTGTCTCCATCGCCGTCCTGATCCATGTCCCAGGCCTCATACTCTTCAACTTCATTCTTCTACCGGATGCTATCTGACTTGGCGAATTTACTTCTTCTTGGCGTATAGCTCAGTCCACTCCCGCGCAGTCTTGATAGCCTCTGGCTGATTCTCCTGTGCACTAGTCAGCAATCATCTCATTGAAAGGGCGCAGAAATGGATCTCTATCAACCTTCCACTGCTTCGCCACTGCCTCGTTCAATGGATCCTCTGGGTTTGGTGCACCTAGCAGTGCCTGTATGCTGAGAAGGATGGTGCGTATCTGCAAAGCGGGAGACCAGTTGTTCTTGAGGACGTCGAGACAGATTCTGCCCAAGCGATCGATGTTTGGGTGGTAGATGCGCGTGAGAAAGCGTATCCGAGGTGGGCACATCGGGTAGTCGTCTGGGAGGAAGAGCTCGAGTTGGAATACACCACCTTCGCACTCGTCAATCTGTGAGTTGTCCAAGGTCGCAATGTCCGATCTTACCCTCATAGCAGCTGCCGCCTGGTCCCTCCACAATCACGTCGAAGTATCGAGCATTGTCGTCGTGCGGCTGAGCGGAGATGCCGGGCACTGGCTCATTCTGCAGTCTCTCCGTCTCTTTGATGATCCGCTTGGGAAGCGGGGCCGACATGATGAGATGGGTAGATGTTGCTGCTGCAGTGGTGGGGCAACAGAGCGATGTCGTCGAGGATCAGTCGGAGGAGATGTGTTTCGATCGCAACTTTGTCGAAGCAGCGGTATGGAGTGTGAGAAATCGTGTGCTGTTTGGTTGTTGCAAGACTGGTGATCGAGTGTTAGAGGTGGATTGGGAGAGTAGTGGAGGGAAGAACTGTTTGCTCATCGACAGGTGAAGTCCATCCTCGTCCCGCCCATCTGCGGGAAGGACCCACTTCACATGTCTTGGCAACGTCGCGTGTCGTCGCGGATGCTGGCCTCACATGTGACAGTCCATCGATCACTCCCTTGGACAACATGAGACCGGCGAATCATGGAGATCTGGCCTTGCGGGAACCCGTGTGATGGGCCACGGATGGACAACGAGCACGCGTGGCGGTGCAGGCGTGGAAGTCAGCCCCTCGCACAGCGACCGTCTGCTATCAACGCAAAATACACAGCCTCCTCAGAGGAAAAGGGCATTCTCGTCCGGGACATATCAAACAGCCAATACCGAGCACTTTGGACCCCATTCAGCGTGAGAAAGTCGCATCATGAGCGTGTTCTGGCCTTTCATCCAACCCGGCTGAATCTGCTGGCTGCCTCGAATGGATCCCAACTCGTCATTCTCGATATAGAGGCATCCACGACGATATGCGTCTTCAATGGCAATGGAAGAACGATTACTTCGATCTCGTTTGGTCGAGATGATGGCGGTGCCGTCGCTACTGGCTCCGCAGATGGAACTATATGCGTGTGGTCAATGAACGACACTTCCCGGCCCATATACCGTCTGCGTGCATTCCGAAGTGCCTGCAGCCACTTGTCTCTTGGTTTGGGCAGTGCAGGGCTGATATCTGCCATTTCTGGGTCCAATCTTTGCATGTGGAAGCTGCCCAGTTCGAGACCTATCGCCTCCATCAAAGTCAAGCCCGCAACGTTACAGTTGTTCACGTGGTCTTTGGAAACGGCCAATCACATTCTCACCCTGAGCCATGGCGGGATCTTGTCTTTTTATGACCTCGAAGCTGCAATTGGAGGCTCTCCTGCACGTAAAGGACAGGCCATGAACATGGACTCTGATGAGGAAGACGGATCCCATACTTTGTCGAACACCACGGAGACAGTCTCCCCGTATACAACTTTCAATCTTGAGTGCAGTATCGCTCAAGCGGAAGTTCTTGGTCAAAATGGATTGGTCGTACTTCAGAAATCCCGCAAAGATTTGTACTTCTACAATTATTCCCTCGAACATGGGACAATGACCGAAATATGGAGGCTCCACAAGGACTGCGCCATGGATTGCTTCTCTCTACGTCGTTTGGCTCAATCGGTGGACGCAGCGATTGTCTCCGACATTGCGATTGAGACATACAAAGTTCCGGTCCCGGTATTGGACAGCATGGGGTGGTCTCAGTCTCCTGTTGCACGCCTTGAAGAGTACCAGGCAATGGGGCCAAAGACTGATTATCCTCGTAGTGGCTTCATGAAGCCTCAGAAGAAGGTCCAACGTGTACGTGCACCTGGACGAACTACACCCAACAAACCACGACTGAAAGGCATCAAAGACACTCTGGGTAAAGCAAAATCGCGCAACATCCACAGAGATCAAGGTTCGAGGCCTGGCACTCCGGCTACAAACATGACTTCCAGCTTGGAACTGCCCAAAGAACATCACATCGATGACGAAGACTCTCCCATGCCCTTTCTATCACCAAACATACCGGCACGCAGAGTTTCACCTGGCTTGATAACGCCACTGGACGAAAGCATGCAGCTTCCCCCGCTGGCTCTCTCTGATTCGATAGCGACAGTCGCTGAACACGCTCATGAGAGCGACTCGGACGACGAGACCTTTGCAGGCGACATGAAAGGTAGTGGCACGCTTCTGCCTGGGGGCATCAATGTGCCCTTGCCCAGATCGTGCGGTGCGATGTTCAGCCCAAACGGCCAGCTCGTCACCTTCTTTCCATACAGCATCAAGAAGACCGTCAACGAAAACATCACATTGACAAAGGGCTCTGACGGCGTCGAAAAGCATGGCGAAGAAGTGAACAAGCTCTTTCCAAGCTTTGGTAACCTCTTGAGTACAGCCCAATCTCGCTACTCATCTTCGGCCTCCAAGGATACGTCGTCGGAAGACCTACAGGCCGTAGCTGTCCCAAGATTTGCAGTCCATTCTTCGTCTTTTGATGATGCCCCATCTTGGGCAGTAAAGGTGTCTCCCACCAAGTCCCAAATGCAACCCCTACCTGGCGATCACCGAGTCAACGTGTCGGTTCGGAGCTTCGAGACGCTGACCCCAACAAGAAAGTCTCTCGCAAACGCCTATGGAAGCTTTGATGAGGTCGGGCTCCCAAGTTCGGAGGTCTGCCGTTCCAATGCAGCACATGCCGCGAAAGTAGGGCTACAAACGAGCGCAATGGCTTGGCGCTTGCTGGCGATCATCCTAGATTCGAGCATTGTAGACCCGCATTTGCCTCGCAGATTTGAGGATGTCCCCGCGTTGTTCCTTGGACATCGGCCCGCAATCTCTAGAAACGCATCAATGGCTTCTAGTCGCGAAGCTCCATCCATGGACCCAACCGCGGACGTCATTCCCTTGCTGAGTCTCCCATTTGGGAGAACTTGGGCGATAGAGCGACTGTTTCAATGGGCAGAAGAGCGGGTGGATGTACAGCTTCTTGCTTGCATGTCCACACTCCTCCCCAGTACTTGCGAAACAATAGCTGCCCACTCCAAATTTTGCAGTCGTCGCCGTCAAACGAGAAGTGTTCGATCGAATATGCCAGCTTTGACAGGATCTGATCAAGATTCTACCATGTTTCCACCCGATCTGCCAACCCTGCGGACCGAAAGCATTGCCGTGAGGACTGCAGATAGCTCGCCCAACAAGGCTTACCGGTCCAGGCTATCCTCCGGGAACCCGTCACAACCCACAACACCTTACCTAGACTCGTCGAGCAGCACGCCGCCATTCACGTTTTCGAACATCACCACACAGAATTCTCGCATCTTGACATCCGGATCTGCCAGCCCTGAGCACCAACGCAGCAGTTTCGGCGCCGCGGCCAAGAATTACGCCGCCTCGATCGCAGAAAAGTTCAGTTCCTACGGCTCGTCTCCGCCGCTCAAAAGATTGGGGACCAGTCCGGGTAACGAACTTTCTTCGAGTCTGCCGAACGCGACTGGCAGCTGGAGCAAGTCAGTCTCCTTCGCTTCGACGATGGAGCCTTCGAGGGGAAGTCGCCGAAGTCTGAGCCTTGCCCAAGAAGACGACAATTATGATAGCGACAGAACAGTGGATGACAACAGTGTATTGCACACGCCAAAGAAGCCTCACACAGGGGTTTCTATGATGAAGAAGAAGGGCAGCTTTTACGGCGAGGCAACGACGACTATGCCGACCCAGCTGGTTCCCGAGCAGCTCTCCATGAAATCCAGCTTCTGGCGTCATCGCTATGCTGAGCACCTTCGGTCATGGGACATGCTTACCGATGCAGCAGACATGACCAACTTCTCGTCAACAAGTGTGCCGCAGTCGTTGGATAGCAGTCATAGCGAGCAGAGTGTGGTGCCGGAGACCCACTCAGGAAGACGATTCAACGACTGCAGCATATGTTACTGCGTTGTGCAAGCTGCCGAGCAGGTCTGTCCTGCATGTTTGCATGTTACACATCCTGGCTGCCTGGAAGAGTTCCTCTCCGCCGTGGGTCCTGACAGTTTTACATGTCCCACTGGGTGCGGCTGCGACTGCACATCTGCAACTGAAATGTCCTTCGCTTCAGAAGACACGGCCATCGAGGAAGAAGCACAGCACAAGCAGCCTTTCAAGAAGAGGCCCAGCTTGACAGATCCTCTTCGCCTGCGACAAAGATTGCAGGGCGAGTCCTGGTGAAAACACTACCCAATCCCACAGCATTCGCTTACACCGATGCCGTGAGACGCCTGCCATCTCGGACTTCGGCCGGACGAACTGCGTATGCAAGCTTGCTCGTTTTCTTGACGATTCGCGCGTTTCAAGTTGCAGCGAAATATGGTACGGCGAATCACAAGTCTCCTCGGTGAGGACGTTTCGAATCATTTCACATGCTTTGTACGTTTTAGGGGCCGGGCCTTGGCAGGGGCTTCTTAAATAAGCATATTAAGCTTCGAGATCTCCGTGGGGGACGCCGATCCTGTAGATCTACGCCCTCAATCTCGCGACTCGAAAAGCTCCCAACCTCACCCTTTCGCGCGCAATACTCTTTCAGTCGACCAAGTATACCACGAAGGGCGCCGTCACTAGCTCAGGATTATCATCAGTCTGAACAACATCGAGACGACCGCGTCGAGACACCATTCGGCTGAGAAGTACTCTACACCACCGACATTCAAGCGGTGTGGCCGCCAGCCTCTATGATGCACCAGTCAAAAGGGAGCGTCCATCACACTACTGTCAGAGATGACCCCAGCCCTCCCAGTACAAACGACATTCCCAAGAGAAAGCCAAGCCGCCTTGTCCGAGCAATCACCAACCCGAATGAAGTGCTTTCTGGCTTGATCCCACAGCCTAAGCCCCAGGACCCGAATGCGAAGCGCCTCGAGGACTTCAAGATCGCACGAGCGTTGGGTGGTATTGGACTAGACTATGGTATCGGCGAGCCCGATAAGCCAAAGGAACTTCCTCCCGCCGAAAGCCCCATCTTCCCAGTCGTGATCGACTCAACAGTCGAAGACAAACTTCCCAGAGGCTACAACATTCGATCACTACAAAGAGACGATTACGACAGGGGATACACGAAGCTGAAGTCAGTCGGACCAATCACAATACCTGCGTGGGACGAACGATGCGAGTATATGCGCTCTAGAAACGACATCTACACGATTCTGGTCATCACAGATAACATGGATCAGATTGTCGCAACTGGCACACTGATCATTGAGTTCAAATTTGCCAGCAGTCTAAGTAAAGTCGGCCACATCGAGGATCTGGCAGTTGGAGAAGGCCAGAGCGGCAAGAATCTCGGCTTGAGGCTGCTTGACCAACTGGACCGATTGGCATCGAACGCCGGCTGCGTGAGGACCGTCTTGGGCACGCAAGAGCAAAATGAAGCTTTCCACAAGCAGAAGAGTGAGTTATTCCAAGATTGTATACCTCGACTACGCTAATCTCTTGATTCTCAGACTTCAGACGGACCGGCATTGAGATGACCCACGTCTACACACCGCAGTTGAGCAAAAGAGGCGGTGATGATTCTAGGAATCCCTTCCGCGATCGAAGCAGAGAACCCAAGAGTCGGAATGGCAGTCCTGAAAGGAGGGAGAGGGAACGTTCGATTGCAGCGGCGAGGCTGGCCGAGCCTGTGACACCAAATGAGACAATCTGAAGAGGTGAACATTGAAAGACGCAGACGGCAAACGTACATCGACACTGTAATTGGCTTGGGGGCTTATATTAGACATGGACAGCAGCGGAGGCGCTCGAGGAGTTCTGTTTCCATGCTCGCAACTACGATACCACCGAATGGGACACGGCGCAACAGGACGGAGATGTATGTACAGAGAACAAGCAGACGCAATTGACTAATCATGCACCACCCTCATCCCATCCTCGGTCCACATATGACTCCCTCCTCACGGCGGCGAGAACGGCCACCCAATGACATTCGCCTTCAAGAAATCCGGTTCCTTCTCAAACCTCTCCTCGCAAACCTGCTTCAGCTCATCGACATCCCAATTCGCATACACAAACCTCCCTCGCAGAAACCTCGCCTCAGGACTCGCCAACCACACCGCAAAGTCCGCTGGCAGCTGCAATGTATCCGTCCCGGTTTTGGCCTTTTGCGTCGCGGCGTAATCGCCGAAGAACTTGTTGTACATGTCCGTGTCGACTTAAAACCCAAACACATCAGCACACCTAACTCGACCTCAGGGAAAGTGGTACAGAGGACTTACCACCGCCAGGATGAAAGCTCACGACATACAAATCCTCTTCCTCCTGCGCCAGACACTCCATCATCCTTGCCAACGCCAACTTCGACACGATGTACGAGGAGCGTTCCGGGTATTGGTAATTGATGACGAGGGAATTCGTCGAAAGAACGGAGGCGTTGGGTTTGCGGTGCGGGAGGAGGGCTTGCAGAACTACCAAGGAGCCTTTCAAGGAAATCTGCCCCATGTCGTCGGTCAGTACTGCTAGATGGTATAAGTGATAAAATGATGGTATACCTCAAAAGCCTTCCACCAATCCCCCACATCCGCCTCCCCAAGCTTCCCCTTCTCACTTAAATACCCCGAATTCAACACAAGCACATCCCATCCACCCTTGACTCCATCTACCGCTCTCTTCACACCCTCCTCATCACAAATATCGCCCACCCAAATCCGCACCTCAACACCCTTAACCTGCCTCTCAACCAACGCCTTCGTCTCCTCGAGCAACTCCCCTCTCCTACCTCCAAATAACGTGATGTTCGCCACCCCAGCCCGCGCGAAAGAAAAGACGGTCTCACGCCCGATGCCGCTGCCGCCGCCTGTAATAATTACGTGTTTACCCGGTAGGCGGAGGGTGGGGTTTTGGAGGGGCGAGATGCGAGGGTAGGTGTCGGAGTGGAAGGTCGGTACGGGGCTGGGGAGGTTGTTGGGGTTGCGGATGTATTTGGAGGGAGAGGAGGTCATTGGGTCTCTTGGAGAATGTGAGAGGGAGAAAAGCGGGATTTGTCGATGTGAAGATTCGAAGGAAAGGTGAGATGTATCCCTCCTCCGCGTCAGAAAGAAGACAATGGACGCTCAGCCTACCTCGTATACATATACCTGATTCTCCACATCACCAACCGCCAAAACTGGGCATACCAAAACACGCTGACATCCCAGGTAATAAAGTCGGACAAGTAAAGTGGTTAAACTTTCCAGCTCTGCATCCTATCATCCTCAGCTCCCATCCTTCAGCGAGGTACTTGCTGACTTTCGCAAATGCTAGCCTGTTATGTAACGCCACAGGAGCGTTTTCCTGATGTTTTCGTTGCTCCAGTGGGTTTTTTCCTGATGGAGGTGCGTGGTTGCGAGTGTGATGATGGTTCTACCGATTTTAGACATTGAGGAAGGCTGATTTTGGGTCTGTCTTGCGGCCAACGGGAGACGAAATTTGTGAGGATTCTCACTGATACGTGATATAGAAACAGACAAGATATGATACACTATCGATACAATTCCCGAAGCACTGAAAGCATTTTGGCTAGTCCTCGCCGTTGCTCTTCTCACCTCACCGGCCGGGTATACCTAGGCTTCGCCCTCACAACATGACTCTGCACACTACTCCCATCATCCGACCTCCCCTGACCCATCTGACTCCGACTGCGGCTCGACTTCGACGACGTAACCGACCCAGCCGCCTCATCATTCGACGGCAAAACCATAACGACCATCCACAGCCCGACGTTTCCCTGCACACGAAGACGATTAGCAGCGATATCGAGAGTATAAGGAGTGGCGAACGCACGGTATGATGCATCAGCGGCGTGCAGTGGATCCACCTCCAGGCGCCTTCGCCTTCGCCTTCTTCGTTTGGGGAGGACAACCAGCGGACTCGGGCTGTTACGACTTGGGCGTCTTGGAAGGAGGTGTTAAGGTCGCTGCGCATGCGGTCTCCGCCTATGTGGTGTAGGAAGTGTGATTGGACCATGCCGGGGAGGCGTAGAGTCGGGGAGGCGAAGAGGACGCGGAGAGATGGGACTGGACGGATGATGAGGTACTAGTAGATCCTTCAGGTCAGGTATGTGGGTATTAAGTTGTTGTCAAGGAGAGGGACTTACGTTCTTGTACACCAACGAAAGATTGATCTCCTGCGGAGGGATACCTGCCGGGTGAGTCTCCCCGTTGGCTTCATTCGATTGCTGCTGCTGCTGCTGCTGTTGGGGCCGAGAACTCATGATCTCTCCTTGATCAGAATCATCCGAACCATCGGCAAGAATCACACGATTGGGCGTGAAGGCAGTCTTGCGAGGCGTCTTGCTCTGCAGCTCTTGGTCTTCAACGCTTTTGTGTAGCACGCCGCCGTACTTTCCAATAGTGTCCAATTCTGAACCGCTCAGCATCTGGCTCAGAGGCTGGATGTCCGTTGCCGGATCTGTGCTGCTCAGGTTTTGATTTCTGCGGTCATGGTGACTGCCGTGCTCGATCAGCTTGACAAGACTGTCCATTCCACTACAGTTCTTGAGAAGTCCGGATACGTCGACCTGAGCTCCGAGATAGTATCGCATGTTGCCGTCGCTTTTCAATCCCATTAGCACGAGACACTGATCGAGAAAGAGTTCCCTCACCTATCAAGCAGCTGTGCATTCATCACCAGCGCTAGAAACGGACTCCCATCCCTCCGATAATTAACAAAAATCTCAGAATGATCCCGTCGCTCCTTCATCGACTCGGCAAATCGTTGACAAGAGTCCACCGTCGTGCCCGGGCCCTGCATAAAGCGACAATTACGACCGAGAATATAGTCCATATTGCACCCAGAATGTCGTGTAAACGCCGGCGACGCCAGGATGATGGGGTTGTCCTGGCGGGTAGGATCAGTTATACAAAACACTTCGGCGAGCCCATGGCTGGCTTCGCGGAGTGGTGCTGGCAAAGTTCCTGTGATGCGGCTCTGCATGACGGCGCGGACGATGTCGATGTATGTGTTTGCGATGTACCAGTGTAGGTCTTCTCGGAGGAGTTCGTCGAATGCTGCTTGTGCTGCTTCGCGGAGTTGGGTGTTGTTCGTGAGTCCCGGGGGATGGATACCGCCGATGTGGAGGCCCGGGGGCGTCTTTTGAGACAATAGTCTTGTTAGAGAGTTGTGGTATTCGAGAGCTCGGAGTGCTTTCAGCGCATCCCAGTAGTAGGCCAAGAGGGGAAGTCTCCAAGGCCTGTAATTGCGTAAGAAAGAGGAGAATTTGGTGTGGAATTCGGTGTCCTGTAACAAAGGGTGAGCAGGTATGCAATGCATGAGATTAAAGCACCCTACCTCCAGAATGACATGCAGATGATCGGCGCTATACAGCTCTTCAGCCCGCCGCTCGAGCGAGTACAGTTGCTGGTCCCATTCCCGAGCAGTCCTCGTGTTCGGATTGATGACATCCCACGAGTTCGGGTCATCGACGACATTGAGTTCTGTTTCAAGCACATCACTGCGATCCGCAGACGGAACTTGAAGCTGAGCCAGCGCCTCAGAATCCAACTTGGAGGGTTTGTTGGACGAGGAGGCGGTAGATCCTGGACCTAGCGACCATATCTGTCCTGTCTGCGATGCAGGTGGGGGATCGGCGGATCTTCCTCGTGTTGATTTGGCTGCCAAAGAAGGCGCCTGCATGCTTCCATTGCTGATAAAATGTTAGCGAAACATGAAGTGTTATCCAGTAGATCTAACAGACCTCAACCGCCCAAGAATTGGACTATCCGGCACCCCGCCCCTCGGATGAAGCAACTTCTCATCGAACGGTCCAAACTCATCGTTCACAGCCTTCTCCGAAGCATGACCATTCTGCTGCAGAAAATCGTTCGGACGAGGCATCTTCTTATCCCTCGAGGGCTCCTGGTTGTAAACAACAGCCTCCCTATTAACGCTCGAAACCCGCTGTGGAAAGGGTCTCGATGGCAAAGGATCCGTCGGGGGATCCATGCTTGGAGGGAGCGCTGTCATGCTGGGTGACTTCTTGACGGTCTGGTGGACGAAGAGACTCCATGGCTCTTTGGAGTCGACGTTATCCGGAGCGGGCTGCACATGAAATCAATCAAAATCAGAATGCAAAGTCAGAGGCGCAGCGTCTCACTTACGATGAATACACGCTCCTTGCCTTCATCCACCCGCGGAAGTGGATCCGGCAAATAATCGTCCGACTTCACATTGCGAAGCTGTTTCTTCAGCTTTTGGAAAAGTTTGCCCGAGGAATTGGTATTCGACTTAGGCGTGGTCGCAGTCTCCATGGCGTAGTCAGGACGCAAGCCTGGCAATCGTCAAGCTCGACAACAAAAAAAAAGAGCGACTCGCACACATACAGCGCACCCGCCATCCATAATAAACCCTCCACGAAACCCCTCCCAAAAAATTCCCATTCCCACTTCGTCCAAACTCACCTCCAGGTTCGCTTCCGAAAATGGCCCTATCCTCTCCAAGAAGTTTGACAGCCGTTGGAGCCCCTGACGTCGATGCGGAGTTCACGACGCTAGCAAACAGTTCGCAGTGACGGTGCATGAAAGTCCTGAAGTGTCGACTGCGCTTTCGCTACAGACTTGAGCAAGAATCATGACAACCCCTGTCTAGCGTTGATCCTTCAACTAACCCCTTCGGGCATGCACAACAACACGCTCTTAACGCGTTGTTTCAACTGTCTCTTTGATTATTATGGCTACAAGGAGGAACTTCACGGAGTTTGAGAAGGGAATCATATGGGGACTACACAAGCACGCTCACTGGCCACTTCAACGGATTGCAGACGCTCTTCAAGCCACTAAAGGAGCAATCTCTCGATGTCTTCACCGTTGTGAACGCGATCCAAGGACACCACCCCGTCGTGGACGGCCTCCAGTAATCACTACACGCAAGAGACAACGGCTTGTTCAAAGGGCTACAACTGATGCCTACCATAGACGGCTGAGGTTTGATCAGATTGCAATCCTCGAAGAGCTTACCCACGATATCCGAACGATTCGAGCTGCCTTTGCTTGCAACGGCTATCGACGTTATGTCTCAACAAGAAAGCAATAGCTTACAGATAATCACAAAAGAGCTCGGCTACAGTGGGCAAGGGAGCACATTAACTGGAGCGACAGACAATGGGCTCAAATGATATGGACAGATGAGGCCTCTATCCGTTGTGGCTACTTTGGACAAGTCTACGTGACAAGGACAGCAGATGAGAAGTTTAACAATGACTGCCTTACTGCACGCTTTCGCAAATACTCAGCCTGTATGATCTGGGCCTGTATTACTGCAGATAGTATTAAAGAGCTGCATATCTTTGAGCCTGGCAAGATTGATAGAGACAGATATCGAAGTGAGGTAGTACTATTGATCCAGAGGGCTGTAAATCAGCATCAAGATGGGTCAGTCTTCCAACAACCTACGATTGTTATGCAAGACAACGCAAGGATCCATACAGCAAAGGCAACCTTAGCCCTCTTCAGGCAGTCAAACACTAGGTTAATGGACTGGCCAGCAAGCTCTCCAGATCTTAATCCAATTGAGAATCTTTGGAGCCTTCTTAAGTACAGGATTGGCCTCCATTTGCCATCAACAAGAGCTGAGGTTATAGAGGCAGTTAAGAAGGAGTGGGCTGCTCTTACTACTGCTGATATATCACGTATTTGCCAGAGTATGAGGGAACGGTGTCAAGCAGTTATTAATGCTGAAGGAGGCCATACAAGGTGGTGACCCACTTATATATCTTGTTATAGTTAGTTGAAGGATCAACGCTAGACAGGGGTTGTCATGATTCTTGCTCCAGTCTGTAGTTTCGCTGTTAAATCTGCGATGCGAGTGTCGACTCTCGATCGGGATGTTCGTAAAGCAGGAATGTGGGGATCGACTGTGTTCTTCGCATCTCCAGTTTATTACAGAAAGCCCCTGAGTCGCGACGCTAGTTGATGGGGTTGTTGCATTTGCCAACTTGGTCTTGTACATTCAGCCGGAGTTGCGACTTTCGAACGATTGCTAGTCGGAGGACACGTCAGGTTGTTGTACGCCGTCTTCTGCTGCGAGAATTCGAACTGGCACGATTGCGTTGCCGTCCTTAATTCTCCCAGTCAACGGACGGCATCTTCGAAACATCAACAGCCTCCAAACGACATCAAACCTCACCTCGTGCAACTCGCAACACAACTCCCAATGCCAGCAATGACGTGGTACCTCGCACCCTCAAGTCATGTGGTCGATATTGGTTGTTCCAAAGACAGACTATCGTATCCACTATCCAGGAACCGAAAGGAGCCGCTACAACGGCCGCGTTCGCGAAGTCCTACTTGGGCCGCGCTAGTGAAATCAGGCTTTGGCCTAACAACGGCTGCTGGAGCAGTCCGCTCTTCGCCTATAATCTATTTGACTTTCACGAGCAAGACTTCTTGCTTTTTTTCTTGTTTTCTCGTTGTTCGTGAAGTCAACAGGCTCGATCATCTTCAGTTCCCAAAAAGTCTTTCGTCCCGGTTCAAACTTCAATAAACCGCCTCCCTCCTCCTCCCCTTCCCCCTCTCCAAATCCCACACACTCACCCTCCTCGCCCCATAAACCCCCTCACTAACACTCTCGCTATCCCTCCTCCCACTCCTCGCCCCAACACTCGCCGTCCTCTTCAGCACCCCCATCTCAACACTCCTCCTCGCCGCACCAGTATCAAGACTCTTCCTCGCCACACTAACATTCCCACTCTGCTCCTCCGGGACATGCTTCCGCCTTCTCTTCCACTCCGCCAAGCGCACCCGGACCTTACGCTTCACCTCCGCAACCGCGTAGCCGACTTCGTCGACCGTGAGCGCGAGAGCGATGCAGGGGATGCTGATCGCGAGGCCGACGCCGAAGACGTAGCGCGAGACGTAGGTGATGGACATTTGCTGGTTGCCCGTCTGGGCGTTGTGCGGGAATTCTTCGATGTTGATGGCGAAGATGGCGGCGATGAAGCTGAGCGGGAGGAAGATGACGGTCACGATGGTGAAGACCATGACGGTTTGGCCCTGGCGCTGGGTGCCGGCGGCTTGGTCGCGGGCGAAGCGTGCTTCGAAGGCGTTGGCGTGTTTTTGTTTCAGGTCGAGGAGGTCGCGGATGGATTCGTAGATTCGTTGGGCTTGTTGGTCCATTCGGTTGATGTCTTTCAGCGGGTTTGAGATCGTTTTCTCTTGCTCTTCGAAGACTTTATCAATCTTGCGAAGGTGGAAGTGTGAGCGCTCAAGACGATAGACGCTCTTAATCGCCTCTCGAAGCTCCGGAAGGAGGTGTTCCTGATGACCTAGCACCATGCGGATGATATCGAGCTCATCGCGGATGTCCTTAATCTCAGCTAACAGATCGGTCTCAGAGCCAACGTCGAGGAGTTTGTCCACGAATTGCGGCTCATTATCGCCTTCCTCATCATCCACATCCTGTGCGTGGTGCTTCGCAGCGTGATGTCTCGCCTTCTCCTCCGCCTCCAGATTCCTCGAGAGCCGATTCCCCCTCTGATGACTCTGCAGCCACTCCGACGCCTGCCGCGAAGCCTGCGAGAATTCCTGGAAGAGCGTCGCTTCGCCGTCCATGGCGGCTCCGATACTCGCTTCGAACATATCCAGGAACTGGAAATCATCATCACCCTTCCGATGCCGATCGAACGTCCCGAAACATCTCCCCGCGATTGTCGTCGCCAATTCATATACATTCTGCACAGGTTCTCTCGTCTTGGAATTGATATCCTCGATGATGCCCTCTAGCACATTCAGAGGGTCATTCCTCGGCTGTCTCCATCGCTGCGGGAAACTCGTCACCACGAGGTCTTTGCCCAGAATCCACATCCAGAGTTGATCTACCATGAAGACCTTCGGTTCGTACTCGGGGTCTTTGTGGTGTTTCTGCTGGAAGCGAAAGACGACCTGATCGCAATCTCGCGAGGTGGTGTCGATGTTGTGGTAGAAGAATTGGTCGAGCGTACGACGAACATGCAGGAAGGAGTTTGTTTTGGCGAGATGTGCTCGAAAGAGGACCTCGTCGGCGCGGGTCGATAGGTCTAGGTTCAGAAGACAGTCGGGATTCTCGAGAACGTTCTGCATCTCTCGGCGTCGACGCTCGGTCTCGAAGTGGAGGTATGGGAGGAAGAGAAAGATGTTCGAGGAGCGAGACCTGTCAGTGGTGATTCCATTGCTGCTCTTCGTCGAGTCCTTGCGAGATGTTGCCTTCCTTTGAGACTTTGGTCCTTTAGCCGAAGTACTGTTCGCCTTATTCGATCTCGACGACGTTGAAGACTCCGAAGCAGCCACAGTAGACGACGTCTCCTTTCTCTGAATGGTCGGCTTCGCAGGTTTCGTAGCAGACCCAGTGGGTTCAGACGCCTCCGGTACACCACCACCCTGCTGCTTGCCACCCTTCGCCCGCTGCCTCACAGCCTTTGGAAGCTCAGGTCCTCCTGCCACAGACGGCGGACTCTTCTGTCTCTCCAAACGACCCGTCCCTTCAACCCTCTCATCCTTCGCCCCAGCCGAAGCCTCAACGATAGCCTCCTTGACAGTCTCCAGTGCTGCCGGCTCCGTAACAAGCACCACCGGCGCATCTGAACCGCTGTCCTCAAAGTCCGCAGTAGCCCGCTGCACGGCCTGACACATTGGCCTCATGAATCTCGAGTGATGCTGCTGTCCCCTATGCTGATGATTGAAAGACGTCGCGAGCGCTTTGTACCCATCGATGTCCGTGCCGCCTTCTTCGATGAATCGCTTCGTTAGGAGGGCATCACACCAGGCGATATTGTTTGCAGGGAGATGAATCCATCGAAAGTTGGTCGCTTTGATGTTCTTGGGCAGTGTGCTGATAGAGTGTTTCGTTTGGTCTAGCGGGTCGCGAGCGTAGAGGAGTTCAAAAACAGGTCGTCGCAGCACTCTGTTTTCGTTCTTGAAATTGCCAAAGTCGACGATGGTAGCGTTGAACTGTCGCGAAGCCTCAATCTCATCTCGGGAAAGGTCGTCGAGGTGATTCCACGGAGCGAGGATCTCTGCAATCTCTTTCCTGCCATGCTGTGCTGCCATGAGGAGCGGCGTGGTACCGAATCGATCTTTGACATCTCTCTTGCACTGATGATGTTCCAGGAGACACATCGCGGCATCTTTATTCCCAAACTCTGCAGCCACGTGGAGAGGCGTCCTCCCGTTCAACAACTCGCTATTGACATTCGCTTCAGCATCCAAAAATATCTGCACCAGACCGCGAGACCCGTTCGCGCAAGCACTGTGCAGCGCAGTCCAACCTCCATCAGATTTCGCCTGGATATCCGCGCCATTCTCCAGTAGAATCTTCACCAGAATCTGCATACCATTCGCCGCAGCAAGATGCAAAGGCGTTTTATCGCGATTATCTCTCGCATCGACTGTCACCTTGGGAGCCGCGCCATCAAACCGACTCGTCAATAAAACTCTTATCAAATCCTCATGATCCGTCACACAGGTCCAATGCAGCGCCGTCCGTCCCAGCTCATCCTCCGCCTCAACATTGACGCCCGCTTGGAGAAGATACTGCACGATCCCCATCCCACACTTCCTCTTCGGCTTACTCCCTGCCTTTGCGTGATTCTTCTGATCGCCCTTATCAGCCGCAATATTATGCAGAACATTCCGCCGCCTGAGATCCACCGTATCGATATTCGCCCCTCTGGTAAGCAAAACTTGAACAATGTTCATATGCCCCCTCCAAGCAGCAGTCATCAACGGCGTCCGCCCTTTCTTATCGCGAGCTTCGAGATTCGCATCATGATCGATCAGCGTCTCCGCGATGCCCTTGAGCCCATATTCAGCCGCACGCAACAGACTCGGCGGCTTGTTTCCAGAAGTGTAGTCCGGATTCGCGCCTTGTGAAAGCAAAAACCTCGCCGCATCGACGAGGTTCTTGTCGCAGGCTCTCACGAGGCCAATGGAGAGGAAGGACTCGGTGCATTGGCCCCTGGCCTTGGCCTGTTGGATTATGTCCTGGACATCTGGGATGCTGTTCGCTTCGACGGCTCGAAGGAGCTTGGGTTCTAGGCGGTCTGTATTGCTGTTTTCGCTATGAATGCTGATGGGTCGCCTTGGCATAGTAATTCTTCGCTCCTGGAGACTTGTCGATGTTGATTCTTCTCATCATCTTTCACGATTCGAATTCAATCTGTGTTCTCTGATCATGGCCAGCCGCGTTTTCACAGCAGTTTTACATATATTCCGAGCTGTTTCCTCCGCTTTCCAGTGCGTCGCTCGGCGCTAGATGGATAATTCGATGTAGAAACGTTGAAGAAGGAGGATCTGCCCACCCGTGCGACGCTGCAGTCATGGACGTCGTACCAAACATCTCCGCACCATACATTTTGGTTTGGATAAGCGAAAGTCAACTTTCGTGCCTTTCAGCTCATGCAGATTACTAAGCCAATTCATTGACTGGATGGTGTTGTAGATATACCTACTCTATGATTGCAGATTTGCCGCAGGACAGCAGGCAGCAAGTAAGCCTGCGGCGGTGGCAGTCGTGGGATAAGCCAATGACAATCCTAGGGTCAGTGGCGTGCTTGTTGTTCTGAGGCCTTCGGCTCGGATGGTGGTCGTGCAGGGCGATATTTCAGACTTTGATATCGATGGAATGACTGAACATCTTTCCGCTGGATCGTGAGTCGCGAAGTTGCGGTTGTGAAGTTGAGTGTCGTCGAGATGCCATGCTACAGCATCCCCCTTCCAAACCTCGTCTTCAATCCCCCTCATCCTCCACCTCCTCCATCACCACTCGCCTCGGAACATCCACCCTCTCCTCCTGACTCGGATAAATCTGCCCCATCTCCCTCTCAAACCGTCTCAACTCCTCGTCCAAATCCCCGCCCTCTCCCTCCGCTCTAACCTCCGCACTCGTCTGCTCAAACCTCGCCTCCAACGCCGCCTCCTCCCCAGCCTTCGCCGCAGCATAATACCCCGCCTTCTCCAACTTCTCCACTTCCTCGGGCTCGATGAGTAGGCCCTGGCCTTTGGCTTGTTTTTGCTTTTGGCGGACGGCGGCCGGGACGAATTTTGTGGCTTCTTTTTTGAGGTCGCGGAGTTGTGGGGCGGCGGTGTAGACGAGTTGGGGGGCTTTGGGCGGTGGTGGTTTCGCGGGTAAGGGATGGCCGCCGGGAGGGACTTGGGTGGTGTCGTGTGGTTTGCGGTCTTGTCGGGGGATGGGAGGTGGTGTGTCTCGTGGCATGGGGATGTCTCGAACTTCGGGGTCGGTGTCGCTGCTCTGCGCATCTTCCTCGTCTCGTCGACGTTTGCCTAGATGTTGTCTTCGCTCCTGCTGCTCTCGTCGCGCATCGCCTCTATTGTCTCTGCGCTCGTAGATGGGGAACTTGGGCGCTGCATCACCCATCGCATCTCTCGCCCTTCGAATGCCTCGTACATCCTTCTCGAGCTGTGCCAACGTCTCTTTATCCTTCGGCCTTAGACCTCCACGACCCTCCAACTCCTTCAGCTCATCAATCTGCCTCTGCAGACGCTCAGGGTTCCTTCTCGCGAGCTTCTCATTCCGCTGGCCCTGAAGGTTCTTCTTGTTCTTCGCAATCTCCTTCTGCTTCTCCGCCCTGCGCTGGGCCTGCGCGGGGTTGACGGAGCGTTCCTTGGGCATGGTCGATGCCCTTCACACGGAGTTGTAGATGTGAAGGATGTTGGAGATTGTTATTGCGATCAGAGAATGCGCCAGCCGAATTGGGGAAACGCAAGCAAGCTGCAGGTTTTAGGCTTCACATGCGCGCGCCTCATTAGAATGACGTGGGGCGACAGGAACAAGACCACACTCCAACACTCCTCCCATCTCACCATGACCTCTCCCTCACGAACAACAACAGGCCGCCGCAACCATGGCTCGCCGTCAAAATGCCATCGCCCACTCGGTGACCTACTCGATCCTCCATAGCGACCAGAAGCGCAAGTCCCTCATCGCTCGAATCCCCTCCTTCTTCTGGATATACTGGCTCAACTTCGACTGCGTCCGCGAAGACCTCTTCAAAGCCCTACGAGCAACCTGGCAGATCGAAGAAGACGAATATAGAAAGAGCTTCGGCGCAGACAGTAAAGATGCAGCAGGCCTCAAACCGATCGGTACGTAATATCGACCACTCCCACACCTCCAACACAACTAACAACACATGTGACAACCAGGAGACATGGGCTACTCCGGCTCGACCTTCTTCACCAGCACCGACGGGACCTACCTCGTAAAATCCATCCCCCGGCACTTCGAATACAGCTTCTTCAAAAACGACCTCCTCCTCCCCTACGCCGAGTACATGCAGACAAACCCCACCTCCCTCCTCGTGCGCATCACAGACTTCCTCGCATGCAACCAGTGGTCCCTCGGCACCGCCCTCTCCCTCGCGCCCACCCACCACATCGTCATGTCGAACATCAAGTCCGGCGAAAGCAGCGACAGCACCGAATGGGAAACCTACGACCTCAAGCCCATGTCCTACTTCTACCCCGAGCGGGATGTAGCAGGCGGTGTCTTGACCAGCGAAGCAACCAAATCCAAACTCGCCGACGACTTCCACGAGAAGATCTCCCTGACGCTAGATCAAGCAGCGGAGTTCAACCTCCAACTCCAAAAAGACACCGCCTTCCTCGCCGCCCATAACGCAGTCGACTACTCCCTCTTCCTAATCCGCATCCCAGCCCACGACCCCTCCTCCAGCACCGTGCAACCGACCTCCCCGCCCTCCTGGCGAACAGGCATCAACTCCTTAGACAAGAAATGGATCTACCGCGCCGCAATTCTGGATTTCTTCTGGGCGAAACATAAAGTCCACGCCAAGGCCATGACGGGGCTGATCAAGGCGTATAATGCGGTGGATTCGCAGGGCCCGATGAGTGTGACGACGACGGCGGAGGAGTACCGGGAGAGGTTTTTGGGCATGTGTGGGGAGATGATTGAGACGGGGACGGAGACAACGGGGTGATAGTTGGGTGGGTGTGTTTTTGTTTTGCTTGCTTACTTGCCACAGCGCTTCAGATTGTTATTGTTACTTGATACCCCATTAGCATCGAATCAATTCGCATTGGAAATCTTCACATGACAGACAGATCACACGTCACATCACATTCACAAGACGATCAGCTTATATTTTTCTCGAACCGATACACGTTCTCATTACCGCCAAAAGACTAAATATGCTACTTTCTTGTTCTTGTTTCAAGCAAATCCACACCCACCCATCCATCCATCCAACAAACAGTCAAAGTCGATCGATTCCCAGCCCCAACCGACTGTTTTGAACCCCGAAGCTGCTAATTGCCCAGGCTGTACCCATCCTTCCCCTCCTGAAACGCCGTCGCTATGTAAACTTCTTGTTTGTTGATGATGTGACAAAGGGAAATATGCTGATACAATCTTTTGTGGAGGGATAGAACCCCCATTCCGAGAGGTCGAGGGGGTATCGAGGGGTTTGAGGTTTCGAGAGGGAGGGAGAGAGAGAGAGGTTCGCCTCTCTAGTTCCCATTGTTGTTGTTATTGTTATTGTTGTCCTTGCTCTTGAACCACCCCTGGGTAGCGCCGTAGATGATAATGATGAGGACAATGATGAGGATGACGGCGACTGTTCACACAAAAACATCAGTACTTCGCACACAGACTTGCCAGCTTCCAATGTCAAACTCACCGCAAATCCCCAAGCAGATCCACTTCTTCTTCCTCGCCGCCCGCGCACTATCCACGGCTTTGCCCACATGCACATTCCCGGCCTCCAAATGCGTATGCGTCTCCTCTGCCTTTTGCTCGATCGCCATGACGGGTGCCTCCTGCTGCACGACGATCGCGTCCAGGTCCTGGAACAGCTGCTGCAGCTCGATCATCGTCCGCTCGATCTGCTGGATCGCATCGTGGCGTTCCCGCACGTTGCGGAGGGTGCTTTGGGCTTGGCCTCTGCGGTCGGCGTTGAGGAGTGCTTGCTGGAAGATCTGTGTGTCGCCGCCGGATTCGGTGGCTTCGCGGATTTCAGATTCTGTAGCGTCGGGGCGCACGATGAGGTATTGTCGTCGTTGCTGCTCGGTCACATCCTTGCGGAAGGCGGATTCTTGGGATTGGTACGACTGAATGGCCTTGCGTATCCTCCTGTCCAGCGCATCCACCTGTGCCTTGTTGCGGGGGTTGGTAGCATCCGGCTGGCCCTTGATGCGCTTCACACGGTCTGCGAGCCCACGGTATCCGCTCATGATATCCGCCGACAGGGCGTCGACATCCTTGTTGGAGGCGCCGCTGCCGGAGATGAAGTTCTTCTGTAGACGCTGCAGCTCTTGGAGACGGCTCTCGAGGTCGTCGATCGCTCTGCCGACCGCGCGGCAGTCGTTGAGGATGGCATTGGGGTCGCGAGGTTCGGGGGTCGCCGAGGGGTAGGGCGCGTTAAGCGGCTGCATCTCGACGTTCTGCCCGTAGTTCTGACCGTATGGTGCTGACGCTTGGCCGTAAGTTGGGGGAGGGTTGTCGTAGCGGTCCTGGCTGGCGTAGGGGTTGGAGCCTCCATAGCCGCCGCCGTAGTTGTTGTTGTACTGCGTTGCCATTTCAGCTTCTTTGGAATTTCAGAATGCCCCTGAGAGCTCAGATCTCAATGCCGAGTGTGAGACTTCTGAAATATGTGTCTTCTTGTGCTGTCGCCTGTGCTGTGCATATGATACGATGTGGAGGGCCGACTTACGGCCATTATTATTCTGGCGCCTGAGGGTGTGGGATGATGTTGACTCCTGAGGTTGTGCGCGTGCCTGGCCGCGACAAGGCTCCCTCAATTGTAAACTTTTCCGTACGATGCAGGGTCTGTCGATCGGATGGTATATACCGCAATGTCGAAGACTGCCGAAGTATCAGAGATCCGGAAGGAAGAGGAGTTGTATGTAGTAGTCAAGTTCGAAACGCTCTCTCCGCGAGCAACAAGAAAGATGCGGACTGATCCCTTAAACACTGCTTGCTGCCACCGTTTCACGCTGCGTCTGCTCAGCCAACCACGGCGGCCCATCTGCGCCTTCCTGGCAACTGGCTCACGTCACGCTAACGCCCGCTTCCCGCCTGCGGCTGTGCAGCGGCGACGAAGCTTAGCCCAGCGTTAACCACGTCTCGATTTAGAACTTGGTGCAGCAGCAGAACCACCTCAACTCTCTTCTTCGCCTCTTTCACTCGGAACACCTATTCGGGGGAGGTCTTGAGGGCGTAGAGGAATAATGCTGCTGCCTCCAATGCTTTGTGGACATCTTACGGCCGGCTTTGACGATGGACTGGACTCTGTCCATGGTTACGTCCGCCTCCAGCAAACTGTGGCGTGCTTACTCTACCTCGCCTCATGCACACGACGAAAGCCATACTCAGTAGCGCAATAGGGCACCTCGTGATGAGCGGACAACTGAAAGATCATACGAGTTCGCCGGGCGTTCGTCTGCTGATTACTATGCCGTACTCTACTACTCGTTCTCCTCTACAAACCTATCGAAATCATCCAGCTCCGAGTCGTCCAACTCGACTTCACTAGCCTTCTCTGCCTCAATGGCTGCCTCCTCCACGGACGGGACTACCTCTTCCGATTCTTTTGCTTCTGCCTGCTCTTCTTCTTCCTCCTCCACCGACCCCTCAGGCCTCCAACCCAACCCAGCTTCCGGAAAGACTCTACTAGCAGCTCGAATCGGACTAGCGATCCCCTTCTTCCAACTCCCCAGACCCTCACCCTCCTTCCAACCCACATTCGCCATGACGTTCTGCACCTCCATCTTCCCCAACTCACTCGGCTCCGGCAACTTGTCCAAATTCCCAGCATACGCCCCCACAAACTCCTTCAATGCTTCTTTCTGCGCGAAAAGAATTTTATACCCCTTCGTCACATCATCGGGTCCCACCCTCAACGCCTCCGCCAACCGCGCCCTCACCACAGGGTCGTAATGTACCTGCGGGCCTGCCATTGCTTCGATGAGGTGCAGATCGACTTTCATGGCGCTGGCGATCCTGTCCGGAGTGTTTCGTTTCTGGCCGGTGACTTTCGAGGCGAAGAAGAAGCAGGTTGCGGAGAGGACGTTGTAGGAGAGGTCCGGGTTCCAGTTCTCGGGCTTGATAATGTGGTCAATCAGGTTGAGGGTTATGGTATTGGTATCTGGATCGGTGGATAGGCTGTCCTCCGAGACGAAGGCGATGCTGTCGAGAGTCGAGGCCCAGATTTCGTTGTAGATGCGCGTGACTTTTGAAGTTGGAGGTGGCGGTGGTGCTTGTGGTTCTTCCAATATCGCCGCAGGTGCTGGCGCGTCTCTTTGCTTTTCCAGATACTCGTCAGGCGCGGCAGTAACACCCTTCTTTGCTCTGCTCCTCCCAGCTCTAGGTTTAGGCGGTGTGCTCGCATCTCTCTTCGGCGCCGGCCTCACCTTGTTCTTTGTCACTCCCTGCGGTTTCGCCCCCTTCGCATTCCCGGTCTTTGGCGCCTGTGGCCGCCCTTTCGTAACTCGTCCACTGCGCGTCCCGTCAACCATCTTCGAAAATCTTGCTGGTCTGATAATGGTAATATGTATGAAGACTAGTGAACATATGGAGATAGGAGTGTGTGGCATTCGCTCTTTGGCGACATGTTTTCTTTGTCTGTTACAAAATGCTAGCCGATTGCGGCACGAAATGTCTTCGACGAATGTTGTGATTGTGGAGATTGTGGATGTTTTGAGAAACAAAGAATAGGTTCGAAGGTAAGACTTTAGGCATTGTTGCTGAAGAGGGAGTCTTACTACGGCGTTCTTGGGGAAAGCAGTGCCTTGCGGTGATGTTGATACGCCGTGACTGGAGTGTGTGGAATTTTCGACTCCGAGAGCTCGAAGACGAGGTACACAGCTTGGCGATGTTCCAATGCCGCAGAAATGTCTCGCTTTAACACCCAACTTCCGAGTGCTTTTCAAGCGTCGGAGGGAAAGGGTTCTCCGATGGCAAGGCCCACCACCGGAGACCTCTGTCTCAACCCCGCCACAGAATGACCAAGTCTCTGCCCCCTCCTCTGCCTCTCCCTAACACTCTCCAAAAGCGTAGCCACATCGCCCTTCACCTGCTCATCTGTAAAAGGCAGCGCGGCCTTCGGATCTTTACTCAAGATCACCAAAAGCGCGCCTCTCATTCCCTCTCCCTCCCCTCCATCCTTGACGCCCCCATCCGTCTCGAACCCACCTCTCTCCAACTCCCTCTCTATCGCCCGTCTAACCCTCTTCTTCGCCCAATTCCTTATCGCCGACTTCTTCGACACATCCATCGGAACATGCACGCGCCAGTGCAGTTTGCTCGGATCGAAGGCTTCGAGACGTCGCCGCGTGCGGATGTGGTAGGGGTGGTAGGGATCTTCGGCTATGGCTCTTGTGCTGGCGAAGGTGGTGTAGTTTATTGCGTTCGGGTAGGGGTCGTAGAGGTAGCGTAGGAGGGCGTTAGGGTCGTTGGTTGGACGGGGCTGTGAGGGTTGTTTGGGTAGTCGATTGTGGGTGATTGGAGAATAAGTTGACCTTGGAGTGCCTTCAGACGTTGATCTTTGGCGGGATCCATTTCCAGTCCAAGATGTCAGGCCGTCGGTGGTCGGTCGTCCCGTACGATTATTCCTCCAGTATGGACCGTCCGCATTGTCTGTGGTCACGATCGGAGTATGCCTCGCCTTCAGGCCATCTGGGAGAAATGTCTTCTTCGCAGCATCTTTGGCCGCGCCGAACGTGGACTTCACAGCATGATGAGCGGCTTGGGGAAGTCTGGAAGCAGCCGACATGAACCGTGATGATCAGCAAGGGATGTTGCAGTGGATGAGCGAAAGTGAGTGAAGAGGCGTTCTTGGCTGTGATTGGCCCACGACTTTGCCCCGCGCCACGTTTTACAACAACCCACCGCTGTGTCATAAGGCGGTTCAAATAAAGCGGGACTCTTCTCTCTGTTCTTCCGCCCACGCAAACACTCTCGACAAAGACACCTCCTATCACATATCCCCACAGGCGACGAAGCCGCACGAGCACGTCCGTACTGAACAGAGGATAAGCGCTCGATATGCCGAAGAACAAAGGAAAGGTACGTCATGGAGGGAGGCAAAAGAGTCTGAAAATGGGAGTGGTACATGCTGATTTATGCGGTGGTATAGGGTGGTAAGAACAGGAGACGTGGAAAGAACGAGAACGACAACGAGAAGCGTGAGCTCACGTTCAAGGAGGAAGGCCAAGGTGAGCAGGACATACTCTTCTTCACCGACTCCGAACTTCGACTTACGCATGACTTCACAGAGTACGCACAGGTGATCAAGATGTTGGGCAACGGTCGTCTCGAGGCTATGTGCTTCGACGGCGCCAAGCGACTGGCACACATCCGTGGCAAGCTGCGAAAGAAGGTCTGGATCAACCAGGGCGACATCATCCTCCTCTCCCTCCGCGACTACCAAGACGAGAAAGGCGACGTTATCCTCAAGTACTCTGCCGACGAAGCACGATCGCTCAAAGCATACGGCGAGTTGCCCGAATCTGCCAAGATCAACGAGACAGACACATACGGCGGTGATGAAGAGGGCGGTATTGGCTTCGACTTCGGCGAAGATGATGATGACAGCGGCAGTGGAGACGAGATTGATGTTGACGACATCTGAGCGGGCGTTTCTATCGCTTGGAGGGACATACACACGTTGGGGCGAGTGGAGTCTGCGCTGCGCTGGCTGGGTTCGGCCACAGGGCGTCTTTTCGGCTGCTTAGATGCGGTGGAGCGAGCCTGTTTCGAAGGACACGCTCTGAGTTGGCATCTCTCACGGGCCGAAGGTAGAGGATAGATGCGTGGCAGCCTCATGAATCTAGCGGGCGGCTGAAGCCCAACGTGGAGCCTCTGCCTCAAAACCGGGGCTTTGCGGTGGACATTATCATTGAAAGGGCATCATGGGACCTCCTTCTCCTTTAGCGCTGCCTTATGAACAAATGACATGACTTGCAAATACCATTCTCTACCTGATTTCTTCACATTCAACCCCGACCTCATTCTGTTCAGTGCGTGAATATTGAGTTTTGCCCCATCTCACGTGTCGTTCCTGAGCGTCGGCCCTTGAACCCGGCAGTGCTTGGCACAGTCTACGTCAACTTCTGGCGGCTGCGGTCACTGAGGCACTCGACTCGTACACTTTTCTGACCGCCACCCATTCCACCTGCGGGACTCGACTGAACGAAGCGGTACTGTATTTTCAGCCGTGTGACTTGGCCAGGCAGCGAATCCCGCCCGCATTGTTGGCACCTTTCACTAGGCCCGCCAACCACCACCTCATTCAGCTCAAGGCAGACACTCAACCAACCACGGGCGAGGCTGCCATTGCTGGGTGATAATCGACACAACACGAGCGACATATCCCATATACCTACTTCACGACCGCCGCCATGCCCTCCATCCTCAACGAAGACGACAAGCAGACGGTCAAGCGGACTGTCCCCAAAGCCTCGAACAAGATCCACGCAGTCGCAGTCGCAAAGCTGTACGTCGCCCATCCGAACCGGCAACGATGGAACTACACGGGCTTGCAGGGCGCCGCGGTGCTCGCGAACGACTTGGTGGGCAATACATTCTGGATCAAGCTGGTGGACGTCAGCCCGGCCAACAGAGGCGTGCTGTGGGATCAAGAGATCTATGATACTTTCCAGTATAACCAGGACCGGATCTTCTTCCATACCTTCGAACTAGAGGACTGTCTGGCCGGGCTGAGTTTCGCGGACGAGAAAGAGGCGAAGCAGTTCAAGAAGAAGATGGACGAGCGTGAGAAGAATGCGCATAAGAATACTCGGTCGAAGCCTTTTGCCAGTGGGCCGGCGCAGACGGGGTATGGAGGAGGACAACAGCAGGCGCAGCCGCACGAGAAGAAGGGCAGGTTTGGAGGACTGTTCTCGAGCCACAAGCACTCTTCGCCGCAAGGCCCGCCGCAGAGCATTATCCCTCCGAGAGGTGTGGAGATTAATCCACATGGGGCACCTTCACCGTCATTGTCCACCCCAAATGGCAGTCGGACGACCAGCGAGATCGACTTGACTGATCCAGCGGTGCAGGCTGTTCTGCAGGATTTGAAGGGAATGGGAATCACAGAGGACCAGATTGAAGAGCACGCCGGGTTTATCAAGAGCTATTTGGAGCAGAACAGAGCCACAGCTGCAGCAGAAGCTGAGAAGAAGGAAAGGGTAGCAAGAGCTCCTCCACCTCCTCCGCCTGTTCCTGCAAACCTGAGTCCACAGAATACAGGTGGCTCGAAGAGTGGCAGAGGACCGCCGCCTGCACCACCGCCATCTAGGAGAACAGCGACTGGACCAGGTGTACCTGTTCAGAAACCGCCGAGTCCGAGCCCAAGTCCTCCACGAGAGCCTTCTCCCCCGCGACCACGGTTCAGGGTACCTCCTCCGCTTGCGAATGCAGGGACGAAAGTCGACAACACGCCAACGTTGCCTGGCAGAAATAGAGCTGCTAGCCAGACTAACCCTGGCCCTCCTCCGCCTCCAAGACCGGCGAAAGAGCCTCTTGACGAACCAACATCTCCGCCGTCAGGAAGATTTGCCGTCCCGCCTCCATTCGAAGGCAAACGCATATCCTCCAACCCAGCACCTCCTCCACCACCGCGAGGAAGCGCAGCACCACCCCCACCGCCTCCCCGAGATTCCTCAGCGCCAGCAGCGGTTCCTCCGCCTCCCCCACCACGTCAATCACCAAACCCAAGCGCAGGGGGATTCGCAGATTCAGCACCCCCGCCTCCACCTCCCTTACCACCCTCATCCTCACGACCCGTCCCTCCAGCTCCCTCATCTGGCGCCCCTCCACCACCGCCACTACCCCCGCCAGCAAACACATCCGGACCCCCACCCCCACCTCCCCTCCCACCAACCGCAGCACCAAACGGCGGCCCACCACCACCCCCTCCCATGCCTCCACGCGCAGGCGTAAGCGACGACACAGCAGCCGCAGCCGCACCAAAAGGCGCACCCCAACCCGGCCGCGACGGTCTCCTCGCAGACATCCGCGGCGGTGCCCGGTTGAAGAAAGTCTCGGACTCGGAAAAACGAGATCGAAGTGCAGCGGCGGTGCCGGGCAGTGAGGCTTCGGCTCCTGCGGCGCCGAGCAGTGCCGGTGGTGCGAGTGGAGGAGGAGGGGATGCGCAGGGTGGACTTGCGGGGGCGTTGGCGAGTGCGCTTGCGGCGAGGAAGAGTAAGGTTAGTCATTCTGGTAAGTGCATCGAAGTATTCTTCTTGATATGTGTTGTGGAGTTTGTGACTGACGATGCTATGCAGATGACGAGAAGGACGATGATGATTGGTAGAATCGATTCAGATGAGAGAGGAGAAAGGAGCAATGAGGTATGTGTACATATTGGTACTGCTATCGAGGACGATGTTTCCTCCGTTCCAACATCTTTCGCTGTTTCTGTCGATCAGTGTGCGTGATACGCACGTCTTGCACTCTAACTCTCACGGGGCACCCCAAAAGCTGGACTAATCGCGAGGCTCTTGCTTGACCATGACCTTGGCCTCCTTCTTGATCTTCTTCGGGCCGTCCACCTTCTCCTTCTTGATCTTCTTCGACAGCTCCTCCATCTCCTTTTCGATCGCCTTGGTCTCATCCTCGAGCCTCTCAGCTCGCTTCTCTTTCTTCTCGGCGGCCTTGCGCGCGAACTCTTTGCTCTGCGCCTTCTTGATCGCCTTCTCAGCCTTCTCAATCTGCTTCCCTGCCTTATCACGTGTCTTCTTCTCCTGCTTCCCTGCCTTATCACGTGTCTTCTTCTCCTGCTTCTCCGCCTTATCACGTGTCTTCTTCTCCTGCTTCTCCGCCTGCTTGCGCGCCTTCCTCTCCTGCTTGCGCGCCTTTCTCTCTTGCTTAATTTGAGCGTCGCGCGCTTCTATCTCCTTCTCCAATCTCTCCTGTTCCTCAGGAGTAACCTCGTCCATCTTCTTCTGCTCGTATCGGACGGCATTCAAAGCCAGCTGCAGGCCCTCTTCCACGAGACTGAGGTCTCTCGACTGCCGCAATTTCTCCAAGGCCAGGCCTTCGAGGACACCGTGAACGTGGGTTACTAGTCTCTCTCTGGGCCACTTCTGCATATGATGTCTGCCCTCGAGAATCTGGCGCTCTTTCTTCGCCTTGAGGATGTCTTCATGCGCCTTGATTGCGTCTTTCTGGACCTTGGTAGCGGCTCGAGCTGGTGGAAGGTCTCCGCGGTCCTCCGTCTCCTGTCCCTGTTCCTTGGACTGCTTCTGGGCCTCCTCTGCTTCCTTTCGCTCTGCTTTCAGCTGCTTCCTGGTCTTTGGGTTGTTGCTGAGGTCGACGAGGGACGGCTCAGTTCCGCCCACTTTCTTCCAGCCGTTCTCCTTTGAGAACGTGCTCACCGAAATCACTGGACCGTCTGAGGTGACGGGCTCTTTCTCGGCGGTATGCTGGGCCACTTCAGGTGCAGATTTTGCCGGCGAGTCTGAAAGTGCTGGGTCATAGTCACTATGATCGTTCGAGGCGAACCACAAAGCTCCGGCAGGCGTACCGCTCGCCGGAAGGATAGGCGTCCCCAGTGCCTTCTCCAAAGCATCCAGCGGGTTCAATTCCTCCTCATCACGTACAGGCTCGACTTTCACCTTCTTCTTCGGCTGCGTGACTGCCTTGTTGGGCTCCGGGATTTCGACGACAGACTCATCATCGCTAACAGGTTCCTTTTTGATCCTCGAGGCACGTGGTGTCTCGAACGCACGGAGACTGAGCGGGTTATCCGAGTCACTGGAAGAAGCAGCACGCTTGCGTTTGCGATCCGCCTTGCTTGTAAACCCGCCGCCCAAGAGGCTGGTTGAGGTTGTCACATTGCAGGGTTCCGTGTTCGGATCCACACCCGCAGACGTCTGAGTAGCGAGCATGCCGAGCTTGTTAGCCTTCGCCTCTCTGTCCTTGTTCGCTTGTCGCAGCTTTGCGACAGCCGTGCGGGATTCTGAGGAAGGTGGTCAGTTAAGATGGTGCATGTGGGCGTCAGAGATGGCTTACTGGTTCGGGCCATTGTGTCAGACTTCGATGACCTGGCTGTGGTGTTGGTGTTGGTGTCGAGGTTTGGATGAAGTGGGAAGTGATGAGTGAGCGAGAGCTTGCGAAATGTTGTGGTGGGTTGGTTGCTTAGCGCAACACGCTACCTAGGTAGTCTCACGTCGCGGTGCTGTGAAGGAAAGAGCGAAGCTTCGAAGCCAGAAAGGGAAGGAGCAGGTCAGTTTCCAGCATCACATACCATCACGACCAGCGTGGATGATTATACCGTATGCTTCTGCTAACAACGATTATACCGAATATAGTAACAAATTCATGAAGCCATTTATTTCACTCCCTCTTCTCGACCAAAAATAATCAACAACCACCAATCCGCCCCATCGATTTCCCACTATCGAGCACCACCAGTAACATACGCCGCCCTCATATTCTCCCGACTCTTCCGATCAAACTCCTTCACAGCGGTCTTCTCGGCCTGTTTCGCTTGCTTCTCAGCCTTCTTGGCGTCTCTGTATGCTGGGTCCCGTCTCAATGAGATTTCTTCGATGATTCGACCTTCCACAGTCAGATCCGCAACTAGATTGCTCAGCTGGCAGACGTACTTGCAAGACTTTTCTTATGTTTCGACTTTGGAATTTGGTGATGATCACCATCTGAGCTTTGCTTTTTGCCTAGGTAGAATGCCATGTGAGTTGTGAAAGAATGGTAGCACGGCCAGCGTGAGGGGTGAAGAATGGATGAGAAGGGAGGGTGGGGCTCACTTTTTGTACTTTTCGTCATAGTAGTGACATGTCTGTTGTTTCATGTCCAAGGATCGCATTTCAATATCCAAGTCTGATATATGTATCGCTGACCTCATAGGTGAGGTTTGGAGTGTCTAGTAAGGTTTGGGCTTGCAGAGCCCTGCGTGTGCCTTGAGTCAGGGGCAGCAATTCGACCTCACCTCTACATTGGCGTCAAAGCAGCAGTGTCTACAGGTGGTGGGAACTTTCTGTTCTATTTTGTCACGCTTTAGAGGTTTCAAGTCTTGCAATATCAAACATCGCCACTAATCTTGGCGACGATCAATGGAATCTCTTCATGATGGGCACGTATGTGCTGTACGCTGGACCATCTGTCGGCTCGACCGAGAACATGTAGTCCGCCCTATATCACGTTAGCATTGTTCAAAAGGCTTGAGGAAGTGATCATAGAGTGGACGTACCACCAAGGTCCAGCAGCCCACCATAAAGCTCCTTTCCACACCATGTTATACCGATCGACGTGAGTCAACATGTCCTCAATCGCAGCTTGGCATGTGGGATTGACGCCTCCCGCATACTCTCCGAGAAGCCCAATCTTTTGATTGTCGAGCAACCACTGGGTCGCTGCTTCAAGACGCTCACGACCGATCTTCTCGCTGACGCAGGTCTCAGAAGTGCCGCTGCCGTCCTCGTCAAGATACTGGTGCATCTCGTACAGTATCATGTTCGACGGATCTGTGAGGTTCCCCATGGTCTCTGCATTCGTCTTGCCGTCAGTTCCTTGGGCAGTCGTCCAGGTCCAGGCGCCGGTGTATGCGTTGCCCTCAACCGCGATGTACTGAGAAGCTGCCCCTACGGCTCGAATCCCATCGATGGCGGCTTGATTGAGCTCGGCGACCAGAGCGCCGGGCATGTCGTGGAACTATCTTGTATTAGCGACGTCGATGTCATGATGTCTAGAAAGAGTCTACAGCTTACCTCGTTATTGGTGTCGAAGATGACATACGGGTTGTCTTTGAAAGCCCCAGCGACGGTCTTCCAGAAAGCTCCAAAGTCATCCGTACTGTTGATCACCTCTCCATAGTACCTGCCAAAATTATGTGGCGCAATGAGAGCATAGTAAAATCCACTCTTGTCACTGCTCTTGCTCGTGATGTACTCCACCGTGTCTGTCAAGTTCGCCAGATACGCCTCATCCAGGCTGCCAGTCATCTGATCTGGCACGAGTCTCTCCATGAGAATGTTGATGCGGAATGTGTTCAGGCCTTGAGAGACGAAGGTATCGATCGTCGACAAATTTGGCCAAGTAAAGTCTGCGCCGAGGACTCCTGGAAAGGTGGTCTCGCCGAACTCCGGGCCTGATTCATTGATGCCCGCGAATACCATCTTGTTCATCCGCTTCTGATGAGGAGGTGCTGCTGTGGCGACGCAGGCCACTAATGCCGTGGTAAGGAGTGTGATCAGCTGCATGTTGCCTGGCAGTGTGTGTTGAAGAGAGGAAGGTTTTGGTGGTTGCTCTGACCTGCAGAACAGCAGTAGTGAGAGTGAGTCGAAGTAAGTAAGGAACATTAGTTCGCTGAAATACAAGCCTTCTCCCCGCTTTCATATATCTCGCACAAGGGGCAAGTGCAAATTGGGTTTAGGCAAGTGCTGGCAGGTCGTCTCATATAGCGACTCGCTCCTGATAGTCTGAGATCATTTGGCAGTAGCAAGGCCATATGCGGCTCAAGTCAGCGTCTGGCCACATCCACAACAATGACGACCCTGGGTGATAACACTCTGACTCTCTGAGCCTCATCGTCTCAACACGGCTAACCGGATTGATGACCTACTATTGGTGGAAACCATTCTCACACAAGTTGTCATCTACTTGAAACAACCGAGACTGCAGGTATACACACTTTTCAATGGGACCATTGAGTTGAAAGATGCCACGACCAGCGTTATTGCAGTGCAACCTGCTTTTGATCATTGAGTGTATCGTGTCCTTGATTCGTGGGCTAACAACATGCTGCGATTCCGTGTCATCGGCATTCGTTGACCTTGCTCTATCCAAGCTCGTTCGTAACTCATACATGCCTCCTTCAGAGCTCATCATTCTTCGCCTTCTTTCCTGCTTGTCCATTGATATCCACCAGCTCTGTCTCGAAGATTAAGACCGCACCGCCGGGGATCGGTCCCACACCGCGGTCACCGTATCCGTACTCAGGCTGAATCGTAAGCTTCCTCTTGTCACCAATGCACATGCCCTTCAGGCCCTCGTCCCATCCCTTGATCACCTGTCCCTTGCCCAGAACAAAGTTGAGAGGTTGGTTGCGATTGTAAGAGGCGTCGAACTCGAAGCCGGTCTCTTCGAGGGTGCCGCGGTAGTGCATGTCGATCTTGTCGCCTAGAAGGTATTGTCAGCTTTAACGTATATCAATCATGACTTCGCAAAGCTTACCTGGCTTCGTCTGGTCCTTCTCTGCGCAGTTGGAAGCTGAGAGGACTTGAATGTCCAATGGCTTGTCCAAGGCGGTGACGCCGGTGAGGAAGAGGCCAAGAGCCGCGGTGATTGCTGTGAACTTCATTTTGCTTGATACCTGAGCAGTGTGTGTTTGTGCAGGAAGAAATTGAGTCTGTCGTGGAAATTGACAGTAAACGTGTTCAATGCGATGTTGCTTCATGCCAGGTACCGTCGTCAGGGCGGGGCTTTCGGCTGCTTCCGTAACGGCCCGAAAAGCCTATTCTGCGGGTCCGATCACATGCAAATCAGCTCCGTGTCCTTGGTCCATGCCACAATGCTGCTCTACAGCCTAGCTGCATGTACCTTAAGTTTTCAAGGACTCTATATGCTCTTTTCCAGTGTAACATAAACTTGATTGTTGAGATTGGAAGATTTTTCCCAAATAGGAAGGAGCGACAGGTTGCTAGTGAATGACAATATGAGTATGGCCAGACGATAGCAAGAAGTTTCGGTACTAGCGAAGCAGACGCAGAGCAGATACAACTCAAATACCAGAAATTTTCCACATTCAACTCTCGCGCTCGCAACACTGAAGTCGCCAAGGGCAAGACTGCCGTTTGTTACGCCGCCGCTGAACCAAAGCCCGCCCCCTCGACGTCTGCTCCAACTGGACCAAGTGCTCCATAGCAGACTGACCCATATTGGAACCCCACGACCCAATGCTCCGCCCTCGACCATGTGCAACTCCTCGAAAGCCAGATAAAGTCGCACAACAAGGAGATCACTAGCTGCAACAAGATCGAAAAGATCCAAGCTGAGATCGTCCCCATTCCTCAAGTGCTCTTCGGCCACTACAAGCCCAAGCGAGACAAGCTCGAGCAAAGCCGTCAGGTGTGTGTCTTAGGAGAATCAAAGCTGCGCAGGAAGGTTTGCTGGCTAAGGAGAACATTAAGGCAGCGTGGCAACCACGCGCAAAAGAGCGGGAAAAGTCAAAGAAAGCTGCAGAGGAGGTAGTAAAGGCGGAGCAAAACAAGCAAGACAGGTCAAAGAAGCTGAGAGCCTATGTAAGTTCAAGATGCCTACCTTCTGCGAGCTTGCCTGCTGACTTGAAATCTATAGCACGACGATTTCGATACGTATACAGGCACAGCACGCGACTCTTCGTCCCGGCCTTCTTCATCTCGCACAGTCGTATCTTCAGAGAAGCTCCCAGAGAATCCACAGCAGAGCACGACTTTGAAGCGCAAGCGCAGCGAAGATCAGCAACAGCCAGTAGAGATTCCAACAGTAAAGAAGGCCAAAGCCAGCAACATCTCGACCGGCTTCAGTGCAGAGAAGCTTGCCACACTTGGACGCATCCCAAAGAAGTCAAAGTCTCCAGCAGAGGAGGAGACTCACGCCATATCGCCACCAAAGGCCAACAAGCGCAAGCGACCAGCGCACGACGGACTGGACGAGATGGCTCCAAAGCGGCGCAACACTGCGGCATCGAAGGCATCACCAAAACCAGAGTCCACGCCCCAGCCCAGAGAGAGTGCGCCCAGACGTAGCGCCAGACTCAAAGTGGGAACTGCCAGCAAGAAGACGGTCACGTTCTCGGCATCGCCCCAGGGTGAAGAACAAGTGGTGGAGATGAACTGCGGTTTCAAGCGAAGCTTCGATACCATCGGCGACCTGGAGTTCATCGAGCATGAGCTGAATTGCGCGCAGTGCCGCAAGGAGACCTGCAAGCCGAATGGTTTCCTTGGCTTGAGTGACAGAGGCGCTTTCAACAGCGCTCTTCAATTGCTCGATGCTGCGCTCATTGATGAGCAAGTCACTGCATTGATCGGAGACAGTACTCCAAACGACTACGGTCTAGCCGAGAAGGAGAGCATTTCGTACGTCATAGTGCGAAACAAGGCACGGAGAGCCAGCTTCGAAGGGAAGATCGCCGACGCACGCAGCCAGCTTCAAGCGCTATCCAAAGAGGATATTCTTCTCGCCCCCTACGTCGGCCAGGCGTTGCAGAAGGTGCGAGGTGAAGACGATCGCGAAGTCAGCACACTGCTGGCACAGATGTCGTTCGAAGTGAAGGTGGAGAAAGTGGCCGCAAATGCCACCTACTGCCTCCACAAGATCCTGGCAATCCTGATTGAAGAGCACCCGACTCTTCGCAAAGTCTTCGAGGTCAGATTGAAGACGACCAGGAAGTGCTCCAGCAGTGACTGCCGGTCCATCCCAAAGGAGGAGATCACTGCCGACCTGGCCATGCGTCTTCAAGCAAGAGACCCAGAGATGGAGATCATCGTGGAAGACGGCGAGGAGCTAGAGGCAGAGGTCAAGTTCACCATGCGGGACTTGATCGCGGAGGCTGTGGCCGGCGGCAGCACGGGGGACGAAGAGGTGGAGTGTCAGAGCTGCGGGACTGGCGGTGCTGTGGTGATGACCAAAGAGGTTACCAGGTATCCATCCAGTCTCGTCATCTCAATTGACCACAGCACGAGTTCTGAGATGGCTGCGCTTGACATGGACGGCATCAAGGTCAACGAGAAGGTGTACCGCACGGAGGCCGTGGTACATAAGGAGAAGACCGGTGCCTTTGTGAGCTTTCGTCGGACTGGCGACTCTTGGTGGAGGATGAGAGATGAGGACGTGGATCAGGTCAGGGCCTTCCAGGTTCAAGACCACGTCCGTGGACAGTGGGTACTTGCTCTGCTGAAGCAGGTATAGGGCTGGTCTAGATAGCAGTCCAAGAAGCATTTCGACATCACACTGTTTCCACCTCTACTACTACCAATCAGTGATACCGACAGCGCCAGAGCTCCGTCAGCGCTCGCCCATGGTGTGAAAGCAGACGCAACTCACAGCAATGCAACCTAACCCAAACGCTCCTCGACGCCGGTCACGTATCCTCGCGTGAAAGTAGAAGCAACTCACCGCAATCCCAATCAGTCAACCAGTCATGATGCCGTCGCACGTCACTCGTCTTCGCGCTCCGCGGTCGGCGCCGTCACGCTTCGAACATTCACTGACGCTGCCCGTGCACCGTCCGTGCGCGCGGCGCTACTTTGGCCACTTCGCACCCCTCCAAACTTCGTCGCAAAAAACACCGCACGAAAAGGCATTCGACACCACCACGAACACTCGCACATCCTTCGACTGTTCAACAACTGTCGGATACCATTCTGCATATCGTCAGCATAGTCTCACAGACTTTTCCGACGACATCGGCTTTCACCTCGACTTCCTTTTTCACGTACGCCTGTCGCATCCCACCTCGAGTGACGTCCGATACTGACCTCGACCTAGAAAACAACACCACACGTCGCACCCCTCATCATGGCACCTGCAATGCGGGCGCAACTCCCGGCGATGCCCCTGACGGACGGCGGCATTGTGAAGCTGCAGCAAGAGATCTTGCAGCACCACGACAACATCCGCTCTGCCACCGAAGACCTCGACAAGAACACCGAGGATCTCTAGAAGTACGAGAAGCGTCTCCGCGACATCCAAGCGGGCAAAGCCAAGTTCAGCGAAAAGAACACCTCGCAGCGCATCAAGGCTTTCAGGACTGCCGTGGATGTTGCAAAGAACACGGTCGTGAAAGAAGAGCGCCTGGTCAAGTACAAGCAAGGCCGCATCGACAAGAACGACGAGGTCGCAAAGGCTTACAAGGAAGCCAACGACAGACTCGCCGCAGCGAGGGCCACTGCGCAAGACTCAACCGGCTACAACCCCTTCGCCAAGAGAAGCGCCAACGCCCCCAAGCCCAAGATCACCAAGAAGACTGTGAGAGTACCACTCGCACAGCAACCAGGTGCCATCAACCGTCCTGTGCAGCGCAAGCAGGCCTCAGGCAAGGACGTGACGCAGAGACTGACGCAGGATGCTGGTATCCAGAAGAACTCCAGCAACCGCGATGCAAAGAAGAACGTGGCGAAGAAAGTCACGCAGAAGGAGATGAGCGAGGAGGAGGTCGAGAACAAGGGCAAGGAGAGCGCTCTCGAGGCGGACGCAGCCAAGTCTGCAAAGAAGCGCAAACTCACCGAGTCCGCCGGCCAGGAAGAGCAGGGACCATCGAAGAAGGCTCGTTCAAGCCCAGAGCTGACCGAGGAGAAGACCGAGTCGAAGCCATCGGCCGCGCAAACCAAGAAGGCGCAAACCACCTCGACCACCGCTCCACGCAAGGCAAAGAAGAGTGTGAAAAAGCTTGCTCCGGTGGCTCTCTTTTCGGATTCTGAGAGCGAAGACGGTCCTGATGGCGACTCCGAGATGCTGGGCGACAGAGACCTGGAAGCATGCGAGACTGGCACAGCCAGCAAGCATGATGCCGAGAAAGCAGCCACAAGTGCCAGCGCCAACAAAAAGCGCAAAGCCGATCAGCCTCTCGAAGATGAAGGCTTCCGCGCAACAAAGAAGGCCCAGCAATCCTCTGAGGCAGACCTGGCGAAGGCTGGAGATGAGCCCACCTCCCAGGCATCGAAGGCAAACGGCAGTGGCAGCAGCGAGCCAAAGCCTGTTGTCGCTCAAGGCGAGCAGGTCAACGTCTACCTGAAAGCCGGCAGCAAGAGGAAGTGGACGATGGCGGCCGCTGGAGAGAAGTGGATCAAGGCCTCAAGGAGCCCGAGAGCATCTTCGAGGCCGCCTCCTCTCGCTCCCTGAACACAAGCGATGAGGCTCACCAGCTACGCGGCCTTCTCAACTCGCAAAATGCATGCTTTGCGAATTCGGCAGTCCAGGTGTTGAATTCCGTGCTCTCGGACGAGCAAGTCGAGACGCTGAGAGGCGAGGCTGACCTCTCACTGTTCGGCATTGACTACAAGAAGCTGATGCAGACGACCGACAAGCCGGGACAAGAGCCGCCAAAGATCCAAGACTTGCGGACCAACATCAGCGCCACCGCAGCCATCTACGGAAACATCAAGGTCGCCCCATACCTTGGCCAGCTGCTCATTGACTTGCGCGATAGGGCAAGCCACAAGAGCAAGAAGAACGAAGGCGAGCAGTTTGTCACGCCCGTTCTTTTCCAGCAAGTCTTCGCCTATGGCTGCGGCGAAGCCGACGCCAGACTGAGGTTCAAGTGCTCGACCCAGGAAGATAGCCAGGAGTACTTGATGGAGGTCATCAATGCCCTCGTCGAGGAAGGGCACACCTTCGTCCGCGACCTCTTCAAGATCGGAAAGACGACCACGAAGAAGTGCACCGCTTGTGGAAATGAGTCGACTCAAGAAGACTCTGACAAGGACTCAGACATCACCATCTCGGTGATGCCGTCAAAGAGCAAGTCGAAGCTCGCTGACCTGCTCGACGAGAAACTCCATGAGACAAGCCGACCTCAGGGATGCAAGTGCGAGAAATGCGGTGTCAGCGACGCACGCGAGAACGTCAGCTCAATCACCAAGCTGTCTGATGATGTCCTTGTCCACGTGGAACGCACCGGCAGCGAGAAGAAGGAGACCGAGGCAGCAGCTCGGATCTTCAAAGACAAGACTGTCGTCGAGTGGGCCGCCGAAGGCACCCAGTTCCAATTTGGCGACGATCAGTACGAGGTCGCTGCCGTCATTCGCCATGAGGGCAGCAAGTCGACTGCGGGCCACTACGATGCTTTTGTCAAGCATGACAACAACTGGAACCAGTTGAACGACCAGATCGTGAAGCAAGACATCTCGACAAAGCAGATGGCCGACGGCATCAAGGGACAGTGCGCCGTCATCCTCCTTCGCAAGTTGGCCCAGTAGCCACTTGTTGAGCTACAAGACCATCACGCCAGCCATGCTCAACATCGAAGCCTCTCACGCAGCCACTATTCTCAAGCCCACAAAAGACTCGAAGAGCAGACATCAAGAAAACGAAAACTTTTTGAAAGACCACTGAAGCCCAACGCACCATCTCAGCTGCCATCATCTTTGGCACAGCAGACGGAGGCAAGGGCCGGTGGTTTTCAACAGAGTTCATTCTTGATGAGCGAGTCCAGCATACAAAAACCGTAGGAGCTCATTGGGATCATCTCAGCCAAAGAGGCTGGGAGATTCTGCCGGGCCAATGGTGCTTGGATCTCGTTCTGGTCGACATTCGAGAACAAAGGAGGGCAAAGTGGGAAGGCGATGAAGACAAAGAGGTAAAGACAGGGCACGGCGGCGTGGGATTGATGGCTTCTGCCGTGAAAGAATGTTGTAGCGGGATTGGCGGCATTGCAAGGGACATCGTTTGGGAGGTGAAGTTGGATGTCCGAGTCTTGGCAGAATCACGTGGTGCCCGCGTCATCCCGCGTCATGAGCGCGTACCTTAGTTTAGCTTTCCTTTCCAATCAAAACAACAAAAACATTGAGACAACTCTCTCCCAGTATCCAATGTCATGGACAACATCCTGCAAGGCCTCAATGCTGCCCAGAGAACCGCCGTAGAGTCGCCTGCCGCTGTACTGCAAGTCCTCGCACCTCCAGGATCCGGCAAGACCAAGACGCTGACGGCGCGCGTCGCGCATCTCATCGCCCATCGCCAGCTGCTACCATGGAACATCATTGTCTGTACCTTCACCGTCAAGGCGGCAAACGAGATGAAAGAGCGCATCAAGAGCTTTGTCGGCGATGAGCTCGCGAAGCAGCTGAAGCTAGGCACCTTCCACTCGGTCGCACTGCGATATCTGAAGCACTATGGCCAGCACATTGGGCTCGCTAAGGACTTTGGCATTGCCGACACCTCGGACAGCAAGGCCATCTTGAAGCGCATCATCAAGAAGCTTGGAATGTCGATCGAGCCAGGCCAGGCACTTGGAAGGATCTCTTCGCGAAAGGCGAAAGGCGAGACGGACTCAAAGCCTGAGAAAGGACCGAAAAGCGTAGATCAGCAGGAGTTCTTGAGATTGTTTGAAGAGTATGAGGCTACGTTGGCCGCATCGAACTTGCTCGATTATGATGATCTGCTCCTGCGATGCCGGTTTTTGCTCAAGTCCCATCCGCAGTGCGTTTCGAACGTGCAAGCCGTACTGATTGATGAGTTTCAAGACACGAACAATATACAGTACGAGCTTATGGGTCTGTTCGCTCAACAACACAACCAGATCACCATCGTCGGAGATCCAGACCAGAGCATATATGGCTTTCGGTCCGCTGAGATCAAGAACCTGACTCGAATGAAGAAACAGTGGCCAGACACCATCACGATCAACCTGGAAGAGAACTACCGTTCGTCAGGCGCGATTCTCCATGCTGCGCAAAACATCATCGAGCAGGACGAGAGCAGACCGCCGAAGAAGCTACAGGCTACCCACACTTTCGGCCTTCGTCCAGTACTTCGCAAGCTTCCTTCGGCATATGCAGAAGCAGAATGGTTGGTGTCAGAGATTAAGCGGATGCGAGCCTTGTGCGGAAACTCCATCGAACTAAACGACTTTGCTGTATTGCTGAGGTCCGCCGCACTGTCACGAGCCATCGAGACTGCGCTGGGCAATACAGGCATACCGTACCGTATGGTTGGGGGCATGAGGTTCTATGATCGCGAGGAGATCAAGCTTGTTGTCGATTACTTGCGCGTGATCCATCAGCCAGACAACAGCGAAGCGGTAGAGAGGGTCATCAATGTGCCTTCACGTATGATTGGGGAAGCAACCATCAAGAAGCTGCGAGAAGAAGCCCAGAGCAAAGGTGTCTCATTCTGGTCGCTGATCCTCGACATTAGCCAAGGAAGACGTGCGGCACCTATGAAGCTGACTGAGCCGACAAGCAAAGGTCTGGCCTCCTTCGTGAACGTCATCCTTGGTGGGCGCAAGAAGGTGGAAGCATGGTCTACGGAGCCACCATCCGTTACGGGGCTGATCAATTTAGTGGCCCAGAAGATCGGCCTAGAGGCGCACTTGCGAAGGAAGCATACCGGCGACGAGACTTTCGAAGCTCGTTGGAGCAACGTCGAAGAGCTCATGGCGCAGGCTACGGAGATCACAGCCCCTGGAAAACTCAACGAGCTCGTTGAATCGCAAGGGCTGCCACAGATCGAAGGCTTCGACCAGACTCCTGAATCAAACGAAGACGTGCTTTCAGTGTTCTTGGCAAACATTGCATTGACAGCATCTGCTGAGAAGAAGGCCGAAGAAGATGGCGAAAAGATACAACAGGTAACGATCTCGACGATCCATGCGGCGAAAGGTCTGGAGTGGCCAGTCGTGTTCATACCGGCTTGCTACGACGGATCCATCCCTCACTCTCGAGCAGACGACCATGATGAAGAGAGACGGCTACTTTACGTGGGCATGACAAGAGCTCAGGCTTTGTTGTATCTCAGCTGTCCGATCAAGAACACCCAACGGGAAGAGACTACCATCTCGGCTTTCTTGACACATCCAGGCGCTGGAAGATTCTTTGAGGAACATGGTCCAAGCCTGCCTTCTTCCGCGGTTGCAAGTCTCTGTACGACACTCAGAAGAGATTGTCCGACCGAGACATGCATATCAGAGACCAGAAAGACACTGGAGAGCGATGAAGACAATCACTGGCCGCTGAATGGGGAGGAAGTGTTTGCTGACTCAAGCCGATGGGACTCCAGCACCGCAACCACGGCTTTGCCAGGCTTCGGCACTGCCAGAAATATACCCACCGTTCAGGCATCCTCATTACATCAACCGCAGTCCTATTCAACAGCATCTGCAACTATGAAACCTGGGTTCACTAGCGTCAAGGAACGCTATGATGATCTGATGGAGCAAGCACAGCTACGAAAAGTCGACAAGCGTGCTGAAGAGCAGAAGACGTCTGAGGAGGCACCCAAGGGCCGCAAACGGCAGATTGAAGGCCAGGGGACTATTGCAAGCTTCTTCGCTAAGAAGCAGAGGTCATCAGCAGAACCATCGGCACCTTCGCAGCCTTCGTTGAAGAACTCACGTCCACTGCAAGCCATGTCCGCATCTGCAGCGAACAAACATACTCCATCCGCCCCAGCTGCCAGGCCACCTCTTCCAACACACAAACCACGATCAGCACCATTGACTAGGAAGCCTCAGAAGCCGGTAGACGAGAACGACGCATCTCAAGATCGATATGTATTCCTGTCTAGCTCACCTCGGAAAGGAGACGATGAACCACCCGTGCCACACGATGACGAGGGAGAGGCCACGGCGAAGACCGGTGACACAACGCCTATATTTCGACCGGCCAGTACCTCCCACGCCACATCGATGACCAGCGTTACGACAACACGAAAAACACTTGGCGTTCGGCGTAGTTTGCAGGGCTGGAGTGCACGGAAGTCTTGACACCAGACCGGCACTGGAGATTGATGAACGATGATGACCTGATGACATTGCATTGCGTCTACTGTAGCATGATACCCCTGACCATCGTCAATAGACCAAACAAACCTAAATCCCTTTCACTCAATCTCCACATCATACGCAATCGTCTCCGTGCACAGCGCCAACCTTAAAACCTGCACCCTACCCACAAAATCAGCAAAACCTCCTACAACGACACAATAAACTCCCCATACTCCTTGTGAGCCGGATGCTCAGCATAAACCTGCACATCCCCAGCCTTCTCCAGCACCGCCACAAGCCCATAATCGAAGCCCTGGGTCCGATGCTTGGTGATCTCGAGGGGCGGGCCGGAGTTCCATTTCAGCAGACCGGGGATCTGGCCGACCATGACGGCGCCTTTGGTGCTCCAGGCGGTGATTTGGGAGGGGGTGATGGAGGGTTTGAGTTTCATGAGGACTTGGGGGGTGTTAGTTGACTATGGGTGCGAGGGTGGTGGGGGTGGGGGTTGGGGTTGGGGTTGTGATGGGGTGACGGCTTACCGATGTGGTAGCAGGGCATTTTTGCTGGGTGGATCTTGATGAGGGTGTTGTGAACAAGGAATTGGGATATGGTCTTCTCTCGTAGTGGGTGGGATATGTTGTTGCTGCTGACGCCGACTCCCCATCGGCATTTCGCCGATCTGACATCGATCAGGCTGATCTATTTAGCCCGGCTCCTCGGACATTCAACCGAGTCTGATAAAACGCCTCGCAACCCACCATAACTATTGAAGAGCAGATCACACTGGGGTAAACAGAAACTGAAGAAGAAAAATGTGAGATCTGTAGTCAAAAAGCACCATAGCCCATTCGACCCACCACAGCGAAGACAAGCCTCACAACTCCATGTTGAATGAGCGTCAGCCCGTCGCCGTGGCCATTGAGTCTTCTATAGTTACAATACAATTCCCAGACGCACTCCTCCCCACATCTCGCGGTGAAGACCTTTCCTGAGGCCCACGCTTCGTTGTTGTCGACAAACGCCTTTGCTCCGACAGCGTCCCTGACTGAACGGCCTCTTTTTCAAGAGGTGTCTAGTTGAAGAAGTCGAAGGGGTTGTTGTTGCCGAAGTTGTTGCCTGGAGATCGAGTCAGTCACGTCTCTAGATGTGGTGGATTATGTGTGTCTGGACTTACCGAACTGGCCTGGGAAGCCATTGAGCTGGTTGAAGCGGTTGGGGAAGAAACCGGGGTTGCCGAAGCCATTGTTGCCGAAGCCGTTGTTGCCTATGCACGAGTGAGTCAAGGTGAAAGACATAAAGGCGGATTGTAGCATACCTCCTCCGAGGATGACGCCTCCGCCACCACCGCCAGCAACGAGACCATTGTTGCCGAGACCTTGGTTGCCCCACTGGTTACCGAGCCCTTGGTTGCCAAAGCCAGGGAAGATCTATAGGCTCTCGTTAGATGATCATATCAGTTTGCTGCTGAAGGTCTTGCCACGTACTTGCTTGCCCTGCTTCGCCGCCTCGGCCTGCTCAGCACGACGGGCGAGAGGGTTGTACTCCGCCTCGACGTCGCGCTTGAAGTTGTTAAAGAATGGGTTTCCGAACAAGCGAGGATCCTGGAAATTCTGGAACCCCTGGAGGCGAGGGTCCTGGAAGTTTTGGAGGCCTTGGAAGCCGAGGTTGGCGCCTGGGTAGAGGCCGTTGAGACTGACGAGAGCGTTAGATCATGTTCATCGGGGAGAGATGCGATAGCTGGAGTTGGGTGTCGAAGCTGTAGTGGGGACTTACGCTGGGTTGACGAACTGATCACCCTGCTTGCCTGCCTCGCCCTGCTCCGCCTGTTCCGCACGGCGGACAGGAGTGTCTTGAGCCTCGGCCTCTGGAGCGGGAAGAGCAGTCACCGCAGAACCTGCCGCAGCGAGGAAGAGAACGATGTCCTTGAACTGCATGTTGAAGAAGAAGAATCGAGGGGCTGTTTGGTGATGAAGGTAAAGAATGTGTCAAATTCTTGATCTGAAGAGAAAGGAGTGGTTGCAGCTGCTGGCTGTGGCTTGAAAGACTGGAGAGATGGTGGTGAAGAGAGGGTATTCTTATACTGTTTGTGCGGGTATGGATGCTGACGACGAGAAGGCTGGTACCTGACCGCCAATGCTGTTGTATGTTTCGGTGAACAGCATTCATCCATCGCAAGTGAGGGTTGCGAAATTGCTCTTCTCGTGATGCCATGCAATCGGATCCACCTGGTATCTTGTTTGTGGGCCATCGATGTTGGTGATGTAGTCTCGGCAAGTGCAAAGCAGCTGCGAAGGGTGAGATGGGCCACGATCAACTGCAATGCGAGGCAAGTCAGTCCAGGTGTTCCCGTCATAGAAGAGTATCCAAAAGCTTCCGACCTACTTGACCTAGTGGACGATCAGCCTGAGCGATTGTAAGCATGTTTCGCAGTCTAGAGTCTGAAACGCACAACCCCTTGGCTCGAGCGCATGTCGTCTGGATTCCCACGTGCGGTGGTCGTGGCCCACGTCTGCCGTCAGCTTCCCGTTGCTCGCGGACCAGGAGGCCCTTGCTAGATCTCAGGTACCGGCCTAGCTAGAAGAACATGTTTGCTTGTAGAGAGCATGTTTCGAGTTCCTCATAGGGTTCGCATCCTGTAACGTTGCAAACGCGAACGGAACGGTACACTGCTCCGGCGAAGATTTTTCTCGACATGGGCAACATGAACCGACAGCGCCATTCTTCGGCTATCTGCTGAAACTGAGTTGCAAGCAAATCCCGATGACGACCATGCCGTCGAGCAGGCAATCGAATTCGAAAGAAGGCCGGTGGATGTGATAGGAGGTGAATACGTATGCCCAAGGCGAATTCGTTGTGGGCTCATTGGAGCGAGGTGTCATGGAAGGCCCAGCCATGATCACAAAGTCTTTCTTGTCTCGCGCCGGGTCGATGGCGTTATGCGGCGATACAACTTTCTTGGGCTGGCGAAGTCTCGATGCCCATCAAGCGCCAGTCCAAGTCGCGATCGTTGGAACCATTCAAACTCGGTCCACCACCGAGTGTTGAGCCGTGTGTTTGAGTGAGCAGTGCGGCATCCTCGTGTTCACGATCTTGGACCGTTTAGACAGATCGCTTTGCTTTCCATGAACGGCAATCCTAGCGCGCGCGATGAGGGTGAATGTGTGCTTCAAAATGTCGTCCGTTGGGGTATCTTGCTGGTATCTTACTATCATGACGAAGTTTCCTCGTCGCTGTCGTTCGGGTCTACCTCGACTCCGCCCTGATCCTCCACATCTTCGGCGTCATCGTCGAAGCCCTCAAAGCCGTCCTCGTCATCCCCCTCGTCCCCCTCGTCGCTGTCCCCTTCGTCATCCTCCTCCTCACCGTCATTAGTAGCAACCGCAGCCTCTGCCTCCTCTTCCAACTCCCTCTTCCGCTTCTTGTGCGTGAACCCAAGCTTCTCATCTCGACCCTCTTCTTTACTGTCCTCCATATCAGCGGCTGGAGGTGGACTGAACCAAGGTATCTTTCCCCGCAGGAAATCATTCAACACCATCTTGGCAACACCATCCAGATCGGCTTCACCACCCCTCAAAAGCCTACCACCTTTTCGTGCGAGCAACTCGAGGAACTTGACGCTCTCTTCTATCCGTTCTTTCTCTGGCTTTTCCGAGAAGTCTTTCTCGTCGCTGGACCATCCTTTCACCTCATATGTCCGCTCCAGATGATGCCTCTTACACTTCGACAACACAGCCGGTACGTATTGCGCAGGATGCTCCACATTCTCCACTCTCACAACTCCTCGCAGCAGAATGTCCTCAGGGGTATCAACCATGGAAGGTGGCACAATACCAGGACAGTCGATCAGGTATATCCTCTTCATCAGAGTGATGTACTGCCAGACCTTGGTCTCGCCAGGTATGGGAGCCGTGGTGCACACCTTCTTCTTGCGAAGAGTGTTGATGATCGAGGATTTGCCCGTGTTCGGATAGCCGATGAAGCCAACAGAAATTTGCTTTCGCGAGCTGTGAAGAGAAGAGAATTGTCGTAAGAGCGAGATGAGCGTGCCTTTACCGAAGCTGTTTGTCATGCTTGCGTGGAAGGCGAGGGTTGGATATTCTTGAGACAATAGTTTGACCCATTTGGCCTGGAAGATCGTCAGCTTGCTTCTGGGAGATACTGACAGCCAGAAGATGTTCCAAAGGAGAGATAATTGTGTGTCCCATAACTAAGCTGTCCATCACGGGTGTATTCCGGATCGCTACTCAAACAAGACACGAAGGCTCCAAAGTGACCATGCCAAAACGGCAGAGAGTCGGTAGGAGGTGTTCGCTCTGCCAGAGTCGTAACAGATTAAGTCCACTGACGGCCAACGAGGGCTGGAAGAAACCTTGACTTGAAACTCTGGCGTGCTCAAAGGAAAAGAACGAGATCAAGACTCACCGCTACACTGGTAGGGACCAGATCGCACTTGTTCAGCAAGAAGAGCAAGTGCTTGTGGGGTGCCTCTTCGCGGATGTACTTCTCCACACTGCGACATCGTGTCCCGAGAGGATCTCGTGCGTCGAGGACGTGGATGACCACGTCTGAGCTGTCGATGACCTTGTATAGCTCGTTCCATATCCGCTTGCTTTGGCCTTTGGAAAATACCGGCTCTCTTGCCGTTGTGATCTCCCCGTCGTCAGTGACAAGCTTGTCACTGTTATCCGCCTCTTTATCTTCGCCTAGGCCAGCGAGTATCCGAGCTTCTGCTTGCCGCTCTTCATATGTGGAGTAGTCTTGAGTAGTAGCATTTGCGAGATCTTCCAGGTTTGCCACAGCTAATCGGGGTCGCTTTCGCTGTGCTTTCGGTCCAAATGTGTCGACGAACTTCTCGCTCTCGATCTTGATCTTGGCCTTGTGCTGAATCAACCCATCTTTTCGCTCTTTGTCCTTGTTGTCGTGGATCAAGCTCATGGGCAACTTGTTCTGCTTCAGCAGGTAGCTGTATGGGTCCTTGCTCTGCGCCTCAACTGCACCCCGGAAAGCGTTCAAGGCATCTTGAGAGATGACTCGGGTATTGGTGAACCATTTCCTGTTCGGCTCCACTCGAGCGACAGGTGCCTCCCTGCTCTGGTATGATGCCGCCTTGGTGATGTCTCCCCGAGCATTTCTTTGCGCCTTGCCGTCCTTGAACATGTTGAGCGACTTGACCCGTTTCGCATCGCGATAGAAGTTCTCGCCCTTGGTCCGGACGTTGCCCATGCCATCGCTCGTCTTACCCTGCCGCTCACGGCGGGTCGCTTCTTTCTTGCCGGTACCCATCTTGTCGGCGTTGGTGATTTGTTGGAGGATGTATAGTGGGAGGAAAGTCGAGACTGGAGGTCTGGCTTTTTTCGAGAAGGCGGGACGCCAAGATTTTGAACCACCAGAAAAGGAAGGTGCGGCGAGCGGAAGTGCTCGAACGTGAAGACAGCATCGAAGAAGCATTGAACCATCTTCACAGACAAAATGCCTCCAAAAACGTCAATATCATCAGCGTTGAGCTGGCGATGTCCTCAATGCACCGTCAGAACTTTCGCCTCGTCTTCGAAGCTCCTCGCCGTCGGCCCAGAACACCCCCGATACGTCAAAGTCCCTGAACCACCCCAGCAGACAGTGCCCCATAACCCTCCCGTCAAAGGAACGCTACCGATACCTCGCAATGTCTTCGCAGGTAACAGCAAAGGCCGAAGCGACGATGAAATTATTGCGCTGTCAACGCCCTCCCCGAAAAACCCGAAGAATCCTCCAAAAGGCAGCAGGGAGGAATGGAAAGCCAAGATGAGCGAGATCAGGAAGCAGAATCTGCGCGAGGGTGTCAAGAGCCTTCGAGCAAGGCAGATCTCTGATGAAAGGCATCAAAATGTGCGGCAAGCGGCCAAGCAGCGCGAGAGACAAGAGCTGCTACAGCGACCTGATCGTGAGGATGAGCGGTTGACCGCACCGAGCAACAATATGGACCTCGACGCCCTGTACAACAAGCCTATACCAGATCCCACACGAGAAGATCGCATTCGGACGAAACAGCTTAACCTTCAACGACATGAGGACATGAAACGCCAGGAACGCATGGAAGCCGTCCACTCGCTGTACATGAACGCCCGCGAATTTATCGTAACGCCGCAGCAGCTTGACAAGGCAGTGGACGCGGCATTTGGAACGCCTGAGATGCCTGTACAATTTGGCAAGTTCTCGACTGGCGTATCCAACCGCTCTATCTGGGCAGAGGGCAGGCCTGAGCGTGTGCAAGACAAGCTCAACGTGGCCAACGGCCAGGCCACGGGATTCGCAATGAGGAGCGCCAAGTCGTCGAGCGAGATCAACAAGGAACGTATCAGGAGGATTGCAGAGACGTTTACGGGTGGAAAGATTGAGAAGTCAGTGGAGTGATGAACTGTCACTGTCACTGCCACTGTGTGTGTCATATGTCACTGTGTATGTATAAGCTGTACTTTACGTGGCTTCACTCTTGTTCACAGATCACATGTTTGACACCGTGATCCACCGGCACATGATCACCTTTATTGGAGCGACTTCACGAGCTTTCAGTCCTCCAGCACATAGCGTCTACTTAAGCCCGAATGCAACAAGTTTCCATCGACCACACAACACACATCCTCACCAAGGACACGGCGAGGACAGCCTTCAACACCCTGAAATGCCGAAGGCTAACAGCATCTTCTGGTACATTATGGCCCACGACACCCCCGCGCTCTTCGCTCATGACAACGACCACGACGATGTCCGTGACACCAGCGAGGCTTTGGACCTCAGCGATATTAGCGATCCCATCACCGTCGTCGACGTTCAAGCCGAGCCACAGCATGTCCTGGTACGGGCGTCTCTCAAGGAAGAGATTTCAACCCTCACCGGACCATATCAAGTTTCTGGAAAACGACCGCCATTCTCCACGGCAGAGATGGTCGTAATGGCTATCATATGCGGCAACGAGGCATCCTACACAATAGCAAGTTCCCGCCGCTCGATTATTACGACCTACCCGTATTACAGAGACAAGGTTCTGAAGGAACTCCTCGTGAACTGGGAGTGTGAGTTTAGTGACTTTCGCCCAGTCGAGCTTGTACCGGAGCTGGTTGATACTTTTCATCGACATGACGTTCCTTTGGTTCGGTACGAGGATCCAAGCGAGCGCGATGTTCAGTACCTGGACGACGCTGAGTTCACGGTCACTCCGCAAGCAGCGCGCATCTTCCTCGAGTCACGATTATGCGACAGCCGACAAGGAGTCTTCCCCTTCTTCAAACTGCCAGCTGAGCTGCGCAACAGCATCTACGAGATGGTGCTACGTTTTCATCCATCGGGAATTGTCATTAATTCAAACACATGCAGTGCAGAGCTGCGACAGCATCCTGAAGACGAAGACTCGTATGTCGAAGAGGAGGGTGTGGTACCAAGGGACTGTGACATTGGCAATACCAATGTGATCGCTTTGCTGCAGGTGTGCAAGCAAGCATACGCCGAAGCAGCCCCAATCTTATACGGACAGAACAAGTTCACGTTCGCACACGAAGGCCTGTTGTGTCTCAACGACATGATCTCAGCCAGACAATCCCCGGCGACTCAGCACTTGGAATACGTGGAGCTTTTTCTCAGGCCATTCAAAGTTGAGGCCCGTGTTTTCGAGCGCGCAGCCCAAATGTTGGCCTCAGGCAAGAGACTCAAGTTCCTCGCTCTCGACATGCGGGACCGCGATTGGCTTGAAATGTCCAAAGTTCGGCGTCTTGACCACTATGGAAGAAAGAGCAAGTTCACAAAGGCTGGGCAAATTCCGGGTTTCCGCCATTTGGTTGAGGCAGCCGCCAACGCGGAGACATTCGAGCTCAAAGGCGGCGACGAGTCTACTAGGCTCAAGGCGCTCTTCGATGCCGAGATCGAAAAGATCGAAGCTGGCAGAGGCCAGAAAGCGCCGAAGAAGCGGGCGAAGAAGTTGAAGGGCAAGGCGACAAGCAAGTCAGCCGTGACTGTTGTGGATGATTAGTGGAACCGGCCAGTGATGGGAATGGTTAGAGGTTGACGGTTGTCTTCGAGGCTTAATGCATCACAAGACTTCTTTTTCATGGTTCCGAGGGGTTGGAAAAGCGGGCTGAGCTGGCGAGTCTTTATGAGTCTGAAGATTGTATATTAAGCCTAAAAGTCCAATCTTGTTTCCTACCCCTTTCCCGAAGTTCCTTGTTGATCGAGTCTATGTCTCTGAGTAGTGCGCACAATGGTGTTAATGGTAGGATCCTGCATTCAAGTGAGGTTCTGATGGCTAGTTGCTGTCGGACACGGCTATTGCAATCTGGAACGTAGACCGAAGATCTTTCACGTGAACGCCAAGAAGCTGTCAGGTGACTGCCTGCAAACGCGAACAGCTCGTCGCCACCAAGCGGCTTCACCTCCACCTTTTCAACACGCAATAAAAACAACTTCGGCATCAACGACGATCAGTGCACCTCGAAAAGCGGGATACAAACCAATCGCAGCACCTCAGCAAGCTCGTCGACACGGAAGGCGCATTGCACAAATCATCTACCCATCGCCGTCGCAGCCACGAAGCGATCCTAGGACATCCCACCATAAGTCCGCTGCTGGCTTCTTAGAAAGCCTTCGACATGGCCGATCCCAACGCCGCGACAGAGAAGCTGGACAACGAGGATGCGCCTCACGCTCTCCACGAGTCTCGGCGGCCTCTCAGGATAGAAATCGAGCACCTCGTCGCACCATATCTGTACGCCGCCGAGAGGCCGCCTTTTACGGCTACAACGCTCATTGCCATGGCTGTCATTTGTAGCTCCTACGAATACGTCTCCACAAAACAAATCCTCTCCTGGATTGTTCGGCGGTTCTACTATTACAAGATGTTGGCGATCGATGAATACAGCCCGGAAGTGGCTGCCTATGTCGATACTAACCAACCAACGGATCTGGAGATGCTCATTGATGGATCATATGAAGCCTTTCACTCTTATGACAACCCTCTACAAGTGCGGGAAGAGCGGACCAAGTACAAGAGTGTGTACATCTACTCCATCAAGCCGAACCACGCCCGCGTCTATCTCAGCGGTCTACTTGCACCACCATGCAAGAGCCCATTCAGACTTCTAGATTTACCTCCGGAGCTTCGCGTTCGAATCTACGAACTGGTCCTCCATTTCCATGACTCTGAAATTGTGACTCGTTGGCAGCCAGGGCACAAATTTGGGCTGAGCACTCTGTCGAGTCACATCGCCGAGAATGATGAACACTGGCACGATCAGACTATTCGTCAGAAGAATTTGGCGACATTGCCAGAAGATGTGGATGCCCTTCTTGTCAGTTGTCGTCGAGTCCGCCACGAAGCCCGGCCCATTTTCTTTGGCACTAACTGTTTCTCATTTCCACTCGAATATACCTATCTCAACTTGCAGCAATTCTACACCCAGGAGCTTGCTTTCCTCAAAAAGCTCAGCATCAGGATGAGGGGATACAGGCCCCTGTATACCCACAGATACCTGAATCAGGCAACAAAAGCCCTCGAGCAACTGACGGCCTTGGATGAGTGCACATTCTACATCGACGACACTTTTTGGGTGGATTCGGATGATGAAGACCCCGTTCTGGCGCGCTACGAAGATTTGGAAGAGTTCCGCGGCTTGGTGGCTGTCGCGGCTCGGGGGAAGAAGGTCAATGTCCACCCCGACCCAAGATACTCCTTTGTTCCACAAGGCTGCGAGCAGTTTCAAGCGTTTATCGACAAGGCGGTCATGAAGAGACGATCGTATCTGGAGACGCAAGAGAGTGATTGATGTGATATGAAGGAGGGAGAATGGCTGAAATGCTCCGGAACAGATGCCGAAGCAGTCCATTGTAGTGGACTTTATGGCACCGCAGAAAGGATGTAGAACTCGATGCCCAGACAAGAAGGAGAAATGGAAGCACTGAAAAGTGTAACGAGACGGAGCGTGTTGAAAAAGTTTTCTGGAAAACCACACCGCGATCGGTCTGCATTGATGGAATCTGCATCTTGTCGACCTGGCAGCGAACGGGCGACTCTGGCGTGGATTCCGATGCTTTCGGGCCCGGAGACTTAGAATCCTTCATCCGAAAGGGGATTCCGTCTGCGGATTGATGGACCATGAACACTTGTTCATCGTCGAACACGAAAATGGGAGAGGTGGAGAAAAGCGACTGGGTGGATTTGAGCTTGCTTGATTATGGGTTTCTTTGAGTTGTGCAGCATCGGCCCTCTCTTAAAAGGAGTTCAGGGGGTGTGGGATTGAGTGTTACAAATTCGGTTGAAAAGGGAAGTGCTCTCACTAGGTACTGATAGTACAGAGCCATCAATCAAAGTTATGGAAAGGTTTCCACTTCCGTCCCTAGCCTGTCTTTTCACATGATCGACATGAGTAAGTGAATGAGAGAGAAGCAGCTTACCTCATCTCGGAAAATCTCGGATCGACTCAGCTGTGGCGATCCTTCACACACGACTGGAAACAACAACACCTCTCGGGAAACGACATGAAATACTACATCCCACCCCAAAGCTACAAGTACAACAGCCCAAATCCCAGAATGCTACACTCCCACGACCTCCCCATATCCTCTCAACCCACCACCCCCTCCAAAAACCTCAACCACTCCCCCACCTCCTACCTCCTCCGCACGCTCTCCCGCGGTCTCGTAGACGCCCTAAACCGCCTCCCCTCCCCCTCCGCCTACGCCTTCCTCGACAAACACATGTCCCCGCACTTCGCCATGTACAACTCCGGCGGGCACGAATGCATCCTGCCGCACGTGCAATCCCGGCAGCAACAGCTCGACAACATCCTCGCGCTGCGCAAAGCCCACCCGGAGTGGAAGTTGAGGATATTCCATCTCAGCGCTGTGGTCGAGAGCGGTGGCGAGGCGGGCTGGGTGTTGTATACGAGTTTGGGGGAGGGTGGGCCGCCGGATGAGGAGTTTAATGCGCAGCAGGAGATGGTGGGGAGGTTTTCGTGGCGGAGGAGGGTGGGCGATGGGGTTTGGGAGTGTTTTATGCATGAGGGGATTCGTGGGGGTGGGGATTTTTATTCGTGATTGCTGTCTTTCGGAATGTGTGTTCGATTTGAACTATCTGCCTGCCTATACATTACGACCCTGGCGCATTATGGTACAGACGGAAAGGAACCGCTGACTTCCTTGGACGAAAGGCTACACTGTCCGCTTCTTACAAAAAGAAACCCAGGCCCAACAAGGTCAACCCGCTGATGGTCCAACCAGCAACCTCTCCCTTCGCCCCGCCATTGGTAGTCTGCTGCGGTGGTGGATACCATGGAGCAGTACCATTCGTGCCATTGGAAGGATACACTGGAACTGTTGGGTGCGTCGGCGGGATGCTTGGAGATGACGACCACGAGTCAGTGATGACTGGAGGGTATCCAGATGGCTCAGTGGGACTGTAAGGAGGGTATCCAGATGGCTCGGTGGGACTGATAGGCGGGTATCCAGATGGCGAAGGTGGCGAGGATGTCCACGAGTCTGAGGTGATGGGTGGATAGCCGCTTGGGTGAGTTGGAGACGATGAGGGTGTATCTGGGATGGCAGGGGGATAGCCAGAGGGCTCAGAGGGTTTGGATGACCAAGAATCCGAGGTCACTGGTGGGTAGCCTGAAGGCCCAGGAACTGTCGATGACCAAGAATCGGTGATGGTCGTTGGAGAGTAGGGATGCGGCAGAGGCGATGTTGGAACGCTCGTGTCCGAAGTCACTGAGCCGTATGGTGGAGGTGGAGGTGGTGGAGGCACTGCTGATGAAGTCGGCTCGTATCCCGCAGGAGAGCCAGGTGGGCTCGAAGAGCTTGGAGGCGCGGCAGAGCCAGTATTGACGACTCCGACAACGGTGGCGACAGTGGCCGCTGCACCGCATTCTTCAAGCGTATTGCCGTTCTGACAGCAGCCCTTCTCGCTGCAGTAATGGTCTGGAGGACAGACATCTACCAAGCGAGTCTCATCAGCGACCACAGGATCTGAGCCAATTTATATTGTTCATACCTCCGTTTGAGCAGCAAATGTCACCACCAGCATTGTCGAAGCAGCTCCCAGCCGGTGCGCACATCAAGAATCCTTCACCACAGGCTGTCTCGCATGGATTCGGATCACCAATTGGGTAGCTGCCGCATGGGACAGGGAAGTCGAAAGCATCCTGACGTGGGAGAAGAGCGTTTAAGCTCTGTCCTTGAAGTTTGACAGCGACGAGCGTAGCTGGCAGCGCTGCAATAGCGAGGGCGAGGATGGAACGCATTTTGATACTGTCTGGAAAAGATCAAAGCGAACGCACTGAAAAGCCGAGCAAAAGCGAGCGACAAAACGAACGTATCTGCAAAGATCAAACCCTCACCTCCACTCGCAAAGCAGACCCATCCCCAAGATATATCCTCCTCCCTCCCAGCCTCTGTAACAGCCCAATCAGGCTGAAAAAGCCGGCGGCTGTGCCTGAAAAGCTGAAAGAAAGCTCGGTGTTGCCAACCCTCTTGGCATCAGCCTCAGTGCAACAATGGCGTCCTCAGGAGACCCTCCCTTCCCAAACGTCTGGCTATGTCTCGCAGGAACGCTATAGCCATCGCGTTCCTGAAACCAGGGCGCCAGGGGAGGGGGATGTGTTGTCGGGCAGGGAGATGCCGAGGATTTGGTTGGAGGGTTGCGTTGTACGGCAGGAGGGATTCTGCGGTTTTGTTGATGCCACATGGCGGGGGCGAAGATTACCAGGAGGGTGGCGCTTCTCCATGGGGATGTCTGGGCGTTGGTATGCAGCCATGCGGAAGCCTTGGGCTTGCTTGCGTGTTATGCAGTGTTTTATTGTTTCGAGTTGCTTCTTGTCGCCACGACGACAAGCAGAGGCATTTGACTGCCGTCCACGCGAACGCTCTTCGCTCCAAGAGCTCCATGCGCGAGAATGCCATTTTGTCTCAGAAGAATGATTGACAGACGCGAGGTGGATGTATGCTACCGCCAGTAGCTGAGCGGAATGGACTAAGACCTCCTATTCACACCACCACTCATCGGTTCTGCGTCCTATAAGCTCTGCTCGTCATTTGGAACGCTTGAAAGGTCTCTTCCCGGATTGATGTGTTCGGGGTGGTCCTCTCGTAAGCACATGGTCGCTGTATTCAAACACTACTGTGTTATCCGAGCCACCAGTCCTGCGAGTCTTTCAGGTCATGGAGCCGCCCACTAATGATTGACCTGGTATTGACAGCTGTACCGTTGCGGGTCGATTGCAGTTGAGCTGGTCGATCCAATACTCTACGGTGAAGACAAGGTATCGGACTTCATCTCTGCTAGACTCATCGTTTAGTGATGTCAAGTGTCCGCAAGGCACTCTGGAAACTCCGTTGCCCAAGTGAAAGGCACCGTTTGCATGTGAAAGCCGTGCAAACGGCGCTAGTGACTCTCGGCACTTTCCGACATCCGTTTGCTTCGGCGTCTTCGCCCCTCCAGAATTTCGACATTTTCTTGCAACCCGAGCAGGATATGAAACTCAGAACTCCCTCGCCCTGTTGAGCTGCACTCGCCTTCGTGTTTTTCCGCAGTCGCCGGCGGCGCAACCTGACCATGGCGGCGCACACGACGGTCCTGGACGACCTGGACGACGAGACCGCACATCTCATCATCAAATGCCAGCTTGAGGAACTGACTCAGCTTGAGAGGGAATTCGGAGCCGGATCTGAAGGTGGCAAGGATGGTGAAGTCGCTCGTCGCTTCTACGAGGCCGAGCTGAAGGCGTATCGCGCGCTGCGTGGGTTTGCGGAAGAAGAGGCTCAAGCTCCAGACGAGGGCGACGGCGTTGACCAACAACCATCTCCACCAGCAGCAGCGCCAGATGGTGTCCCGCGGTTCGAGTGCTCGGTCTGCGACGAGCGCAATGTCTCCGACTACGACTACTCAGCACCATGCGGCCACCACTACTGCGGTGACTGTCTGTCCGACCTCTTCGCCACCTCCATGAGAGATGAGAGGTTCTATCCTCCTCGCTGCTGCAACCAGCACATCCTCTTCGAATCCGCCGGTATCTTCTTGCGAAAGGAGGTCGAGACGGAGTTTGCGGACAAGAAGGAAGAGCTGGACGACTCGAGGCGTACTTACTGCCATGTGCCGACCTGCTCGACGTATGTTCCGCAGTCTCACAAGCAAGCCGATGTCGCCCGGTGCCCGAGTTGCCAGCAGGAGACTTGCATTCTCTGTCACGGTGCCACTCATGAGGGAGACTGTCCACCAGATGAGGCTGCACAGAGCGTCATCGACACGGCAAGCCAGGAAGGATGGCAGCGCTGTTACTCCTGCCAGAGGATGGTTGAGCTCACGATCGGATGTAACCATATCACGTAAGTGCTCCGGAAAACCGCTGTCTGCTATCAGTACTGACTTGCCCTACAGATGCCACTGCCGCGCTCAGTTCTGTTACGTCTGCGGAGAACGGTGGAGGACCTGTCGCTGTCCACAGTTCCATGAGGAGCGTCTGCTTGCTCGCGCCGAGCAAGTCGCTGATCGGGAGGGTGGTAATGCAGCCGAGCTCGCGGAGCAGTTGCGACAGCATCACGAATGCCAACGAGGCGACCACGAGTACGAGCGGATTGAGGGTGGAGGCGATTGTGACGAGTGCGGCGAATACCTTCGTGTGTTCATCTGGCGATGCGAAAACTGCCACACGGACATCTGCTCGCGCTGTCGCTTTAATCTATAGGCGGCAATGCGGTCGGCGGACTGTAGAGACAAGACTGGATTGCTTCTGGTCCACCATGTGCGGTTACATTGACGGAAATCAAATGCGCACATATTGGCACCAGAGTCGGTGGGTATGTGGAGACGGGCTCAATTGAGCTAGATAGCCCAACAAACGAACGCCAGCTCTGTATTGTAAATTGCCCAGATACCACATCTGAGCATGGCTCGTTGCTCGACAGCTTATACGACAATGTCTTATTCGAGAAGATCGGTAGTGACTTGATGCTCCGAACTGGGTATGCGATGATGAGCCAGGCGGTCAGCTAGAAGTAGAATTCAACATCAGCGGCTGGCCTGTCACTCTGCATCCGAGTGTCGAGAAGGTGTTTCGAGATACCACGGGGGGCGCCTAGCTCACCACTAGTGACGCTTGAATGGGAGCTCTTGTCATTCACTTACCTGCCAAGCCTGTGACCCACCTCCCTAGAACCGCCGTACTTCTTCCGCCTGCTGTTCCCGCTTTCTGCAAGCCTTACCTTCACCAAACCTTCACTCCCTCCCTGCATAATCGCGAGCAAACCATAGAGCAGACTACCCCCGACCAACAACATCATCCAACATTCGAGCGACCATGTCCGCCATCATCGCCGAACTCGATGACATGGACGCCGCGACGGCTGACATGACCATCAAGCTGCAACTCCTCGACATCCACACGTCCGCGCAGGCCGACGGTGTCGTCGAAGATGCCGGCCAGTGGGATAATGTGATCGCCATGCAGGAGTATGAGGCCGAGCTGAGGGCTTATCGGACTCGTCGAGGTCTTCCGAGCGATGAGCTGCCTGTTCCGGAGCCGGAGAAGCCTGTCGAGGGGGAGGGAGAGGTCGAGGGGGAAATCGACGCTGGACCTGCTGCAGTGCATGATCACACTCACATCCCGCTTGGGCTGTGCCTCATTTGCTCTGACCGTCGTCCGCTTGCCGAGCTCTACGACTGCTCATGCCCGCCCGACCCAACGCCTCATCGCTGGTGCTCAAACTGCCTCGAGCAGCTCCATCGTGCAGCCCTCACCGACGAGACGCTGTACCCACCCCGCTGCTGCCAGCACATCTTCAACTTCGACCTTGTCAAGGTATATCTGACCCGCAACCTCGTCCAGGATTTCGAGGCCAAGAAGGAGGAGCTGGACGACACGAACCGCATCTACTGCCATGTTTCCACCTGCTCGGCCTACATCGGCGCCGAGCATCGCGAGGGAACGCTGGCTCACTGTCCCAATGAGCACAGGCCGACGTGCATCTTGTGCAAGAATGCAAAACATGACGGCGGGTGTGAGGAGGATACAGGTCGTCGGCAGGTGGAGGAGACGGCGGCTCAGAAAGGCTGGCAGACGTGCAGCTCCTGCAAGGCGGTCGTCGAGCTGAACGCCGGTTGCAACCACATCACGTACGTCTTCTCCGCAAGCCTTAACTCTTCTTGACAAAGTATTAACAACTTCCCAGGTGTCGTTGCCGCCACCAGTTCTGCTACATCTGCGGTGCAACCTGGAAGACATGCAACTGTCCCCAGTGGGACGAGCGTAGCCTCTTCCACCGTGCCGTCGCTGTTCTCGAGCATGAAGGTGGTGCAGCTGGAAACCAGCAGGCCATCGCCGTTATGGCCCGGGATCTTCGCCGCAACCACGGCTGTCAAGGCGATCATCGCTGGCAACGCCTGAATGGGGGGCCATTCCGCTGCGAGGGGTGCCATGACTACCTCACGAAGTTCATCTTCAGCTGTCGTACATGCCATGCGCAGAGTTGCTATCGGTGTCGGTATAATCGCAACTAAGCCTTTCGATCGATTTGACTGAGGCGAGCCTTGGGTGCTGCAATGAGTGTGTCTTATGCTGAGTCTTGGAGCTTAGGCAGCTGGCAAAATGGCGTGAAGGAACGGCGTGCATTGTTATTTCCGAGCCTCAGAGATGGTTCCCCATGTGATAGAGGCCGGCCGGAAAGGAGTTTTCGATTATTATGTGTTCAGCAATGGCAGTGGTAGAGCGCTTCCTCACCGAAGGTCTTGATGGACCAAGCGGTTAGATAGCGGAACGTCAGACTTCATCATTAATTCAAACTTCCATGATGTATTTGGAATCTGCCGGTCACGTACCTTGCTCAGGCGATGATGAAGTGAAGTCGTAATGTTGTTGTGCTGATAGAGAAGAAAAGGAGACAAGTGAAGTCAAAGTCTCTCCACATTCAAGCCCCGCCGATCGATCCCTTCCCTGCAGCTGGCTCGCAACGGTCACCACGGCTCGCAGGCAGCTCCCTGCATGCCTGATGACACTCCAATCTGCCACCTCTCTCTCCAACAACACCCTCACCTTCCAAACATCATACAATACCCACCGACCATGGACATCGCCTACGACCACATCCAAGAAGAAGCGCTCGACCCCGAGACCAACAAACCCTCCACCTCCAAAGCCCCCGCAGCCGCCTCGGAAACCCAACCGAACCTCAACGCCGAGCTCCAGGATGCTTTCAAGGCCGTGCAGTCGTCGCCATGGGGCGCGAAGCTCGGAGGATGGTTCTCGCAGGCGAGGAAGCAAGGCGAGACGTTTGTGCAGGATTTGCAGAAGGAGGCGACTGAAGCCGGGGAGCAGGCGACAAAGGGGCTTGGTGCGCTGGTTAGCAGGACGAGGGGCATGAGTTTGAATGTCAGCGCGGAGGGGCAGGTGCCTGGGGAGGAGCCTTTGCCGGTTTCTGAGGGCGAGAAGGAGAAGGGTGAGGTGGTCGCTGGGGCAGAGAAGGAGGGAGAAGAGAGGACGGAGAATCTGCCGGCGGATATTGTCAAGGAGGCTGGGAGTTTGGTCGCGAGCTTGAGGAGTACGGCTGCTGCGAAGCTGAAAGATTTGCAGAAGGCTGAGGATGCGGCTGACGAGGCCTTGCTGCGATTCGGCACGAATGTGAGGAACTTTTTGCGGGATGCGGTTACTATCAGTGCGCCCGATGATGAGGATAAGACGGAGGTTCTGTTTGAGACGCGGGAGCCTGGGAGTGGGAAGAAGGTCATTCATACTACACGTCTGGATGCGCAGCTGCACGCGATTCATACGAATAGTGGGAGCTTCACGGATGATCCGCAGGGCGAGGAGTGGAAGAAGTGGCAGGAGGAGTTTGATGCTGAGAAGCGAACGGAGGCTATTGCGACGGACTTGGAGAAGTATCAAGAACTGAGGAGGGCAATGGAGAAGCTTGTGCCGGAGAAGGTGGAGTATGGGCTGTTTTGGATGCGGTATTACTTTTTGAGGAAGGCTATTGAGGAGGAAGAGAGGCGAAGGAAGGAGGTCTTGAAAGGTATGTTACATCCTTTACATTGGATCGAGCTATCTACTGACATGATTCGAGGCGCATCAACTGAAGAAGAAGTCGCTTGGGATGATGACGACGAAGATGAAAACGACAAGTCCTCCACGCCACAGCCTCACCACAAGGCATCAGAGTCTACGACGACTCTCAACGCAACCGCAGCTTCAGCTAATCCAGATCTACTCAAGCCCAAGGAGCCCCGCCGAAGTGAAGACGAGAGCAAGTCTGTTGCCGATTCTGATGCCAGCTACGATATTGTCTCTGGCGCAACGAGTCGAGCTACAGGCAGTCCTAAGGAAGCACCGAAGAAGGCAGACGAGGACAGCGATGATGACTGGGAATAGGGGTAGTATGCTTATGATTCTTGATGATTCGTTCTTAGCAGGCTGGCGTTTGGCGGGGACTGGTGGGTTGGATGTTGGAGTTCTGAGATGCTTCGAATAGAACAGGCGATTCTCCTGCAGAACGACAGCTTAATGACCACCATCTAGTAGAAGTATTGCTCATATCACTCGGCCGATGCGAAGACGAGCTCTAGACCGCTCCAGGTCTTGGGAACGCCGGGGTTCGTGGTCGTACAAGGATCGTGCGGGCAGCGTCATCACTTGCGCTACCACTTCGATATCGGTCTGCTGATAGCAGTGAGGGATATATCTCCTTTTAGCCGCAGAAATCGCATCTCTTCTTACAGCAACAAGCTTCTATCCTCCTTGTCGCAACAGCCCAAAGCGATGATTATAAGTATAAGACGGGGATGGCTAATATTGTTAATGAAGTGATCGTTTAGACTTCAATCAAAGCTGCGCGTCAGAGTTTCACGAATTGAGTTTAACGAAGAGCGGTTCTAGCCGTCGTTTGGGTCGATCAGTCTCGTCAACAGCTCCAGGCCCATTTTACCCGCCATCTACGTAGTCGCAGCGAATCCTCTTCAACAAAATCCACCACAACATTGAACCCTTTCTTTGTGCGAATATCAGTGCATACTGACCCAGCATCACGAGACTCTCACTCAATCCCAGGACATCGACGAGTTCGCCTGTCTCACTGGGCGAAACCCTCCCCCGTCTGGCTCGTATGTCTGCGTCGTTGAGACGAGGAGCAACAACACGCACCCGCCCCCAGCACCGCGCAGCAGCCGGCGCTCGACCGAACAATGCCTTCGCCGCGATGAGACCCGCCGTCCTGACCGCCGCCCGCCTTCTGCTCCTCCCCCTCGCCTCCGCCGCGCCCCTCTCCGGCTTCTTCGACCGATCCCGCGTACACACCTTCGCTGACGACGACGCCCCCAAAGACGCCGACGACCCTTCGCTATGGATCTATCTCGCCGTCGCCATTGCGCTCGTACTCCTCGGAGGAGTCTTCGCGGGTCTGACCATTGCGTTGATGGGGCAGGATGAGACGTATTTGCAGGTCATTGCTACGTCTGGTGACGGCAGTGAGAGGAGACATGCGGAGAAGGTGTTGAAGCTGTTGAACAAGGGGAAGCATTGGGTGTTGGTTACGTTGCTGCTCAGTAATGTCATTACGAATGAGACGCTGCCGATTGTGCTGGATCGGAGTTTGGGCGGTGGATGGCCGGCGGTTGTGAGTAGTACTGTGCTGATTGGTGAGTACATATATCTACATTTCGGAGATGACAAACTTTGGATGCTAATTCTGGATAAACAGTCATCTTCGGTGAAGTCGCGCCTCAATCTGTCTGCGTACGATACGGTCTATCCATCGGTGCCTTCATGGCGCCTTGTGTCCTTGTCCTCATGTGGATTATGTGCCCTGTCGCCTGGCCTACCGCGAAGCTTCTCGACTGGCTGCTGGGTGAAGATCATGGAACCATGTATAAGAAAGCAGGTCTCAAGACGCTGGTGACATTGCACAAGACTTTGGGCACAGGTGCTGGGGAGAGATTGATGGAGGATGAGGTCACGATCATCAACAGTGTGCTCGATCTCAAAGAGAAGCCGGTGGGAGACATCATGACGCCCATGCAAGACGTCTTCACGATGAGTGCCGATACGATCCTGGACGAGCGAATGATGGACACGATCCTCTCGCAGGGCTACTCAAGAATACCCATCTATGCTCCCGAGAACCCGCGGAATTTCATTGGCATGCTGTTGGTCAAGATCTTGATCACATACGACCCCGAAGACTGCAAGCGTGTCCGCGACTTTTCTCTAGCCACCCTTCCTGAGACGGCACCTCACACCAGCTGTCTGGACATCATCAACTTCTTTCAAGAAGGCAAGAGCCACATGGTACTGGTTTCAGATTTCCCTGGTCAGGACAAGGGCGCACTTGGTGTTGTGACACTGGAAGATGTGATTGAAGAGCTAATTGGAGAGGAGATCATCGACGAAAGTGACGTGTTCGTTGATGTACACAAAGCGATCCGACGAATGGCTCCTGCGCCGAAGACACGATTCAACAGCCGGCAATGGCTGTCCTCGGAGAGGGAACGAGATCAAGCTCTGGTAGATATCGAGGATGGAAAGGAACCCAATGAAAACGAACCTCTGCTGAAGAAGGAGAGTGGAGCCGGTAGCCGAAAGTCGTCACTCGCGAATGGTCAGGCGACGTTCTTGATGCGTAGGAAGTCCAGTGCGGCGTCGGATGTTCCGCAGAATGCGCCAACTGTGCCTGTTAGAACCAGGCCTGTCGACATGAAGGAGCATCTCAAACATCTGGGACCATCGAATGCGGCGAGCCACCCTCGGCAAACGAAGTATACGTCGGTGAAGATCAAGCCGGGGGTCGGCACGATTCCTGAGAACAGAGCCACTACTAGAGGCGCGGAGATGGAGCGATCTAAAAGCAATTCGATTATGACGCCTTCGACGACTACAGCCATTGACCATGTGAGCGACAAGGCCGAAGTCAATTCGTTGAGGGGCAAGGTCGCCAGTGGTGGGGCGGCCGCCGTGTATGGGACTATGGGAACGCCAACGCAGAGTGTACGACGGATGTCGGAAGAAGTTATGAGGCCTATGAGTGCGCATGAAGCCTCGCTAGTGGCACAGGAGAACACTGGCGACGAACGGCAATCCCCTGCTGCAACGAACGGCCCAGCCGGAGATCAATCCATGGAGCCGCTGAAACTTCCGGGGAAGATGGTCGTCGGCGACACCGTGACCGAGGAGCCAGCCGCGGCAGACGGCGAAGACGACACCGTCGGCGAATTGGGAGGAGGAAGTTCATTCTCGACCGAGCGCTCTTCGAAACGCCGACTAGCCGCACGATCGGGCAGTATCACCGAAACGACCGTCGACTCCGGAGGACTGAAAAAAGTCGTCCTCGAAACCACCAGCAGCAGCGAGGAAGGCCTCGAAGACGGTACGAGAAGCCCCAAGAGCACCGGGGGCGGCGGCGGCAGGAGTCCCATGTTCTTCGGCATGACTGCGAGGAAAACGGACGAGGAAGACGAGGAAGACGAGGAGAGTAGTGGGAAAGGTGGAGAGGCTGGTGAGGGGCAGAACGGCGAGGGGAAGAGGAAGCGGAAGAAGAGGGGGAAGAGGAAGAAGGGTGGTTCGTAGTAGTTGTAGGAGGGGAGGGGAGGGGAGGGGTGATTTGTGAATTTTGGCTTTTGGCTTTTTTAGCGAATATGAATCGAAAAAGAAAGTATGTTGATTTTTATTTAACTTTTTTGTGTGATGGGGAGTTGTCGGGAGGGAAGGGAGTGGGGAGTGGGAAGTAGGCAGGGAGTAGGGAGGGAGAAAGCGATGTATGTATATGTATACGTATACGAGAAGATGTATATCATATCAGGCAACAACGAGGGAAAAGGAACACCGTGAGGATCAGAGCTTTCTTTTGCTTTTTTAGGTGGTCGTCTCTTACTCCCCCGACGTAGGCGACGCTCGTTTCGTTGATTCTTGTGCTCCCGTCGTCTGAGGATGCGGTTTCTTGATTGGTGCTAGGCTGCGGGTGGTCTTGTGATTCTTGGCGTTGGCGTTGACAGTTGGTGAGCTGGCTGTGGGCGGGAGTGGATGGGAAAGGGGTGGCAGCACCTCCGCGCTTCTGGATAGATGATTTGGAGTTTGTGATGCTTTTGGGAGATGTAATGATTTGGAGATGGTGGATGTAGATAGAGTGGTGGTTTGCGTTGCAGCTGTGGCTTGGGCATCCTCGTTCACATCTTTAATCGCTGATTTGGCGTCACGGATACGGCTTTGCAGACAATGGGGGCACTGGCTCTGGCCCCAACGCTAAATTTATGGAAAAATATGGGAAGTTCGTGTGAGGTGGGTTTTATGATGAAGATGAAGATGTAACTGCATCGACAGTTGCTGCGGTACTACCGCAGCAAGTGCGCTCAACCGACGAGCGTGGAGCGGAGGAAGATCTCGCATCCAGGAGACATCGTATCAGCTGGAAATCAAGGAGGTGCTTTGCGTGCGAATCACCCAAGTCCATGGACAGCCCGAGAAAATCGTTAGAACCCTGACGAGCGGGTGTGACCCTCATGTTCAAGCCATCTATACCTAAGTAGAGAATCTGTTAGGTATGAACACTTCCATCATTGCAGCGCGTTCACCCGCAGAGTATAAAGTTTAAAACTGGACGAGTTCGTTAGGGTGAGCAGGCTGATGCCGCGGGCTCGATGTTGGTGTTTCTTGATTCTTCATTCGTGGCGTCACGTAGGATGTGGTGGCGTGTTTTGCGCTTATTGGAGCGTGTCTGTGGGACTGCTTTGATGCTGATGCCCGGGATCAGTATAGAGCTCTTATGGTCACTTCTCGCGTCCTTGGCTGCGAAGATTGCAGCCCGCGACTTCTAAGCCAAGACATGCGCGCCTGGTGGCTTGTAGACCACAACTTCGACAGCTTGCTCGAGATTTTCGACGGTCGTGCTGTTGTGGAGTCTGCTGGTCTTGCAGTTCGATAGGTATCATCGATAGCCGCGTTTGTGAGCTTGATTGCTTCCACTTTGTTTAGGAGCGGAGCTGTGTGGAAGACGCTACAAGATGCTTGCGGTCTACGTGCAATTCGATGGTGAGGTGCTACCGCCGTGCGGATCGTGAGCGCGGGAGGGGTCATGCTTTTAGAGCATTTGATCAGCGCTAGCTTTCATGCGATTTGTGCTCTGGTTGCTACTCGCGAAGTTTGTTTGCTTTTTGAATTTGATAGCTGGCAGTTCTCGCGTCGTTTTGAGGTGCTGTCATAGTCAATATAAAGGTACAGAACGAATGCACACCGGGTTTCATATACCGTGTCTGTTTCGTAGTCATTTTGGCTTTCTCCCGGCGATGGTAGCTTAACCTCCAATCCTGACGTATCCATGGAAGGTCCAAGTGAACGAGGCTGGCAGCCTTGTGTTCTATGAACAGTATGATGCATTGTTCCAAGGCAAAAGTATCTCTCACCATCCATCATCTCTTCTCAATGCTTCTATACTAATTCACTTAGGCAGCCACCAACAGAGCGCTTTCGCGGAGTGGTGGACAGCTCAAACCTCGCGTTCATTCACCTGCATCTCGTGATCGTGACAGGTCTTGGCATTGATGTCTGTGCTCACGCTAAGGATTTAAGCTTTCCGTCGCAACACACTTCGCGACGAGACCTCCGCACGCAGGCACAAACAAGTCGCAAATCATCCGAGTCGCAACTCTTTTTCGTCGCAGCTCTTCTCGGCCGCAGCCTCGAGTGTTCTTGCGATTCGCACATCTGGCGACTGGATCGAGCGACCCTTGCGACCCTTGACTGCGCTCAAGCCGCTTACTCGACTTTCTGCCCTGCTATTCCGACAACCAGCTAGCGAGTTCGAGTCAAAGCGTCTCATTTGTCTCTTCTCGGTCGACTGTCTTGTCCGTCGCCTCGACACATCGAGGTTCTCTCGCACGCCTTGCGACTTGGGACAGCGACCACAATTTCAGACTGTACGACAAGTCTTCGGCCGTGGTTGCTTCTCAGGTTCCGCCGATCTTCGCCTCGACTTGTTGCGACACACCGAGCTCCAAGTCCTTAAACATCGCCGTCCCCGCCAAGGGGCTACCTTCTCATTCAAGATCTTCTTAACGGCTCCTTTCGTCGCCTCGAGACGCCTCTCGCTGGTGCTTCTCGAAACTCCCGCACGAGGTCCCGCGTGTGGCCTTCGACCGTTACTTCGGGCCTAGATCGACTTGTGAAGCGCACACACCATAGCTACTTCATGAGTGGCACTATCTCAAGATCGTCGCATTGATTTGCACTACCCCGAGTGCTTGCACGCCTCTTCATTGACATCCAAATTGTCCAATCGAACGAGACTGGCATATATTGTTCGTTGACGGAAGTACATACTCTGCATGCGCGATTGGAACGCCCCACGCTGGATGCTACTGCTCCCTTGCCACTCTGCCCCGGCTACCAAATTGAGTCACCTAGTTGCCGTTTGATGTTCAAGACGTTGATCAAGGATCAAGATGTCCAGGAAGCGCGGGCTCGATGATGTCTTTTCGGGCCCCGAGAGCGCTGATGACAACCTCTCGCATGACGACGGCCGAGCCACGAAGAAAGCCAAGCTCGACATAACAGCTGAGTTGCAAGCGGACCAGAGCAGGATTCACAAACCCATCACCTACCATCATCCGATTCTCGCCAAGCTTGCACCCATACTAGCAGGTGGCCTGCCAGCAGACAAGATACGCGATGCCATCAAGTCTGAGCTAGTCCCAGCCTCCAAGCCGAAAGAGAACAACACCATAAAGCTGGAGTGTATTCATTGTAAAGAAGTAGAGAACTATGAAGTGAAATCACCACCAACCGGCAAAGCGCCTTGGCACTGCACGCTTTACCTGCAGACTTCAAGTTCAGCTCAGAGAACGACACCCTTGCTGAGGATATTGCAAGCAACGGGCATTGAGGGCGACTCTTGCAACCCTTCACGCTATGACTGGTCACCCACAGATGCCAATTCGAGTGAGCTGGCCGCGCAAACATCACCGAGTGCGGGGTCAACGACCTCAGACAAGAGAGGCTCAGAGTCAAAGCCAAGCCAAGACACAGAAGTGAGAGCGGGGAATGGTAGACTAGGCTTTCTCAAATACGCGCCTCCAATGCGTTTTGTCGGCGATTACGCGAAGGCATGGTCTTTTATTGCCGGGTCTGCTTTTCAGAATCACCCTTTGGCGAACATTTTTTCAACGTTTGCATCAGACAAGACAGAGGTGGACATGGAGATGCTCAAGACAATGACGCGGCCGCAGAAGCATCAAGTCTATGCATGTTCAAAGTCGATGATGAATGGTATTGACCGTGCTATGAAGGACCTTAGCAATGTGTCCAGAAACGTGGAAACAAACAAGAGAATTGTGGCCAATTATGACTTCGCGTGGATTGAGAGATCTCATCTGATTCCAGAAGAGGCAGACGAGCACACTCGCACGGCAAACACGGCAGGACTTGTCCTGCAGAGCACGCCTCACAACGACTGGGCGACCAAGCTGCGTGTTGCAAAAGTGGGGCCCATCCCAGGAGTAGAAGGTACTGGGAATTTCCGTGCATGGTGGACATTCACATTCAGCGGAAGAAAGCTGGAAGATGCCTCAAAGTGGTGGGATATGGCCAACTTCCGTGAACTGCTGAAAGTTACCAGTGAGATCGATCAGTCATCAGAGTCGGGCGCCGTGTACTTCAAAGGAGATACCATGAAGGGAGGCTATATCAGAGTCGTCTCTGAAGTCGTCTCTTACGGCGTAGCCATGGCTCCCGCCGAGGGCACAATGATGCCAGAGAGTAAGGTCTTCTTGAAAGCGTGCGAGATGAGGCTTGATAGGCAGCGCCACCAACAGTACGAGCAAGACGTCATTGCCAGTGGCACATCGCTTCAAGACTTCAAATCTATGGTTGAGAACCAGCAGGCAGCCACCCAATCTGGCAAGGCCCCTGTGGCCAGTCCTCAAGCGCCTCCCTCCTCGCAGCTACAACTTGAGCCCGTCTCCGAGCCCGAAGCCTCTACCACACTATCAGAAGCTCCTACTGAACGCGGAGAAGACCAAGATGCACTATCCTTAGTCGATCCGAATTCAGCGGCCGCTTTGGCTGAGGCTCAAGGCCAGCACCTCGCAACTCCTGAGACTCACCAAGATCGACGACAGCGGCTCTCCGAGCCACCATCATGGCGGACCGGACAGTTGCAAGAGTCTCCACCTGATGCACGTTGCGAGGATCTCTCCAAAGACAGTATGTCACCGACACCGCCTGCGAGGGGGACTGGGTTTGCCTTGGGACTGCCTGATCTTCGTTTCTCGATCGCTCATGATAACAAACACGAGGACGAGAAGCAGTCTCGTAAGAATATTGAGCCAGGTTCCGACAAGAAGCAATCTCGAGAGTCAGGTCGCACAAACTTGACCGCTAAGCTTCAAGAGATGGCGTGGCCAAGGTCGTGAGGGTGGATACCCAAGGAGATGGGTCCAAGGACCGAACACTTGTGGGAGAATAGCACACTTTGGCACGGGAAAAGCTTGTTGACGGTGCAGTCCCAACCATCTGTTCCGTTTCAAATGTCTAGCGAGGACTGTGTGCAGTAGCATGAAATAGACAAAGAAGACAGAATGATGACTCAACTAATCCATGTCCCCGCATTGTCTTCAATTTCCAGACTTCAAAGAGGTACCGCAAGCGGCGTTGTTGAAGCGTCCTATCTATTTTCACCGTATAAAGAACCAAGATATTGTTGGAATACTTTGCGGTATCCTTGCAATCCTCTGCAATCTTCCAAGCCGGCATTAACGCAGTCCTTCACCTTGGAACCAGCAATGGCTATGTTCATACGACCGATAGCAACGTTCTTGACATCAGTCTTGGGCCCAAATGCCTATACCACAGGTTCGGAGGCCTCCAGCCAAGCCTCATCTTCAGAACTGGCTGATTCACCAACTCAGGCTTGGTACGACGCCAGGCAGACTGCCTCTCCTTCTCCAAAAGGCTTGCGGAACGTACCGTCAGCTGCAGCTCGGGAAGACGACTTTTTGCAGGGTCGGAAGACGACGGAGTTGCATGGAACGTCTACCAACAGAAAGACGCGGGAGCTGCAGGAGCCATCAAAATTTGTGGCTGCTTTGCAGCGAGCTGCAGAGCTGTGGAGCGTTCTTTGCGCAGTTGATACCGAGGCGGACGACCTCGAACTCGAGACTAGACAGGAAATTTCCGAGTTTGATTTACAAACCGTAGAGGTTCGTTGTTTTGGTCGATATGAATAACATTTTGCATCCTACGAGGTGGAGGCCCACGCTGATGCATTGAGTAGTTCACGAGGCTTTCCGTGAAACGCGGCGGCGAATTTTTGGACTTCAGGCTCAGATCTCTCGCGCACGACATCAAGACTATGAAAGATGATCTTGAGGGTGGCGACAGTCGACTGGCAAGACTTCATCGCGCGAGGACCAAGAAGACTCAGGTTGCAGCTGACCTGAAGGACATCATCTCACGGATCCTGCAAGCTAGTCAACTCCATATCGACGCAAGTCGTAGCACAGGGTACATCGGCAACCTCAAGGTCACCGTCGCATTTTGCCAGAGAATGATCAAAGTTAGAGAATGTGCATACCAATTGGAAGAGCTGAGGATTCAACAGGATGCCGCTCTGAGACATTATGCGAGTATCTTGCGCCTCGCTGACGCTGCGAAGGCCGCCAAAAATACGAGCGCTGACTCCCAGCAGCCAGTGCAAGGAGATGGGCGAAGTATCAAAGACATCGAAGCATCGAGAATTGCAGCGAAAAGCGAGTTCGAGGCCAGCAAATCTCTTTTAGAGATTCGCAACGCCAATCAACTAGACAGACGAGACAAATGGCTGGGTAATATTTTCATTTCGGCGCTTCGGGACAGCCAGCTGCTCAGCTCAATGTGCATGGGTCCGTAATTCCCCATGCCGTCACCTGTATCTTCCACAGGAGATCTTTCACCGCTGAGACAGAACTTCGAACCTGCCAACACGCAGACCCAGATATATCATCCGCTCCAAGAAGAGTTCCTCGTGAGGAGAACAGAGTTGGAAAGACATATCAATCGACTAGAGGAATTCAAAATGCAGCATCATCTGGAGCATGTGAGGTGGCTTTACACGTATAGAGAATCGAACGAAGACGACTGGCAGGCTGAGACTCGGCGAAGATATGGAAAGCCATATGACGACTGGTGCGTTGACGGACAGTGTTACATCGACGCGGCACGTCAGGAGCTGAACAACGCGATGAACCGACTGGTCGAAGCGGGCATTGTAGTCCCTCCAAGTCCTGCTTTTGAAGAAGAAGAAGAAAATCCGCCTCCCAGCACCACCCTCCGACGACGAATCCGAAAGCACCAACGTGGAGTTTCTCGAGGAGACCTTGATCCCCTGCCAGCTACGCCCCCACCGATTCCTACAGGAAGCTCCGTCCGCGACCTCCAGAGCAACGATTCTCACGGTTTTCCATTCAAGGACGTCATAGAGGAGATGAAGAAGAAGTGGCACCCACAACAACAGGATTTACGCCTCCAAACGATGAAGGAGCGGCGGAGGAAAGGACGAGAAGTGTGGGTAGGGAGAATGAAGTACTCTAAAAGGGGCTGGAATCTTAAAAGCCCAACGGCAGACAGGAACAAGGCCGCGTCTAAGACATATCCCCATGAGTGAAGCTGTGAAGTAGAAAAAATTCGTAGACAGATGAAACAAACGTTTGAGGACCAAGCCCGGGTGCACGAACATCAGCATCAAAGGTAGAAGCACATCTACGTACCAGGGCTTAGCATAGGATGAGGACGGAGAATAGAGAGCTTTGAGGAGTGCAGAGACGCTTGCGGGTGATGCCAAAAGGTTCGAGACGATAGAAGCAACCACGACTAAATAACTTGATAAGGCCTGGAGAGCAGAAGCGAAATTTCGAAGAAGAATTCCATGTGGGCTGCTTTTATGGACTCCCGGAACGCATAGAGCATACAAATTTCGAAGTCCGTCGACTGGACAATATCGAGGTGCCTCACAAGGTTCTCTTCAGGACTAAAGCATCCCCTGAGCACTTGTGGAGAAAACCTTAAAGCTGATGAAAGTTGTTTGTCCAAGCTTGGGGGCGCCAACATTCACTTGAACCTTGGCCCGTGACTGGTCTTGGCAACATGGTCTGTGCTCTTATCCGTCTCAAACTTGCCGCCCGGGACTTCCTGCAAATTCGCAACGACACCACGACACCACGACACAGCGACGAGCATTTTGTCCAACTTGCCAATCGTGCCTGGACTTCTCCAATACTGTGGCCTGCGCCCAGCGATCCATTCTTTGCATTCCTTCACCAAATCACCTGTCCCCCTCGACCACGCGAAGTCCGTTGGTGCCGCGCTGCGACAGCTTCTCGAGCCGTCGGCGTGGTCTCTTTCCTACTCGCTCTCGACTTACCTGCGGTCGGCGACGGGACCAGATACTATTCTGAGGCAAGATTCTTTCAATCGCCTAGTGCTCCGCGCTTCAGTCGCCCCGTTTCTATCAAACGCGTCGGACGACCGTCTCTTGAACAGCTCTGGCCTCGATCAGCGAATCTCCATGAATCAGTCGTAGAACAGCACTTCGCATCTCTACCAACACGCGCTGTCTTTTCTCGTCGCGACTGGAGGTCACACCACTCAACTCCACCAGGGGTCGCCCTCCTCGACCTTGCAACCACGACTCTCGTCTCATCCCTCGGTTTCCTTGAAGTGCATACAAGCGCTTCTCCCAGGCGAGTATGGCCCGCTCCACAAAGCGAAAAGCAGATGAGATGGCGTGCAGTCCTTCGCGCGAGCTGCAGCGCCAGCGTCCGCCGCATGCAGGTTCCATGGAGAAGTACAGAGTTGAGTTCAGCAACTATGTCGTCGCCAAAGCTGCCTCGACACTCGCGCATCCACTGATGACGCTGGCTGGGAAAATCCGCGTGATAAGTTCTTCGTGGCTCCATGCGAACAGGACAGAGGCAAAGACACAATGAAATTGAAATGCAACATGTGTCACAAGCAAGAAAACTATGGGCTTATTGCTCCACTCGATGAACACCTCCTCGAACAGAAGCTATTACCGCAGAAAGAGGGAACTCCTTGGACGAATAGCAGTCTCCGGAAAGAGCTGAAGGCAATTGGAGTAGAGTGCCCATCATGTCTCCGTCCTAGGACTCGTCCACCTTTACCCTTCAAGCGCGACTCGACAGTGGGGTACTTTGAAGAGAAGACAGACGACGGATTCCCAAAACGAAAGGCCCCCATGAAGACTGTTGGTCAGATGCTGAAAGGCATGATGTCTTTTCTGGAGACCGTCGTCACATCTGAGTTGGCTCTACGAGAGCTGCGGAAGCAGTTGAACGACGAAACACCCGTGGATATGGATCAGCTCCAAGACTTGGAGCCGGATGATGAATTCCGCCTACACGCATTATCGAAGACTTTGAAGTACCATACAGACGCATTGATGAGAGACCAGGACGATATGTGCCGAGATGAGGCAACGAACAAAAAGCTGGTTGAAGAAAACGACATTGTGCTGATGGAGAGCTCGTTCGACGTGACAGAGAGCTATGCTACCAAATTTGGGAAATCAATAGAGCCTCACAGTGGTATCTGTGAAAGCTCACGCGCTGTGCAGAAGACCAACAAATACCGGCCTTACAAGATCGAGGACGTTGGCAAGGAAACCTTCACAGCAAAGGCAATGTCTACATTTGGAGACAACACGCTGAGAAAAGTGGCCAAGGAGAACCACAAGCAGTACATGTTGATTGAGGCGGTCGATGAGGGCGTTGAAGTTCCAACAACACCCGGGAAGATGGTGGTACAGCGCGGAGTGAACGGGTTTCTTCACGCCCAGGCCGAGACAAGACGCTATGACGAGCCGATGATGGCTTTTGAGGGCAAGTTTCCTCTTCGCAGCAAGATCATATCCTCCTGCTACTCCGACATCCTCGCACACCAAGTCCACATGACTCGTATGAGCAAGTGGCTTGCCGATGGACTCCCACAAGATGTTCTCGATGGATATCAGCAAGATGCCCGGGCCATGTACACAAGGAACACCCAGGGCTTGCAAATTGTGGACGATGTTTTCAAATACAGCATGGAGCATCTTGGCGAAGAAATTGAGGGCGATGAGGAAAAGGAGACGAAAGAAGAAGACGACGCGCCTCATGTTGATGACGAGTACAACTTGAAGATCGGCGACGACCACAAAGACTGCGCCAGCGCTCAAACGTTTACATCTCCATCGTCTGACTCCAGTCGGGTTTTAGCGGAGCATGAAAAAGGAAGCAACGCAGATAGTGTCGTGGGATTTGCGTCCATCAAGTCGCGGTCGAGCGAGCAGCAGATTCTGTCGCCCGCTTTGGCCCATTTCTGCGCATTGGCGTCGGTTGAAGATTCTCAGCACGTCACGCTTGATGTGCAGCAGAGATACACACAAGACGATGGGCAAAACCTTGGCAAGAGCTCAGACCAGGAAGGCCCTCCACGCAAGCGTCTTAAGATAGACCATGATGACGTGCACTCCTCATCGATGCACTCCAATGGTTCAAACGATGAAGGCAATCTCAACCCCAGCAGATGCGACGAAGCCCAGTTACTTGATGACTTCACTGCTGCCGTGGATTCATCATCGAACGCTGTTCAGGCAACTTCCACACGGTCTCAGCTGATGCCGCCGTCAGCAGTAGCAAGATTTACACCAGCAGCGAATCAACCGCGCTCTCAACTGGGCTCATTCAGGGAAACAGATGCGACTAGACGCGCCTACAGAGACAGCGCCTCAGCTTTGGCCAGTCACGCTGCTCGAGCCTTGTAAGCGGTTGACTACAATAAGTGCTTTGCCGAGAGGTGAAACCAAAAAAGGGGATAACACGAGGATCGAGACATTCAACAAACGCTACAAGTATCGGAACATGGGAGTTTGGGATCGTGAATACTTTGTTCTTCATGGTTCCAAAAGGCGTGGAGACGTCGATCTTTGTTTGAAAGCATGTTCAGGCCAGGCGTAGCACAGACAAAGACCGCGATGTTGCAAGCAGAACTTCAGATAACAAAGCGAATACTGTCGAGACGACACAGAGATTGTTGGTGGTCCATAACTCTGCTGCTTTTTTGTTTTCGGTCTGCTTCCTGCATATCATAGTCTCGTTCATTTTTACACCCTCGTAGAGCTCCATACTCGCTAAGCATGACCACTTTGTTCTGGTTCGTGGTAAACTTGTTCAGATCTATTCCTGACCTGCCTGATTCTTCCCCGAAAGACTCTGATCTGCCTGTCGCAAGTGCCTCGTCCCAACCGTCCGCTGCTCCTCAGGCAGTCAATGAAAGGCCGTCTACCAGCAGGGGTCAAGCACGAGAGCGTAGAGGTCACTTTGCCAATGCTGAAATTCGTCGAAACGCTCCACCAACAGATGGAGGTGACTCCGTCACACCATCTATCACTCGATTCAAACTACCACCATATGATGATGCTCAAAAGTTTCTTGCTTTTCTGCATCGCGCAGTCGAGCTTTGGGCTCAGAGAGAGACATTGGAAGACGAGATTCGGGTTCTTGACCAGGATGTTCCACACTTCCTGTCCCTTCTCGAATACCGTTCAGCTGAAGTAGGTGGCTCTATCAGGAAACTGTCCGGCATGACTGTGAGCATGGCTGACTTGACTATCAGTTGAAAAGAGTCACCACAAAGCCTGAAGACCCGCGACTGAAAGAGATAGTCTGGGGCCTTGAAGAAGAGGTCAAAGAATTAGAAAATGCCCTGGAAGGTGACACGGGCTTGCTGTCTCAATTTGAGCGTGTCAAGGCGAGCAGGCAACTGATAAAAGTCAACCAGAACCTTCTTTTCAAGAAGATTTTTCGGAGCTCTCAGTACTTTGTCGACCAAAGCCAGGGTACAGGTATGATCGGAAATATTCAAGTTGACGACAAGTTTTGCTGCGCGCTTTGGGACACGTCAGAAGGCAAGTCATCGAATGAATCATGACTGTATCGTGCACCGCTGATTTTCCGATTGCAGATGTGCTTCGTACTGAAGCTGGGGAACGTGAATGTCGCCTTACTTGGAAGCGATATAAAGCGGCCGAACAGCAATTGGCAAGAGCTTTGCAGGAGGCAGAAGTTCAGGCCGGATTTATAGACCAGCTCAAGACTGCGAAAGCTGAATCATACGCGGAATCCAAAAGGGTTCAGCAATTGCAAAAGTGTCGAGCCGAAACGCTCCAGCAGAACTTGAGGAAGCTTGTGCAGAATCGAATCCTCCCTGTTCTATCAGCAGCCCGAACTATTGACACAACAGTCGTGTCACCAACATTTTTACCATCATGCCAAGTTGAATCTGATGGGAGTCTCTCTCCTGTTGATGAGAATCATACGAAGAAAACCCTCCGACCGGATCAGCAGGCTGCCTTGCATGATTTTATTCAGTTCTCGAAAGAATATCAAAGTCATTGTGATGCGCTGGAGAAATTTGACGAGGTATACAGGATCAATAAGATCAGTCACTTGTGCACATACACGAGCGCTACTGTCGAAGACTTTGAGCAAGCATATCGCAACAAACACGAAGACTCATACGAGAAATCGCGCCAGCGGGGAGAGGCGAACATACACGACTGTGGCAAAGACTTCGAACGAGCAATTGACCGCGTGGTTGCGATGGGTCTGGAACTGCCAGCAATGCCAGCGCCCGAAGGAGAGACGTCAACTCTCACCGAAACAACCAGAAGGAAAATCCGAAAACATCTCCGCGACGTAGCGCGAGGCAGATCTCCTCGCGGATCACCCACGAGTGCAGTCCTTCCGCCAGGTGATTTCGATCGAGGCCCTGACTGGGCCAGCGCCAACTCAGGCAATCCTGAAAGAGCCGCGATGGTCAGAGACTACGTGCCGAAAAGGGAGGCCATGAGGGTTAAGGCGTTGGAGGAACGGCGGAGGAAGGCGAGGGAGGTCTGGTTGAGGAGGATGAAGAGATCGAAGAAAGCGATTTCCTTGCGAAGTCCGAGTCCGGTTCAGGGGGTTGATCCCTGGTTGGGCCAGAATGATCCCGCTATCACGACGCAGGATCCAGAGAAGAAGAGACGACGAGGCTGATGTGAGTATTTCAGGGGAGATATAACTGGTTACCTTTAGAAGAGGCAGCAGGCTACTTTGGGGGCCGAAGCATGCCGATGCGAGTGTTTGTAAAAGTGCGGCTTTGATGAAGGTTTGGGCACACAGTTGAATCGTGGGAACTTGAAAGACCATATCTTCCATCATCTGTAGCAATCATTCAAATCATATCTATACTCATATCTATACACCGCCAACTTCCAAGCACCACTCACTCCCCCACCGCCCATCTGCAAACGACCTAAAACCCCCTACTCAAAATCACAACTCCTCGCCACCCTCTCCAGCGCATCAACATTCCTCCTAACCATCTCCATCTTCCCCTCGAACCGCCCCAAAAACTCATTCCCAAGCGGCAGTCTCAAAAACTCCCCAATGCCGCCTTCCGGCCAACCCACCCCACCCCCGACAACAGCCTCCAAGATCCTCTTTGCACACCGGTCGGGATCTAGGTTCTGATTCCCATCCATGCCCCGGATCGCACCCATGACCCAGTCCGCGGGGCTGTTCTCGTAGTGCGAGGAGATCGAAGCGGCGGACATCCGCCCGGGTTCCATGAAACCTGTACGCATACCGCCGGGCTGGACGATCAGGACGCGGATGTTGAAGGGGGCGAGTTCGCCGGCAAGAGATTCGGAGGCGCCTTCGAGGGCATGTTTGGAGGCGGCGTAGAAGGATAAGGCGGGCTGCCCCCCGATGCCCTCGGTGGAGGTGATGTTGATGATATGCCCGTGTCCGAGCGAGCGGAAGTGTGGGATGAGGGCTTTGGTCAGGCGCATGGGGCCCCAGAAGAGCGTTTCGACCATCTTGCGGGCGGCGTCGAAGTCGCAGTCCTCGAGGGGCCCACCGTAGCCGTAGCCGGCGTTGTTGATGAGGACGTCGATGTGTCCGAAAGCGGCGATGCAGGGTTGGAGGTCTTGTTCGAGGGTAGGGGATGTTACGTCTAGGGTGATTTTGGCGCAGTTGGGGGAGTCGAGGCCGGAGGGCGCTTTGGAGGGGTTGCGCATTGTTGCGACGACTTTGTGGCCGGCGGCGAGGATGGTTTTGGCGAGGCTGAGGCCGAGGCCGTTGGAGGCGCCTGTGATGAGGAAGACCAGGGGCGTCGACATGTTCATGTTGCTCGAGTTTGTTTTGAATGTTGCGATTGATGAGAGTTCGTCGCTCTTGTTGCTGGATAGTCGTGAGGGCTGATACTCCCCTAAGGACCGTTACCACACATCCTTATATATCCTCCCTTCCAAGCCTGCTCCTCGTTGCAACTCTCAGAATCCTTACCAACATTCCCGGACGACGGCAGGATTCCCGTACCCTAGCTCATCTCGCAGCCTCGCGCTACGCGCTCGGACATAGCAAGGACTTATTTTGCTCATGCCGCCATAATATGTCCCGTCTAGTCAGCAGATTGCGAGTTCTGTGCCAATTGTAGTGCCTGGATAGCTAAATCGTTGTCACCTTGGAAAGAATTGTTGGAGCTGACACTGGAGCCCGTGGATCGCGAGATCCTTCTTGGTGCAAGCGGGCCGAACGTTCAGCCGAGTCGGCACCACTTAAGGGTGCAGCCTCGGCGTGGGATTCCTGTGCCTGCAGGCAGTTGTTCGCATGGGTTCGGGGTTGGTAGTGTGTGGCGCAAATGCAGACGGTTCATTCCAGAAGGACGGGTTTAATTCTCACCAAATGCCTGAACAACCAGAAGAGCTTGGATGACAGTCCCCAGCCCGAAGCCCGAAGCGGACACTGTAGCGATCAACATACTGTGCAGGCGGAAGGTACGTACCATGTTGGAAGCTCAGCGTCTTGTAATACAGTCGTCTATCTGTACATTCCGAAGTGGAGTTGGTTTCCATGCCAATGAGGCACTGATGGCCGTAGGTTGATGCAATGCTGTGTTCCTCCACCACGCAACGCCATGCAAATGCTAATGCTTTTTCAGGGAGCAATGAAGCATCTCAGTGCTTTAAGCCATATTTCCCCTTCGCCATGACCTCTGAGTAGGTCATCGTTTCATCTTACAATTCCAATCAGGATCCTCCGCAAACTCGCTGCCTTCCGACGCAGCCAGCTCTTCCGCGTTCCGAAGGGCCTTGAGCGTACCGTTGTTGCTCCGCAGGTCGTTGTAATGAAACAGAACCAGTACGAGACCCAAGATCTTGATGACCTTGAGAAAGCCACCAACTACAACCTTCGCGTAATGGACCGCGAACTTGGCACCTTTCCCGCCATACTTGAAGCCATGCTGGACAGACCTCGCCCGTCTTGCCCATTTTACAAACAAGTTCAGCCAAAGAGAAGAGTCATTCTCCTACTTCTTGTTCTTCTCCGCCCTCTCCTTCTCGTGCTTGGCAATCAATTCCTTTTGCAGCTGCATGGGCGCCGGTGCATAGTGCGAGAACTCCATCGAGAACTCGCCCTTCCCTTGAGTGGCAGCTCTCAGTTGTGATGAGAAACCGAACATGCCATTGAGCGAACAGTCAGCCTGCAAAGTAAACTCCTCTGGACCAATCTCTGTATCGTTGATGACAGCATTGCGCTTGTTCATTAATCCGACGACATTGCCTTGGAATTCATTTGGTGCTGTGATGGTCGTCTTCATGAGCGGCTCGAGCACCTGGGGCTGGGCAGCGATGAAAGCTTTTCGGAAGGCTTGCTGGGTAGCGTTCTTGAAAGCCATTTCGCTGGAATCTGTCATATGGGTTGCTCCGTCATTGATGACCATGCTGGCACCGAGAACCCTGTGGCCAAGTAATGGCCCGTTCCTGCACGACTCTTGGAAACCCTTGTCGCAAGCAAAGAGATACTTCTCAGAGATGGTACCTCCAACAATCTGGGACTCGAATTTGTTCTCACCAAGCTGGCCAGTGGGTTCGATGTAACCGACGACACGAGCGTAGTCACCAGCACCTCCAGTCTGCTTCTTGAGCAGGTGGTCGAATGGAACGTGTTGTTGGAGAGTCTCTCGGTATGCGACTTGTGGCTGTCCAGTGACGACTTCGACCTTGTATTCACGCTTCATGCGCTCGACGTAGATGTCGAGATGCAATTCGCCCATACCGCTGATGATGCTCTCTCCAGATTCAGTATCCACATGGACTCGGAATGTAGGGTCCTCGCGCTGGAAACGAGAGATGGCCTTGCTGAAATTCGGGGTGTCCTTGGTGTTTTTCGGCTTGATAGAGAGGGAGATGACAGGGTCTGGAACGAACATGCTGGTCATGGAGTAGCCCAGACCGCCCTCGGTGAAGGTATCCCCAGATGCACAGTCAACACCGAAGACGGCACAGATTTCTCCAGCGCCGATTTCCTGCACTTCCTCCATTTCGTTGGAGTGCATTCGTACAATACGTGGAATCTTCACCTTCTGCCCCGTTCGTGCGTTGAAGACGTTTTGGCCCTTGCGCAGTGAACCTTGGTATACGCGGACGTAGGTGAGCTGGCCGAAGTTGGACTCTTCAAGCTTGAAGGCCAGACCAACGAATGGCAAGGAGTTGTACGATACGAGCTTGACAGAAGCTTCATCTCGCTTTCGATCCAAAGCCAAGTTCTCAACTTCTGACGGGTTGGGGAGGTAGTCGACGACGCCATCAAGCATAGGCTGCACAGCTTTGTCGGCAAGAGCAGAGCCCATGAAAACTGGGGTGAATTTGAGTGAGATGGTGGCACGGCGGATGGCAGCTTTGATCTCCTCGGGTGAAGGGGTCTGCTCCTCCAAAAAGACGTTTGCGATCTCCTCGTCGACATCTGCCAGAGTCTCAATCAGGAGGTCTCTCTTTTGTTGAGCAAGCTCCTTCAAATCAGCCGGAACCTCATCTTCGCGAATCTCTTCTCCCTTGTAGCCCTCGGAGTACATTGCCTTCATTCTGATGAGGTCAACTACGCCCTTGAACTCGTCTTCGACACCGATCGGAATCTGGACTGCTGCGGCTGGCAATCTCAGCTTCTGGCTGATACCATCGACTGCCTTCCAGGGGTTGGCTCCAGCTCGGTCCATTTTGTTCACAAAGGATATCCTAGGAACGTTGTATCGCTTCATCTGACGATCGACGGTGACTGTCTGACTCTGAACACCGCTCACAGCACACAGAATCATAACGGCGCCATCCAGTACTCGCAACGCTCTTTCCACTTCAATGGTGAAGTCAATATGTCCGGGGGTATCGATCAAGTTGATGTGGTATTTCTCGTCTTTCAGTTCGCCAGTGACAGGATCTGGAGTCTTCTTGACCCAATCGCAGAATGTTGCAGCAGATTGGATAGTAATACCCTTCTCTCTCTCCAAGTCCATGCTGTCCATCTTTGCGCCAACATTGTCTCTTCCTCTGACCTCATGAATATCCTTAATCCGCCCAGTATAGAACAGGACTCTTTCTGTTGCTGTCGTCTTGCCCGAATCGATATGCGCCGCGATACCAATGTTGCGAACTTTGTCTAGTCGTGCTGCCTCTTTCGGATCCAGATTCTCGACGATGGCCTCCTGTGAGAGCGATGTGGGATCGTGGACTGCCGCTTCCTGCACTGCTGCAGCAGTCGCGTTCCATCTTCTCGACTGATACTGTATTCTGTTGTGGTTCTGGCCTCTGATGGATGGTTGTGAAATAGGGAGGGCTGCTGCCATGAATGCCCTTCGGCTGCATCCACTGATATTCACGCCGCGCAGACCAGCAGTCCGCAAAGAGCTGCGGACAAGAGCCTGGACTCGCATCGTCGGCCCGTGATGAAACGAAGGGAGGTGAAGTGAATGTTCAATCGCAGGCGCGACAACTTTTCGAGACCCGGAATCCCAATCGGGAACACCCCCGCGGCAAAATTGTGATCACGTGCCCGCGTCAGTGAAACTTCAAAACGAGCAAGACCTCTACCAATCTTCAAGGTAAGTCGCAACTTTGACGAACACCACCACATTCTCATATCGGACAGCAAAATGTCGCTAATACCTGCACGCAACGGTGCGAATGCGCCGCCGACTCGATCCGCCAACCTGGTCAGCGACAAGCCTTTCAAGACGTCCACCAAGGGAAAGGTGCCCACTGGATACGCCGAAGAAATCGCCATATCGGAACAGAGCTTTCGCGACCTACATCGCGACGTCCAGAGGCAGCAATCAGCAGGAAAGAAGCGAAAGCGAGAAACGAAAGGCGACAGCGGTGTGGTGTACGGAGCGGGCGCATACAAAGGGCCGTGGGCCAAGTACGAGGAGCGGAGGATTGACAGTGATAGCGGCGAGGAGGTGGAAGTTGAGGTTACCGATGATGAGAGTGGCGATGAGGAGGTGATGTACGAAGAAGATGCCATCGTGGCGAATCCCAGCCGTGGTACTCTGAAAGGCACAGCGTACGATGCAGTGGGCACGGAGAAGGAAAGCACTGTCTTCGAGGGCAGCCAGCAATACGACTACCAGGGACGCACGTACATGCATGTGCCGCAGGATCTGGATGTGGATTTGGTCGGGGACTTCGAGAATCTCAACTTGAAGTGCTACCATCCGAAGAAGCTGGTTCACACTTTCAAGAGCCAGGGAGGGCAGAAGAATGCACACGAAAAGGCTCTCACTTCGCTCAAGTTCTTCCCATCGTCTGGTCACCTCTTGTTGAGTGCTGCGGCGGATGGTAAGGTCAAGCTCTGGGACGTCTACCACGATCGAGAGCTGCTTCGTTCATACTCTGGCCACACAAAATCAGTGGTCGATGTCGACTATTCACCGGATGGAACACGCTTTTTGACCGCATCTTATGATCGTCAAATGAAGGTGTGGGACACGGAGACTGGTTCATGCCTGGGACGCTACTCGACAGGTAGCACCCCTCATGTGGTGCGTTGGAATCCTGAGGACCGCTCCGGCAAAGAGTTCCTGGCTGGTATGCACGACAACAAGATCGTGCAGTTCGACACTCGACTTCCGCCTGACGGCGACAAGAAGAACCCAGTGCAGGAATATGACCACCACTTGGGACCTGTCAACACCATCACATTCTGCGACGAGAACCGGCGATTCATCACTACATCAGATGACAAGTCGCTGCGAGCATGGGAGTACAACATCCCAGTCCCGATCAAGTTCATCGCAGAGCCATACATGTTCCCCATGGTCAAGTCTGCTTCACACCCCTCCAAGAACAGCGTCCTCCTTCAAAGCAGCGATAACACAATCAAGGTCTATAACACCGGGGAGAAGATCCGCCAGAATCGCAAGAAGGACTTTAGGGGACACAACAACGCTGGTTATGCTATTGATATTGACGTGTCGCCTGATGGAGGAATTGTTTGCAGCGGTGATTCCGGCGGCTTTGTGTGCTTCTGGGACTGGAAAACCTGCAAGATGTGGCACAAGATCAAGGCCAGTGATGGTGCGGTCGTCAGTGTTGCATGGCATCCGCGAGAGAGTAGCAAGGTGGTTACGGGTGATCTGAACGGTGTGATCAAGTATTGGGACTAAGTGTCTCTACGGTTCTGAAATCAATTAATCATTGCCGATTCATCCCGTGCCATTACTCCACGCCTATCACCAGAATAATAGGCCAATCGTGCTAGAAGATTGCATTCAGGTCACACCTGGTGAACTTAGCGGATCAACCTTTCTCCGAGGCAGCCCAATCTCACCTTGGCTCCTCAAACGCCTCCTCTTCTCTCCTCCGCCATCAAATGCCGGCGCGGCATTCGCGACTCCATCGCCGACGCGTGGTCTTAGTGTCCAACATGCACCGGAAAGAGGGCATGGCCTTCACGGACAAGATCGAACATGGAGCCGCCGAACGCCTCAGACACCAGCTCGCCTCCGCTGGCAAAGAAGCGACGCACACCGAAAGCCTGTGCTTCCTGCCGGAGATCCAAACTGAGATGCGATGAGCAGCGCCCATGCAGTCGATGCCTGAGCACAGGAAATACATGTGTCTATTTCGAACGACCCAAGGACCCTACAGTCGAACGGTTCGAGCGAATCGAAAGCGCGTTGTCTGGTATTCAGGATAGATTGGACATCCACTACGGCCAACCGTCTCCAGTTGCAACGCATTCGTCAATCTCGTTCGACGACGATTCTTTGTCCTCGACCCGGGCAGTTATATCGAGACCAGTGCCTCCTTCCAGTCTTTCCGACTTTGCCCTGAGGGAGCCGTCCACGACAGATCTGATATCATCTGGGCTGTGTTCTGAACAAGATGCTAGATTGTGGTTCGTGACTTTTTTCCAAGGCTGTGATCGATTCGTGCCAGTCTTTGATCCAAGCACGGATACTTTTGAATCGGTCAAAGGTGCAAAAGCTTCAACACAGTGTCATTAGCTTTCTTCTGATTCATAACAGCTCGGTCCAGTATCCTGTTCGACATCATCGTCTCCTACGGCTGTAGAGCGGCCACTGGCGTTCTTTCTCGACAGTATCAGATGCTTTACAGCCTACTGCGACGCCACACATCAGACTTGATCTTGCGTCTGTCAGCAAGCCAAGATCGACCACCGCCGCTCGAAGACATCCAAGCACTAATGACCATTGCATCGTACTCTGACAGCGGAGCAGTCCTTGCTGATGTTGCGTTGAAAGCCGCCATCTATACTGGACTAGCGAACGGGCTCGATAGTCTATTTGCTTCGGTTCTGAACACCACTGGTCCGGATGTCCCAGCACCTCCCAAACCTCTTCGTGAGGCACGAGTTTGGTATGGACTCTTTGTGCTTGACCATATGTAAATGGTGCTCTGTTCTGAAACGCAAAGCAGTATCTGACTTCTAACCAGACTCTCGCTTGACGGCGGCAAACCTTCCAGCGTCTACATTCAATCTTCGCCACGGCGTGTTCGTGCCCTCGTCAGCCATCAAGAGCGAACTTCGACCGATCTTCGCTTGTTCGCTCAGGTGGAATTGAACGCCATCCGACTCACAGCCCGCTCCTCTCTTACAGGTCGCCACGTAACAGACGCAGTATCGCCCGACTCGATCTCCAGAATTGTCAATGGCACCCTCCTCGACCTTCAACTGTGGCTATCTGAGTGGCAAGCCATTGAATTCGGCGATGCAAGCTCTACAGCCGAGCACCCGGTCTTGCTACTAAATCTGCGCATCCAGCATGCCTGGGCAATCTTGACCCTGCAACTCTGGGCTCTGACAGCGTCGGGCGTGGAGAACATTGCACTCATGACTGACAGTCAGCGGGACATTGCACTCGCGGCGAAATCGGCCGCTGAGCAACACCTACAGCTACTGCTCACGAATGTTCCGATGCAAGACAACACCACATCAATGCCGTATGTGGCCAATCTACGTTACGCCATGGAATTCGTCTGGGCAAAGAACGCCTTCTGCATACTCATCGTCCTGCGTCTGGGTATACTTCTCGGAGATCCTCCCAATTCCTTGATCCAACGACTAACCGAGGCGCACCAATTCCTCCACGAACTGGACAAGGCCGGCATGGGGGCGAATATTAGCTACATGCGAATACTAGCCCAGACCGTCGACAAATGCGAACGGGCCGTCAAGGCATCTATGCGAAACGAAGAACGAAACTCCGCAGAGTCGAGCGATACCGACTTCCAGAGCTTCATCCCGAAAGAGTTCATGTTCGAGTGGGACTTCCCGGGTCTGAATCTCTGCTATATCCCATTCGACTGGCAGGATTTATTCCTTGATTTTGGGACTACAGCCTAAACTTAAAATACTCGTCACCTTCGCAATCATCGCCATATGCCATCATTCCAAGTCGTCACTAATACACATAAATGAAGTCCTCATTCTTAAGGTCGGTCACGTCATCAAATGCCTTGTCGCCAATACCAGTGCCCTGGGTGTCATTGACGGCTTCGTCGTGCTTCTGCAGAGTCGACTTGCTCTCCATGGACAAGTCTACCACTTTGGCCGACTTTCCTACACGCTCTCTTGCTGCGGCGTGACGAGCGTTCAAGAAGCGGATCCAGGCTGCTCCTATGGCCACGAGGATGATGATCAGGATGAAGAGGATCAGGTTGCTGATGAGGCCGCTGGTGTATCTGGGCGCTTGTGTTGTGGTGTACAGGTTTGGTCTACAAAGATCGTCAGCGGAATCACCAGGAGGAAACGAACAAGACGATCTTACCCGATGATGTTCCCGGCAGATGCACCGATGAAGAGCACACCCGTAGTGACTTTACGCTTTGTATCGCCTGCTGTATTTTGTCCCGACCATGAGTAGATCATGGGGCTGATGGCAGGATATACGGAGGTGATGTAGTAAGCGAAGAGCAAAACGCCCTTGTTCTTGGGTGTGTGCTCGATCTTCAGGAGTAGGGATATGCCAATAATTGGAGGGATGCACAACGCAGCCAGGAACGGCGACTTCATCTTGTAATGGGTGGCAGCCCAGGCACCTCCCAGCGTCGCAACGAGCTGCACCGCACCGAACGGCATGTTGAAGAGGATTGTTGTGAAGGAATCAAAGCCGAAAGATTTCACGATAAGCGGCCCGAACGTCGTGATGCCTCCGCTTGGAATCGAGACAGCCGTCAGTAGAGCGAACCAGATCCAGGTCTTGAGATCGAGGAAGCACTCCTTGACGTGGTCCCAGCGCCACACTCCGGACGAGATTCCCATTTGGTTCATACGGACTCTTTCGACGGCCAGGAGCTTGTCGTCGCCTTTGAGGAAGCGGGCTTGCATTGGTGAGTCGGGGAGAAAGAGGAAGACGATGACCGAGAATGCGACTGTGAGGCAGCCGCAGAAGAGGAAGATCGTCTATCAAGATCAGAAGTGTTCTTGCGATAGTATAAGCATGCATACCTGGAATGGACGCAGAGCACCGTTTATATGTGCGAGCCCATAGCTCAACAAGCTGCCAAACTGAGACAGGGTCAGTCGACGTATGTCTGGAGCGAACAGCTCATCTTACAATGTTGACTATCCCCAGCATGGAATACCAAGCTGCGTTACGGTTCGTCTGCTCGGAACGTCGATACCACATTTGCACGAGTGCGATGAAGGTGGGAGCCACGGAGGCTTCGAATGAGCCAAGAATGAACCTGGCCGCCATCAAGCCTCCGAAGTCCTTTGCGGCGGTCATGCCGCATAGTGTCGCTCCTACACACAGGTAAGTCAGTCAGGCTATGCCCTTTGGATGGCAGAAGGGTTTCACTTACCCCAACAGAATACCATCACAGCACAGAATTTGCCGAGCGGCAGCTTGACCAGGAAGTATGCAATGACCGGCTGCCAAACCAGCTGGGCAACGTACACAATCGCTCCCGACCAGCTGTATTCTTGTCCCTTGAGATGCAAATCTTCGATGATGCCAAAGACGGAAGCATACGACAGCGCCGTCTTGTCGAGCGATTGAAGACAATAAATAACCAGAATGATGGGCAGGATATGCCAATCAATCGTTCTCAAAATCCTCTTATTCTCTTCAGGCGTGACGACGACAGAGTGGCCGGCGGCTTTCAACAGCTGGGCAGCCTTGTCTTTGCCGCCGACAGTCGTTTCAACGGCTTCAATCGTCTCGGTGTGCACGTCGATAGGTTTCTGAGTATACGCTCCATGGGCGACCATCTCAACATCAGTCTCGTCTCGTGTGCTGTACGCCATGATGGCTTCTGTCTCTTCGGTCAACGGAGTTGTGGGGATCAAACGAGACAACAAGTTAAGGGGGAGAAGTGGCTTATCATGGGCCTTTTGTCGGATAAGCAGAACCATGTCGTTATCCCCAGACCCCGTCACCCCATAGTACGACTCTCCCCATGGGACCAAGTTGCCGATCTCATGTGGTTTCCCCACTCCTCCACGTTGCCGTTACGAACGGCTTCGGAGATGTCACCTCGCAACGCCGAGAAAGACTTTCGTTTGCGCAGCCAATTGCAGAACGCGCCGTCTGTTATTAAAGAAGACTTGACCATATCTGGGTCGTACTCCTCATCGGCTTTCGGTTGGGAAGTCCGATGAGGTGCTCGACGGCACTTCTACGAGCTCGTCTTTGGGGTTGACTGCGGCATTTGACGGTGTTGGCGACGTGACTTTCGCTGCTGGGCCACGTTCTCCGATGCTTGGCTGGGATATCACCAGACTTACAAGGTGTTCGACGGCAAGAGCCATTCGGGCGTCATTGCCGCGACGATAAGGCCATTGTGCATTGTTCCTGCTGAGAGCTGCTCGAGAAATACCTCCCACATATATCAAAGACTTCACCTAGGACACCTCGGATCTAACTCGAGGACAGCGAGATCTGGAATCTCGTTGGTTGTTTCTAGCAAACATGCCTCAGCAAGAATTCGTCCCTAAGGAGTACAGCTTGAAAAATACCTCGTCATCATCGCTCCACCTCCAAAGCAATGAAAGATCGAAACCTGTTGACTTTACCTTCGATGTGATCAGATCGGGCCTCTTCCGAACGACGTTTACATCAGAATCGCACCCATTACCACCATTCCCCAGTGCACCACGCCTCACAGCTGGGACATCCTCCTTCACGACCACCAACTCCGGACCCAAACACAAGATCTTCCAAGTCGGCGATGTCGAAGCCAGAGTCGAGTGGAATGGCGTCCCTATCGTCTCGGTGGGATATTCAGGCCAACAACCCCTCCATTACGACCTGCCATTCCGCTCATATGCCCTCGATGGCCCCGGGATCGCCCATTACACACGCTACTTCCGCGGCAGCTTGCATGTTGGTCTTGGAGAAAAGCCTGCCCCAATGGACTTGTCGAATCGCCACTTCACCCTCTCGGCCACGGATTGCTTTGGCTATGATGTTCATCGAACAGATCCCATGTACAAGCACATCCCCTTGCTCGTCCGCATGGCACCCGAAGGCGTCGTAGCTACGTTCTCGACGTCTCATGCGAGAGGCTACTACTCCGTCGGCAGCGAGATGGACGGGATGTGGGGCTTCTTCAAAGTCTATCGACAGGACCACGGAGGGCTGGAGCAATATATCCTCATCGGCAAGACGATCGAAGAGGTCGTTACGATTTACGCTGATCTTGTCGGATATCCCATGCTCGTCCCTCGCTGGGCGTTCGGATACCTCGGCGGGGGCATGAAGTATTCCATGCTGGATGAGCCACGAGCGAGCGAGGCCCTGCTGGAGTGGGCTGGACTGGTCGAGAAGCATGATATTCCTTGCTCTGGATTCCAGATGTCTTCGGGGTATACCGTCGCGGAGACAGAGCCCAAGACAAGGAATGTGTTTACTTGGAATCGACATCGTTTCCCGGACCCTAAGGCCTTTTGTGATGAGTTTCACAAGAGGGGGATTAGGCTTATTGCGAATATCAAGCCTTATATTCTTGCGAATCATCCGGAGTATGACGGGCTTGTAAAAGCTGGAGCGTTGTTCAAGGATCCGAATACCGGGAATACTGGAGTTGCGAGACTATGGAGTGCAGGAGGTGGTGAGTCAGGAGAAGGTGGACATATCGATTTCTCCAGCAAGGCAGGTTTTGAATTCTGGTACAATGGCGTCAAGGAACTACGTAAAGTCGGCATGGATTGCATGTGGAACGACAATAACGAATACCTCGTCCCAAGCGACGACTGGCAGCTAGCTCTGACCCATCCGTCCGTGAAAGATGTCAAAGAGCCACGAAACGACATTGGGCTCTGGGGTCGTGCACTGCATACCGAACTGCACGGCAAAGCCTCCCACGATGCCCTTCTCGAAGTCTACCCTAACGAACGACCCTTCGTCTTGACTCGCAGTGCCACAGCTGGAACGATGAAGTACGCCTGCAGCGCCTGGTCCGGCGACAACATCACCTCCTGGGACGGCATGCGAGGTGCCAATGCCCTTTCTCTCACAGCCGGCATGTGTCTCATGCAATGCTACGGCCACGATATTGGGGGCTTCGAAGGCCCACAGCCATCACCTGAACTCCTCCTTCGGTGGGTCCAGATGGGCTGCCACAGCCCCCGTTTTGCTATCAATTGCTTCAAGACTGGAGAAGACAACAAAGTTGGCGATGTGATTGAGCCATGGATGTATCCCGAAATCATCCCCGAAGTCCGCAAGGCCATCAAGCGGCGGTACGAGATGATCCCTTATCTCTACTCGCTCATGCTGCACGGGCACTTCACAGCCGTTCCACCTCAGCGGTGGGTCGGTTGGGGCTACGAAAGCGACCCGGAAGTCTGGTCATCCAAGATCCTCAAAGACGGCGAGAGACAGTACTGGCTCGGCGACACTCTCCTCGTCGGCGGCGTCTACGAAGCCTGCGAAACAACAGCTCAGATCTACGCCCCAAAGAAATCCTCCACTGACCCTGGCTTCCTCAACCTCAATGCGCCCTATCAATACCTTGCCGCGGGAGCATGGCAGTCCATCTCCTCGCCCTGGAAATCTAGCATCCCCATCCTCGCTCGAATCGGAGGCGCCGTTCCTGTTGGCAGGAACGTCCAGACTGTCGCTCCAGGTGACAAACTCAACGAAGCGAGCCTCCCCGCCGATGACTACCGCGGCGTAGAGATCTTCCCGCAGCCAGAACACCTCGCTGATGGAACGCTGTTCAACAACACCTGGCTCGAAGACGACGGGATCTCCCCTCCGCCCGCCAAAGTCGCCAAGTTGACTGTGTCATACTCGGCAACTGCTTTTGAAGTGAGGGTTGGTTTTGAAAAGGATACGAGGGCGTTTGTGCCCCCGTGGGTGGAGAAGGGGTTGACGGTGATTTTGCCCGTCGGGGATGAGAGGAGGGTGGTTAGTTCGGATGGAGGTGCTGTTGTGGAGGGGAGACGGCTGGATGAGTCTGAACGGAGGAGGTGGCAGGTTTTGGAAAAGGAGGGGAGGGTGGGGAGTAAATTGTAAATCTTTGGGTACAGGCTCTCGTTCTATTCGAATGGAAGTGTCTTCGATAATCTGCACATCATCCCCAAAAACTACAGGGCCATAAAGAGTGAGAAAGGCAATGAGTGGGCGGCGTCGCAAGTGCATCTCAGGAGATCGCGAAGTCTTGGGAGACATCTCCCGTGCGTCAAGCTCCTGCTGGAGATCTGCCAGATTCTTCTCCAGCACCAAATATTCACTCGGTACTGATGCAAAAATATGGCCCGTCAATGGCCGAGCTTGTGGGCTTGGAAGTTGTCCAGAGGGAGCCATGCGCTGGCTTCTACCACCTGCACTACCGCGAGGTGGAGGGGAGCGCGATCGGCGCCGGCTACTGTCGCGACGATTGCCACCACGTTCCACTTCGCGTTGTCGGTATTGACGACCGTCGCCATGGGCTGGTGACCTGGATCGGCCACGCGAAAAAACCGGCGCTGTCGATGGCGCTGGCTGCTGCTGTTGCTGCTGGTTGCTGAGCAAGGCCAACAACATCGTGTTCTGCTGCGCAATGGCAGCCGTCTGTTGCGCGCCTTGGCGCATCTGCTCTTGCAGCAATACCAAGAGCGCGGTCGAGTCGACCACGGGTGCTGGTGCCGTGGAGTCGGCTTCCCGTGGCTGTTGCGAAGCGCCAGCACTTCCTCCAAAGACGTTCGCTGACCGCGACTCCTGCTCTCTCTGGCGCTCTCTGACCACCTCTCGATCGTGGCGTCGGCAGGGTTTGCACACGCCCATCACGTCGTCCGCGTCCAGGACATTGCCACAGCCCTGGCGCTGGCACACCCGCTGGAAGGGGCGCTGTGGCGGCTGGCCACCCTCACGCCATCCGTACCGAGGGCCAGTAGGGGCGCCCTTTGGTGCGCGTCCTGTGAAGTGGCTGCGTCAGCTTGCCATCGGTCAAAATGTTGTGAGAGGGACGTAAGAATGTTGCTGCTCATGGTCGCGGTGGTGTGGGTTATAGTCTCTTGTCGGGTGAGACTCTGATGGTGCGATTGCAACTGGTAACTTGGAAGCGCTGAACGTGCTGAAGTGTGTGAATGTGCCCAGCTGTGAACTTTGCGAAAAGTTGAATTTTGTTGTTTGGGGGCTTGTTTCAGGAAGGAGCCAGCAGCCGTTTGCTCGGAAAGCAGCCAAAGCTTGGCAGTCACATGGCTTTCAACGTCACCTCCTATTCTGCTTCTAGATCGCGTCACATACCTGATCATAATTTCTAGGGGCAGTCAACTCGATAAGAGCCACTCATTTCATGCTCCAAGTGCGCATCCCCGGAATAGTTCGATCGACCATGGAAACAACCTACATACTGCGTACTTGCTCAGGCACGATTACGGAGAGAAAGTCTCCAAAACAAACCTGGTATGGACGTGATCATGGCAATCAATGGGACTCGGATAACCTGTTATGTTCACAGCCAATGTCATTCTGGTTTCCTCTGCAACCCACATATTGCTACTCGCGTTTTTACCATGAAGACTTCAAGCAGATCAGGGCAGTGGCACTCAATGTCTACAAGACTACTTCGTCTCGTGCTGGCCCTTCTTCTGGTCTTTCTCTCTTGCCTTACCATGCTTGTTCTGCTCTTCGTGATCCGCACCCTCTTCAGTCTTCTCTGTCACAGCCAGAGTTTCTGCATCCTCCTCTGCTCTAGTTTCCTCTTGTCGAACAGATCCCGCCCTAGCTCTCTCTTCCCGGCTCTCATCTCTCCAGCCCTATTCTCTGCGATTCTCTGCTCGCCAGCTCTCGTCAATCTGGCTCTCATCCCCTCAGTTCTCTCTTCTCTGACTCTTCCTTGGCTTTGCAATCTATGTGCAGTACCGAGGACGAATCTCTCTCTGTCATCATGGTTCGCTGCGTTGTAGAAGCTGCAGTCTCTCAGACGATGGGAGTCTGCGTTCCCCGCAAGGTGATAGTGGCCAAGGCACCAAGGACAAGGCCTCTCATCCATGACAGCAGGGTTCCGCCTCTCAATAGCAGCTTGTCCTGCACGCCTCTGTATACCAGGCGTGTGGGTGGGAAGAGGCGGCCGTTCTCGGTCAGGGCGACGGCGTTGACGATCTGGGGAGCGTGAGCGATCTCGTCCTCCTTCCATTCGGCGTGGAGGAGTCCTAGCATTGCGAGCTGCGGCGAGCTGTGCTTGGTGATTTCTCTCGTTCTGCTGCAGGAGTGCGTTGACTGTGGCCACGTGCACTGCAAGTGAAAGCGTACTGGCTCCAGCTGGGTCACCACGGCAAGGCTTGCAAATGTATCGATCATCGGGCTCTAGGAAGTTAGGACATCCTTGTGGAGCACGATCGCACCGAATCTGTGATGGCCGCCGGCCGCTGGGTCCAGTAGGTGCGCCTGGTTGAACTGAGAGTTTTGTCAGCCTTGAAGCAATAACATCTTCGAGATCTGTAAATACCTTGATTCATTTTGCTTCACGGTCGATTGGCAGTGAGAATAAGAGTTCTGGCGGAGACTAGAGCGACCAAAGAGGGTGCAGCTTGACCTTATGTATGATGTGTGTTTCAATGGACAAGGACTCTACGCACGTCTGCTACAAAGGCAGCGAGCAAGTCGGTGCAAGCAGATCTTTCTAGATCATTAACAATCCGTCAAATCAAATAAGACCCATGGGTCATGACAACAGACCTCATGGGCTTGTCAGAGATCTCAAAGGATATGACAAGGAATGGAGTCCTGCGAAGACGTTTCTCCAAACTTCTCAAGAAAAAGCCAGACCACTAGCACGTCGCGCCACTGCATCTTGCCTTGGTGGAGTGAATGACCGCGGAGAAAACAGGCACGCAGCGTCGAAACCTCAAGCTGATCAATGGCATTCGAAAGCCCTTTCAAGCTCCGCTGTCTCTCATATTCCACTGCTACATCCGGGTATCATGCCATTAGATAGATGCCGAAACAGAAGCATTCATGGTCCACAGCAATCTCAAAGAGAATACGATCTTGATTTGGCTCGGCATTGTCGCAGCGAATGATCTCATCATGTCGTTGGCCACATCTGTTAATTTATACACGCTCCTCGCAAGGCTGTAAGCCAAATCAGGCAAAGCCACGCATGTCACGAATGGGAACTTTTGCAAAACGCAGACTTGGACCATCTCCATCAAATAGATAGAAATGGGCCATTTAGAAGATCCAATGGACTAAGAAGCCTTTGCTGTCTGCAACGTCGAAGATGGAAAATGGTAGAGTCGTTCTCTGCACATAAGCGGGTCCAGCGGTTTCAACTGGCGGTGATCTATCGAAGCCGCAACGCAAGCTCTGCATCTGATAAAGCCATTCCGCATCTTGTTGAACGCCGTTCTTCGGATATGCCTCGTATGGAGATTCATAGTGTTTGTCTGGCGTTGTTTCGCTGCAACGAGACTGCTTCGGCAGGTATCAGCTTCCACCTGGGTATGCTGCCCCTGAGCACTCTTTCAGTTCGGACAAGACGTGAACGACGATGGAACGATTAACTGCAAAAGGGAGCAACGTTTGAGAGCTCTTGCAGAGCTGCCCTCGGCCGAAGTGCGGCTTTTTAGAATGAGCTTACTTGTAGGTAACGAAGCTCTCGTCCCACAACTTTCTGGAGAAGTAAAGTCTCCAGGAACACACAAATCAATGGCCGGGTGGTGTAGTGGCTATCACGTTTCGTTTACAACCGGAATTGCATCCGAAAAGGTCCCGCGTTCAATCCGCGGTAAGAAATATTCGTGTCATCAAAGTTGCGTTCAGTTGCTGATGAGATGACTAGGTCTGGTCAAAAACCCTTGTCTTTTTGCTCTTTTGCATTACTTTGATGTCAATTTGGAGCAATTGGTAAGCACCGTAACGATCATTCTTTTCTGGTTGACGACAGCTACACCCGCGTCAAAGGGGTAACCTGGTCAAGTCGACCGTAGAATGATTTTTTGTCTGTTGACGTCGAGCAAGACCCGAGTACAAAAGCACCATTTAAAGAGTCACAGTGAGACTGTTGCGGCATAGAAAAAGTGGACGCAAGAACCAGGCTTCAATCGTTTCGTTTCACAGAGCAGTCTACTGAATATGCACGGCGGCCGCGGATTGAACGCGGGACCTTTTCGGATGCAAGTAAGGCGTTTTTGAATCAATTCGAGAGACAAATCGAACGTGAAATGGACTGGTATCACTCGCTATCGTAAACTGGTCGATAAACAAAGCTCAAAAATCCCCTCACTCAACACTAGACCAGCCGAAATCCCGAAACGGAGGCCATTCTAGACAACGCCGTTCTGCAGTGATATGTGCGTGGTTAAAACACACCCGGAAACTCCACCATCCAAGGCTGCAATTCCTGCTTCTTCCTGTCTCCCGAGGGTTTCCGCTCATACGTAGGTAGCCCTTCCGGTGGCACAAACGATTCCTTGTTGAACTTCTCACTCGACGTGGAAGCCTTCTTCAACTTGTCTTTCTCCTTAGCTTTCTTCTCCCTCTTCGTCTGAATCGTCGTCGGAACACCTAACCACGTCCCCGCTCGGGGCTTGAAGAACCCTCTGCGGGGAGAAGACGACGATGAGGACTGAGAAGGTGATAAAGCCGGCCGCATGGACGTTCCAGCTGAGGAGTTAGATCTGCTGCTAGCAGATGATGCCTCCGATATGACGCTATCGGCGCGGTGAGACGGACGTGGTATGGAGAGGGTAGACGTTCGTCGAAGATCTTGCTCTGCAGGAGATTCGCGGAAGTATGTCACATTCGTCACGCCCACTTCTTCGTCTTGGATCCTGCATTTGAAGGAGATGACTGCCCCGTCGAGAAATAGCACAAGAGTAGCTGGAATATGCCATGCTTTTCGGGGTCGTTCTTGGATCAGTGTTGCCTCTTTGCTATGTCGTAGATGTGTTGGCACTCTGCAGTCGATTTCGGCGTGCGGTGTTACCAAATGCCCGTAGTCGTCGGAAGCATCGTCTTCCTCTGACCGCACCAGGGGAACCAGCAGGTGGCAATGTGAGTCCTCGTCCAGCCAATCTTGGTCGTCTATTCGCAGTCCGTACGGCTCGGTCGCCATATTGCTTTGGACAGGCTGACCCTTGCGAACTAGCCATTTTACCTTCTTGCCTGAATCCGTGGCGTATGGAACACCGTAATTGTAGCCAGACAACCGAGAATGGACGACTGCAACGCTGCCGCTTCCAGAAGCCTCGCATGCAACAGCTCCTTGCACGACAGATGTCCACGTCTTATCAGGCCGCCATATTTTGATATCGTTCTTGCCAGGGAACTCTTCCCTCATTCGAGTATGAAGGTATTCCGAGCCACTGAAACCGCCGACAAGTAGTATACCTTTGAGGTTGTCTTCAAGCCCTTTCTCTTTCAAAGCTGCGATCTGGCCGTCGATGAGAGTGCCGATTGGTGTCATGACGGACTCGAAGGCCTGGCTGAGGACAGCATCGTCAATCTTCATTTTGCCATTCAAAATATCGCGATCCTCGTCATCTTCTAAACCGTTCACCGAGATTGAGTGCTTCTTGGGCAGACTAGGATTGTACGTCCGCTTGATCTTGTACTCGAATTCGTCCTCGATCCTGGCCCTGATCTCGTCGTCCAACGTATTCCAATCCGCTCCGAGAATCTGTTTGACCTGATTCTGAAACTCTGCATCGATGAAAGCAGACCCGCAAAAGTCGCCTTTACTGACTGTGACTTGATCAAGCGACAGCGGGTCTTGCGAATGTACTTGATATGCCACCACATCGACGGTCCCTCCCCCGGCATCGCAAACGACAACGCAGTCGCCTTTTGTGATCTGCCCTTTCTTGGCTTGCTTCTTCAGAGAGAATATCGCGGCAGCCTCTGGCTCTGATATGAGCTTGATCGACTGCTCCGGTATGCCAGCCGCTCTCGCTGCTCTTTGCATGCAATACTTGGCTCTTTCTGACCACGTCGCCGGTACCGTTAAGACCACGGTCAACAGCGCGGTGTCAAATATCTCGGCATCCGCTTCATCGCGCTCGATCTTCGCCTTGATGATATGCCATAGCCATCGTAGGTAGTCTGCGACGGCATCGACTGGAGTCTTATTCAGATGTCTCTCGTCGAGGTATTCGTACGATCGCCAGACTCTCGATGCGTTCGCAGCGCTCTTGTTCCGGAGGTCATCCGGTTCCAGTAGCAACTTCACCCACTGCAGAGTCTGAGCATTGTGAGGGATATCGAAGCCGAAGCCTGCTGGCTTCTTGTCTGCGCCGTACGCTATGTCGGAAGGTACTTTGTCGGAGGCATAGTGGCTGCTGCCGCCGTGAGGCCAGTCGTTAATGACTTCGATCTCAGTATTGCTGTCGCCAGACGAGTCATCGAAGAGGGCGTACGCTGCGCCAGAGTTTGAGGTGCCATAGTCGATGCCAACGATGAGCCTTTGGGGCATCGTCGGTGAGTTGCCGGATCACTCAGCCGGGATTGCGCGCCGCCTATCCGGTTCTTCGATCGCGTTCGTTGCTTCTTTCTCCTGTTTAACACGCCTTGATATCGATGGAATGTGAAAACCGTCAATGAGATAGTCTCGACAGTCATAGAGCTGCTCTCGTCGCATGATTCCTCGGATCCAAGGCTCGCCAAGGTCCGCCCTCCGTTGCGGGCTGCATGAATCAATAATGCCACGCCCTCCAGGCGCTCGCAGAGCTCCCAAAAAAGGTGAGGTGGCGGTGCTGCATCGCCTGGCGGCCTCCTTACGCGAGGAACACGTGGTGGAGACTGCTGCGATGGGGATTATTTTGCAGCATGAGTATTGCCTCTGCTGCTAACCTACTAACTTCACAGTTGAACAATGGCAGATTCCATCGTAAGTAAGCTGGACCTCGAAAAGACGTCTGCGCCGATGATCTTGATCATTGGGCAGACCGGCGCTGGAAAGAGCCACTTCTGCAACAAGGTATTAGGCGACGACTTTGAGGAAGTTCGAGAATCGGCACATCTTTCGTCCTGTACATCGAAGCCGGAACTGGTCTCTGCTAAAGTCGACGGCAACGAATACCTTCTCGTCGACACACCAGGCTTCAACGATACATGGAAAGACTTGCGCCGTTCAGATGCAAAGATTCTGGGAGAGATCGCTCAAACTTTGACTCTCCAGAGCCAACTTGGTGTTCACCTTCGTGGAATCCTGTATCTGTACGATATCATGGCAAAGCGAATGACAGGCGAGACGTTGCGCCAATTCGAACTCATTAAACGCATTTGCGGAGAGCAAAACTATGGCAATGTGCTCTTGGTGACGACACACTGGCCGGAGCGTATCGAAGACCAGAAGAAGCAGCACTGCGCCGTGCGAGAAGGCGACCTTCGAAGAGACTTTTGGAAGGAAATGATCGCAGGTGGATCTGTTATGTGTCGCTTCGATGACCAGCACAAGACTGCCAAAGCAATAATCAGAAGACTTGCAAGCAAGCCGAACATTACTCTTGAACTTCAGCAAGAAATGGCAAAGAACAAGAGCTTGAAGGGCACTTCGGCCTTCTCATTCATTGTAAAAGCTCGGCAAGAGGACGAAGAGAAGGCGAAGGCAGCGAAAGCCCAGAATCGGCCGTCTCTGGACGACGATGCCACGCTCTGCAACGTGAACCTGGACAGCATCGACATCCGCAAGGATGATGAACGCAGACTCAACGATGACATTGTCCAGCGAGTCCAGGCTGCCATCGAAGAGCAGAATGAAGAGGCTAGAAAACGGGAGAAGAAAGCTTCCGTAAAGGACATCTTCCGTTGGATTATCGGACTCTCATCACTTGCAATGGGCGTTGCACAAGTCGCTCTCCAGTGCTGATTGCTACTGCCTAAAGCAATACAGGAGAGTCTGGTTGGAGATTTTCCTGTTCGTTGGGCCTGCATGGCCAATGGAACCACCGTCCCGGTGCAGTGGAGTTTCGAAACATTTCATTGGTCTCCTCGACAACCCGTGCCGAATGTCCGATCTGTTTTCAGCTGGGGCTGCGCCGCACAAGGTGCGAGCGAGAGGGAGCGACATCCCCAACAAACATTTGAACAAATTCGTCTTTCGGTTATTTGTTCTCATCTCTCCGTAGAGATCAGATCCGACCATGGCTTCAGCAAAGCAGACGAAAGAGGCGGACCGCCAGACTGAGGTGATTCGAAAGATAGCTCCACGAAACTTCCACCAGCATCTTTGGCTTCCTCAAACACCTTCCCATGAGAAGTTGAGAGTCACGTTCGCAACGACAAGTAACTTCGACGACCAGTCTCTACCCGCCTCTCTATTCGTTGGTCCTATGTTCGGCTCGAGATATCTCGCCGTGCTATTCGACAAGCTGGCACAAGAAACCGGAATGAGAGCCATTGCAGTCGACCGGTACGAACACTAAATCCTAGGAATTTCTAACCTGTGCTGATGAAGCGCAGCCCTGGCATCGGAGGTTCTACGCCTGTACCATTGGAGCACCGGCTCGACGTTTGGCTTGAGACTGTGACCGCGCTGTTGCAACACCTCGATCTCAAACATGTAGCCTTGTTTACACACAGCGCCGGCACGGTCTACACGCTCAATACACTTTATCGACTTCCTCAGATCTTGGATCCTGAATCCCCTTTCGTAGCCTTCATTGGTACATCCGTTCTGCTCTTAGCTTCTATGCCAATGGACTGACAGTCAACAGGCCCCTGGGTTCATAGCGAGCATTCGAAAGTCGCACTCATGTCACTTGTGAACAAGCTTCCGCCGAGCATTTTTTCGGCCTGGAGCGACATCAGCATGTTCGTAAACAAAAACATTGCTCCCGCAACATCCTGGTCGGGCGGCGTGGTCTCTTCCATTGGCAGCTTGTTCTCTGGCAACAAATCTGACGTCGATGATAACGACGAAACTGAAGCACAGGCAAAATATGGCGTTGACAAAGAAACGGCCAAGGATCTCGAAGACATCCACTTCAAATACATAATGGCCGAGAGTCTGAAAGGCGCAAATGATGAGGCGCTGTTGTGTTCGAAAGCACGAGGAACAATATCCTGGGGTGCATGTGACGATTACATGGCCTGCATCAAGACCATTGCCGAGCTTCAACAGCAGCGTTTAAGCAAAGATCCAGATGCAAAGAAATTTCGAGTGCGATTGCACTTTGCCGAAGACGACATAATGATCGGAAAGGGTGGACAGAAATTCTTCAACGAGTGTTGGCAACAGAGTGGTATTGAAGAGATGGTGGATGTGAAAAGTAAGGAATGGCCAGGGAGTAGTCACGAGACTGTTTTGGTAGAGTTCGGAAAGGGTGCTCTACCCAGTATCTTCAACGACATAAAGACTGGTCGATGAGATCCCGCGGCAATGCTGAATGAGGCTTCAGGAACGACGACATGACAGACTGCAGGGAGCTGATGTGTAAGCATTAGGTACGTATTATTTGAAAGATCTTCTGGAGCTCAGTCGACGATACGGCTGCCCGGGCGAACTCACTGCCACTCACCTGTGATCTTATGCATTGAGCCCTCGACGCTGTGTCTGCAGCACGTGGAGCTCGCAGCTACATGTACTCCTCCGTAGAGCACTACTCGCCCTTGCCATGCTTCGGATACGACCAAAGACATACCGCCAAGCTGTCGATCCGAAGTACCTGCTCTACGGAACCACATACAGCGTCTCCAGGCTCGGCTCCAGCTCTTGGCTCGAAAGAGGAGAACCTCGCTTTTCGGGTGACGCTCCTCGCAACAGGAATACGTATAAGACTCGGTCCACGGTGAGTACCAACAACGTTGGTTCTGATCCTGTGAGACCACCAGAGCAGCAGTCATCATGGAAAAGGAGCAGCCCTTAGATCCTCATGTCGAGGATCTCTCGCCAAAGGTGTCAGACAATGCCGTCGTTCATGATTGGACTCCGGAGGAAGAGACGGCTGTCAAGCGCAAGGTTGATTTAAGGGTCTTTCCGATGTTGTGCATCATCTTTGGCCTTTCGCTGCTTGATCGAGCGAATATGCCCTTTGCGTACATTGCGGGAATGGAGGAAGACTTGCAGCTGGGAGTGGGTGCGAGGTACAGTATTACGTTGTTGGTCTTCTTCCCAAGCTATTGGCTATTCGAGATACCTTCGAACTGGGTAAGCACGTTGATCTAATCGATCAAGGAGTGAGACTAACGGCATTGGCTGACATTCTCAGCTCGTCCGTCGCATTGGCTCTCGCCTCTGGATGTCCTTCCTCGTCATTGCATGGGGCCTTTCCGTCCTCGGCATGGGATTCGTTCGCAACTGGAACAGCCTTGCGGCTTGTCGAGCGATTCTGGGCATCTTTGAGGCCGGCTTGCTGCCCGGCGGGATCTTCATCGTCAGCTCGTGGTACCGACCCTACGAGATGGCCAAGAGAATCTCTGGTTTCTGGATGACCTCACAGCTGTGTTCGGCCTTTGGACCAATTCTTGCCTACGGGTTGAGTTTGATCGAGGTTGGTGATGGGATGTACGCGAGGGGTTGGAGGTGGATCTTCATCGTGAGATCGAAGAACGTTAGAGATAAAAAGAGCTTTTACTGACGTCTATCTAGGTGGAAGGATTGATCACAATCGTTGCTGGCATTGCAACGCCTTTCTTCCTGATCGAGTTTCCGGAGCGGGCGAGATTTCTGAACGACAGACAGAAGCATATTGCTTTCGAGCGAGTCCGGCTAGCGAGTGACGACAAAGAGATAAAACACCCGACCGTGAAAGAGACGCTTGTGATGCTCTGGGATTGGAAGTTGGCGCTCTAGTAAGAACACAATTAGTTTTGAAACGATAGCATTGCTGACATATGTGTAAAGCTCTTTGCAATATTTCATTGCAGCCTCGAGCATCTACTCTCTCGCCTACTTTGCCCCGATCATCCTGCGACAAGGTCTTCACTTCTCCTACGTGCGAGCTCAGTTGCTTTCGACTCCTCCGACTGTGTTCTCCGTCATCTGCAGCATCATCGCAGCATGGGTCTCCGACAAGATCAAGCTACGCTGGCCTATCATGTGCTTTCAGGCGCTGCTTGCTATTGCTGGTCTTCTAATTATCCTCTACACTGGTCCGCCTGCCGTTCGCTACTTTGGTTTATTCGTTGCAAGCTACGGAATCCAGTCCAACGTACCGAGTGTGCTATCTTACGTGCCGAACCAAACAGGACGATTGGAGAAGAAAGGAGTAGCGAGCGCAGCTGTCATCAGTGCTGGAGCTATCGGTGGAATCTGTGGTTCGACGGTCTTCAGGAGTCAAGATTCCCCTGAATACTTCCCTGGGATGTGGACTACGATCGGGCTGCAGTTCGTGTTTATTGCGATCACTTTCGCGCTTAGTATGTACTTTCGACGGATGAATCGTTTGGCTGATGAGGGAAAGGTGAGAAATTTGGAGGGTGTTGATGGGTTTAGGTACGCTCCATGAGGCGTAACTATCCGCTGGATGCCACGATTATGCCTGTGCTTCAAAGAGCGGCTTTTGCACTGTTCTCATACACGAAAGGCTTCTTCACGGTCTAAGAGACTACACCAAGCGTAATCCCACGCGTGGTGGATCTAAAAGCATATGGACTGAAGTGCGACGAGCGAGCTGATGAAGCTACGTCACCTCTGACATAGCAGTCCATTCGGTTTCTACGTGAAGGATTCCCACGAGGGGAGGTACAGGGCATGGAGTTGTAGATCAGCTAGGCTCCACCAAGGGCACAAAAGGCGAGTACCTGACTGGACACCACACGGATATTCTATTTCTTTCACAGGCATTTCGCTATCCATCACTCTATCGCCCAGAGGTGCTTCCCCGAACTACATAGGACCTTCGTGATGCCTGACGACAAGTACAAGGACATACTCAAGAATCCGTGGGACTGTAAAGAAGTCGACTGGGACGAATACGAATCACATCGGCCACCTTACAGCACAGAACTGTACGATCTCTTGTTCCAACATCATGATGCTTACAATGGACGATAGGATGCCGCATTGGACACTGGCGCCGGTGGCGGGACAGTCACTCGGATCCTGCTCCAAAAATTCAAGCATGTGGTGTTCAGCGACCCAAGCGAAGAATACAATGCGAGGGCCCGGGCGAGATTCAGCAAAGAAGCAGAAAAGGCCTCCGTCAGCTTTGTGCAACGAAAGTTCGATGAGTTCAAGCCTGACGAGGACCTACCTGGTGGAGAGCCTGTAGACATGATCACGGCAGGCACATGCATTCACTTTGGAGATCCGACGAAACTCATGGCCCAGTTTGCGCCTTTGCTACGTCCTGGAGGAACTGTGTCAGCATTTAGCTACGGCTCAGTGCCAATCGCAGCTCCTGGTGAGCCGGCTGGCCCAATCATCAAGATATGCAAAGAAAAGATTATGCTGTGGATCCACGAAGAGGTCAGACCGATCGACACTGGCGAAGGCATAGGCACAGGCCAATCTCGCTACCACAACGTAGAGTTCGATCCCGAGACTTGGAAAGACGTCCGCCGGATTACTTCCTTGCCGCATGAGCACGTCTGGCCCGAGTGGCTGAAGCCAGCCCCTTCTCGAGCTCGTGACAGCGACTCGATTGAGACAGTCCACGATGATTTTATCGCTAAGGAAGTCGGCTACGAATTCTTTCCGACATACTTCCACAACTTTGCTCCTTTCTTGGAGCCTGAAGGCAAGATCGAAGCGGAGTTGGAGCAGTTGAAAGCTGTCATGGGCGATCGAAGGATCAAGGTCAAGTGGCCTTTCATAATGGTACTGGCGACCAAGAAGTAAATGGCGAAAAGGGGCCCACAAGCAGTCGAATGTGAATTGTGAGATTCTAGACAGCATTCTAGCCTTCACTTCGAATTTGCGCTGCTCGATTTCTATTGACATTGTAAAGCCATCTCAACGACAAACTTTCCACCCTTGCCCTTGTTGTACTCCTCGACCAACTCGTTCAACTTTTCAAAAGGCAAGACAGTCGTCACCGGTCGAATGTCGTTCTTCGCAACCAGATCCATCATTTCCTGCAGCATCTTGATCGATCCGAGGATAGTACCAACGACTCGTATGTCTCTGTACACGAGGTCTCGGGAAGATATTCGAAAGCCAGCTTCAGCATATGAGACGACTACGCAAGGACCATGGTTTTTGACGAGGTCAAACCCGAAATCAAAGCCTTTCTGGTTCTCGACCAGAATAACTGCAGCGTCAACGCCCATCTCTTCGCGCACAGATTTGCCATCCTCTTGTCCTAATCTTGTCTTCAGCTCCTCGACTTTAGTTGTTCGAGCATCAACAATGTCAGCTTTCGTTCCCAGTGACCTTGCGAGATCCAACGGTCCATCAGCAGCATCCACTCCGATCGTGCGGTACCCCATGGCATCGGCGAACCTCAAACCAAGATGTCCCAGACCCCCTCCAGCACCAATGATAGCGACTCGCTGTCCAGGTTGGAGAGCGGCCTTCTTGAGAGCACCGTAGATCGTGATTCCAGCACAGCTCAAAGGAGCAGCATCAGTGGCTTTGACATTGTTCGGAATCCTAGCCACTTGTCTCGCGTCAACCACAACATACTCAGCGAAGCCACCATCTTTGCTCATGCCATTGAAGCTGCAATGCGGGCAGACGATCGAATAACCATCGTCGTAGCCCGGTCTTGTAGTGTCGAGGCATTCGAAACACTTTCCACAAGGATGAAATGGCCTTCCGGTCGAAATCACTCGTTCTCCAATATTGTACTCCTGAGCGTATTTCGAAGGCTTACTGTGCAGCGCCACAATCTCCCCCGCAATCTCATGCGAGTTGATGTGTGGGAACTTCGGTGGATCGGGCTTGCATTGTCCTGAGCACATCATTCCGTCTGTGTGGCAGTAGCCAGCTGCGTGGAGTTTGAGGAGGACCTCGTTCTCGTCTTCGATCTCTGGTTTTGGGACATCCTTGATTACATAGGGACTGTTGAAGGCTTCGATGACTTGAGCTTTCATCTGATGCTTGGCCATGTTGAAGCTCTTGGTTGCTGAAGCCATCAAGGTTGAGTAGTAGATGAATATATTGAGGAAGCTTATTTCCTAATTGGGAAGGTCCGGAAATTTTGGCCAGAGTTGGAAATGTTCCTGCTTTGATGGAGAAACAAGTTCGTTCACCATATGGAAGACGATTGCTGATTCTATGCTCCCCATCCACGTCAGACGATCAAGTTGTTAACGCAGCGTACTTGTGGTTCCAATCGAACCCGGCCGTCCTCACAAAGCCGCTCTTTCTGCTCTCCATCAAGAAGCCAGTATGACTTCAAAATCTAATGGATCACACAAAAAGCCCAGAGTCATTTTGGGCACCATGATACTGTACGTTATTTCCATTGATGCTGATCTTGGTTCTAACGATACTTACAGCGGCCCCTACCCGTCAACAGGCGCACGGATTACATCTCTTGAGACTTACAATTCTATCCTAGACTATTTTCAATCCCAAGGCTACAACAAGATCGATACAGCAAGAGTCTACGTAGGTAGACAGCAGGAAACCTTCACCCGAGCTGTAAGATAGAAAGAAAGGGGACTGTCTTGTGCAACCAAGTGGTACCCGTACGATGCCAGTGCAGACCGAACAAACAGTGCCGGAGCTCACAAGGCCGAAGTTCTCGAGGACATGCTCAACAAGTCTCTGTCAGAGCTGGGCGCAGACTGTGTTGATATCTTCTATCTGCACCGGGCGGACCGTAGCATACCCTTCCAAGAGCCGTTGAGAAAGCTTGATGGGTTGCACAAGCAGGGAAAATTCATTCAGCTTGGACTGTCAAACTACAGTGCATTTGAGCTTGCAGAGATCGTGATGCTTTGCAAAGCTAATGGCTGGATACAACCGACGGTCAGCATTGCGCTTCTGTTGTATCACGATTTGTGCATCTAACGACTATCAACAGATATTCCAATGCATGTACAACGCTATCACCCGCTCGATCGAACCTGAGCTAGTTGCAGCTTGTCGACGGTACGGTCTGGATATTGTAGTATATAACCCAATAGCAGGTGGGCTGTTTTCCGGCAAATACAAGCTCGACGCAATCCCAAGCGAAGGCCGTTACTCCGATGTCGACAAGGAAGTCGGAGGCATGTACAGGGACCGATACTTCAAAGACTCCACATTTGATGCATTGCGAGTCGTGCAAGACGCGGCAACGAAGCATGATCTGACGTTGTTGGAGATCGCATTTCGATGGTTGACGAACCATTCTGCACTGAATATCAAGGATGGCGGCAACGATGGCGTTGTTATCGGGGTTTCGAGCCAGGCCCAACTCGAACAAAATCTTCGGAATCTTGAGAAGGGGCCCTTGCCGCAAGATTTGGTGGATGCTTTGAACCGGGCTTGGATGATATGCAAGGCGACTGCCGCGAGCTACGTGCACGGTGAGCTGAAGTATGAGTATGATACGGAGGAGGCTTTGGCACAGTTGAAGTGAGTTTTTTCCGTGGACAGAGGACACTTGTAGCATTATAGAATGCCGTCATGACATTTCGCGTTTGTGATCTCAGCCTGATCCCGGGAGACTAAAATTGTAGCTGCATGTCGCCCGTAACACTAGCAAGCAAGACAACACGGCATCAGGGTTCATGCCAGCTGCTTCAACAGCTGCTTCGTCCCGAATGCGGCGAATAACCCACGTCGCCAAGAGCAAACCCGGGTTTTGGCAAGGTTCATTGGACGATTAATAATCTCCTTCTCGCACCGTTGTCTTCCTCTACTAGTACTCGTCTTGGCCCGATTCTTTGACTCTATCACTTTGGAGTAAACTAAGCACCTGTGGCGGGAGCCTTTGAAGAATTGATCATAAGTGTAAAGAGACGAAAAACAGGCCTTGAAGGTGTGAGCTTAGTGCATAGAGACCAGGCTGCAAAGCCTTACTCGTTATCCTTCGAAGGATTCTGCCGAATCATATCTTAGCACTGCATGCAGTCGTAGATATACAGGACAAAGCACGGGGCTTTTCGACTGCGCGATAACGATACATGATCAGTAATCTGCACGTGCCGACCAAGGTCTTGGATGGTTCCTGTCAGGTTTCTTTGATAGCTTGACAAAGCTCTAATCCAACGGCCGTATTCACGCCTGCACTTGGCATACGTGTCCACCGTTAGAGAGATTGGTGCCCCCTGTGAGTGTGCGGACGCCGACATTGCTGAGAAGAAGATGCAACAATTGATGGAACTATCGGACTCATGGGTCTAAGTGCGGTGGCATCAACCCAGTAACCACAGAACTATATAGTGCCTGAATCCGTCCAATGTATATAGGTGCTCCTTTTATTCAACAACGGCGGTTTATGTACAACACACCAATACCGACAGTCTACTCACATTTCCATCGAACAGCAAAATAGAAACGCTCTCTTCAATAGGCGTAATTCTATCACACTACCACTCGAGTGGTAATCGCGGTACGACGATGAGCGGGCCTGCGTCCTCGTTGTCAAACGACAGCGTTCGCGACGAACCTAACGAGACTGAGAACGCTATGGCAAGCAATCGCCTGCGATGGAACACGATGCCCGAATTCCGAGCAATGCAACACCCTGACAACCACGAAAACCATGGTACAAGAAGACTGGGCATTGCATGGGAGAATCTCACAGTGAAAGGCGTCGCTGCTGAAGCTGCGTTCAATGAGAATATTTGGTCTCAGTTCATACCTGCAAGGCTGAAGAAGGGCCATTCCGGAGCTACATCGTCGACAAAAACAATCTTGGAGAACAGCCATGGCTGCGTGAAGCCGGGAGAGATGCTTCTGGTACTGGGTCGACCCGGGGCTGGCTGCACAAGTCTTCTTGAAGTACTGGCAAATCGACGTGCTGGTTTCGCCTCAATCGACGGCGAGGTCAATTATGGCTCATTGGATGCCAAAGACGTTGCTCGGTATCGAGGTCAGATTGTGATGAATACTGAAGACGAGATATTCTTCCCCAGCTTGACGGTTCAACAAACCATCGATTTTGCAACCCGACTCAAGGTGCCAGAGACTTCTTGCTGAAGGCGTTGGGAATCTCACACACCTCCGACACGAAAATTGGAGACGCATTCATCCGAGGCGTGTCGGGAGGCGAGAGGAAGCGAGTTAGTATCATTGAGACAATGGCCACTCGTGGCAGCATCTATTGCTGGGACAACTCAACCAGGGGCCTTGATGCCAACACTGCTTTGCAATTTGTCAAGGCCGTTCGGACCAGTAAGTACAGCAAAGGGTTGAGACCGCGCTCTACTGTCCGAGATACTCACTGACTTCGTGCTCTTCGCTTGCAGTGTCGGATATTTTCGGTTTGACTTCCATTCTCACACTCTACCAGGCTGGCAATGCCATCTACGAGCTTTTCGACAAGGTGCTTGTCCTGGAAAAGGGGCTTCAGATATACTACGGACCTGCCAAGTCTGCGAGACAATTCATGGAAGATCTTGGCTTCGTCTGTGCTGATGGAGCAAACGTTGCAGATTTTCTCACAAGTACGTCTACGCCGGTTATAAATGTAATAAGGGCTTATTCTTTCACAGGCGTGACTGTCCCGACCGAACGGAAAATTCGTCCAGGTTTCGAGATGACATTCCCCAGAATGGCCGCTGACATTTTGGCTAACTACAACGGATCTAGCATTCGAAAGCTCATGGCGAGCGAATATGACCATGCCAGCCGACCAGAAGTGATAAAAAATACTCAAGAGTTCGAGCGCTCTATCGCCTACGAGAAGCATGATAGCCTACTGATGAGGAAGTCTCCGGTCACGGTCGGGTTTGGAACTCAGCTCGATGCCGCAGTCAGGCGACAAGTCCAGATCATATTGGGAGACAAATCCAACTTGATCGTGAAGCAGGGCTCCAATTTGATCCAAGCGTTTGCTGCCGGATCGCTATTCTACAACGCTCCAGGTAGGCCAGCACAAGGATGTAAACCGTACATACCGTCTCAAAAGATCTGCTAACCGCTCACGATTTCCAGACAACTCCGCCGGCCTCTTCAGCAAATCTGGAATTATATTCGTCACGATCTTGTTCAATGCTTTGATTGCACAATCAGAAGGTCAGCTTTCACACTGAGACCCCATCGCCGCTGGAGAAGCAGCTGACAAACCTCTCTCCTAGTCACGGATTCCTTCACAGGACGAAATGTTCTCGACAAGCACCAAAGCTTTGCTTTCTATCATCCAGCTGCTTGGACTCTCGCCCAAACAATCCTTGACATACCCATCATATTGTTCCAAGTTTCGGCCTTTGGTGTTGTGGCATACTTCCTCTCTGGTCTCACGTCAGACGCAGGAGTATTCTTCACCTTTTGGTTCTTGATCGTCTCAAGCACCTTCTGCATCACAGCTTTGTTCCGAGCAGTTCGCGCCGGATTCAAAACCTTCGATGATGCAAGCAAGTTCGCAGGGGTCATTGTGATGGCAGTACTGATGTACGCTGGATATATGATCCCGAAGTCAGAGATGGGTAACTGGTTTGTCTGGTATGTCTTACATCTCAACATTGGTTCTCTATCACTGATATCCTTGCCCAGGATATACTGGATCAATCCACTTGCATATGCATACAATGGTCTGTTGTCCAACGAATTCAATGGCAAGGTGATAGACTGTGTCGGTCCAAATCTTGTCCCTAGTGGACCAGGATATACGTCAACTGCCAATAAAGCCTGTACAGGGGTACGTGGTGCTCATTCTGGAGCTACGAGCGTTACTGGCACTCAGTATCTCGACAGCCTGAAGTATAGTCATTCAGATATGTGGAGAAGCGTAGGGATTGTATGGTAAGCGTGCTCTTGTCCAGCCCCTAGTGGTCGCGCACTAATCCATCCGCAGGGTATGGTGGGCCTTCTACGTTGCTCTTACAATCCTTCTCATGTCCATGCATAGAGGGAACGAGTCGCGGAAAGGAACCCCTCTCGTTCCCAGCGAGAGAGCCAAGGAAATCTCACAGCAACCTCAAGACGTAGAAGCTCAAAGTAGCGAGAAGGCTCTAGGATTATTCGACAGTCCCACGGATGATTCTTCCACTGCGGTGGTGGATCACAACCTTGTTCGGAACGAATCGACGTTCACTTGGAAAAATGTTGTCTATACGGTCAAGACTCCCGATGGGCCCCGAGTGCTTCTTAACAATGTCCACGGGTGGGTTAAACCGGGCATGCTGGGAGCACTCATGGGGTTTTCAGGGGCCGGAAAGACAACATTGCTGGATGTTCTCGCACAACGCAAAACGGACGGAGAGCTTAGCGGAGCCGTGCTTGTTGACGGACAGCCGTTGACGGCAAGCTTCCAGCGTTCAGCAGGTTCTGGCGAACAACTGGACGTGCATGAGGCCTTGACGTGAGTGTCTTCTCTATCGTTTACGTGTTACTGAAACAACGCTGACCCAGGCTGCTATAATAGGACCGTTCGTGAAGCCTTGGAAATCTCCGCACTCTTACGCCAACCGCACACGACGTCAAAGGCAGACAAACTAAAGTACGTCGATGTGATAATCGATCTTCTCAAATTGCGAGACATCGAAGACTGCTTGGTCGGAACAGCCGATGGTCCTGGTCTCTCTGTCGAACAACGGAAGAGACTCACCATCGGCGTGGAACTGGTTGCAAAGCCAAGTGTCGTCATCTTCATGGATGAGCCTACCAGCGGGCTGGACGGACAAGCAGCATACAATGTTGTACGATTTCTGAAGAAGCTGGCAGCGGCAGGACAGGCGATTCTGGTCACCATCCATCAACCGAGTGCCCAGCTGTTCTGCGAATTCGATTCTCTATTCCTTTTGGCCAAAGGAGGAAATACCGTATACTTCGGGGATATTGGCGAAAACGGTGACACCGTTCGCGATTATTTTGCGTCATACGGTGCCCCTTGCCCACCGGAAATGAACATCGCGGAGCACATGATCGGTAAACATGCAATGTGTTTCCTTCTGGTTGAGACATTTGCTGACATTGATCGCTTTTCCGCAGATGTCGTGACTGATACTAAGACGAAAGACTGGAGTCAGGTTTGGCTTGATTCACCACAGCATGCACAAGTACTGGAGCAACTAGATTCCATTGTCCAAGTGAAGTCTCGACAAGGCTCTTACATCAGGGGAACTGACTACAATTATGAATTCGCCATGCCGCTGTGGGAACAAATCAAGATTGTGTCAAAGCGTGCCAGCACAGTCTTGTATCGCAACACAGGCTACATCAACAACAAGCTGCAGCTCTACATCCTCACCGGACTTTTCACTGGATTTTCCTTCTGGCAACTTGGATATGGCGTAGGCGACATGCAGCTTCGAATGTTCGCCCTGTTCAACTTCATCTTTGTTGCACCAGGGGTTATCGGTAAGTCAGACTTCGATCGATACATGTATTTCGACTGATATGGTACAGCTCAACTCCAACCACTCTTTATCGAGAAGCGAGACATCTACGACGCCCGAGAAAAGAAGTCCAAGATGTACAGCTGGATCGCGTTCGTCACTGGATTGATCGTTTCCGAGCTCCCCTACCTGGTCATCTGCGCCGTCCTATTCTTCTTCTGTTTCTACTACACCGTCGGATTTCGTACGGATTCGGACAAAGCCGGTGCAGTGTTCTTCGTCTTCCTGATGTACGAATTCATGTACACTGGCATCGGACAATTTATCGCAGCTTACGCCCCCTCTGCGGTAGCTGCCTCGCTCGTCAATCCACTAGTCATCTTTACACTGGTTGGATTCTCTGGAGTTCTCGTACCCTACTCACAGATTGTGGATTCCTGGAAGTACTGGCTGTACTACATCAACCCTTTCAACTATCTGATGGGGTCTTTACTAGTCTTCACAACGTTTGATATCGATGTGGTGTGCAAAGAGAGCGAGCTGGCCATCTTCGATCCCGTCGGAAATCAGACTTGTGCAGAATACTTGGAGCCATATATGCAAGGAGCTGGGCTAGGGGGCAAATCTTCTCAATCCCTCGGCATCGAGTGGCTGCCAGGTCTGCGCGTATACTTCTGGAGGTGACTATTTAAGAACGATGAACTTGAACGATTATTACTACGGCTGGCGAAATGCAGCAATTGTGGTGCTGTTTGTCATGTCGAGTTACGGCTTGGTCTTTCTCCTGATGAAGCTGCGTACGAAAAAGACCAAAAAAGTCGAATAGAGCCTGTGTAATAGAGAATGGGTGGTGCTTGGAACCTTTGTGGGATAGATGTGGATGATATGGCCACGCAATGTGTCTACGCGTTGTGTAATATTATTGGAAATAAAAGCGATCGAGAGCATGGGAGAACGCTCAGCTATTTTGCACTTTGATCAGCCGTTCGTGTCTGGCATCAACCCTTTCGCCGTCCTCGAGGCGCAATTGAATGAATTTCGGCGTCGCTCCAACGATGTTGCCCTCGATCTTCTCAAATGCCCAGTCTCGTACCGGTTTCGAGAGCTAACTGATCAAAAAGAGTTGACTTCTCAAGAACTCTGAATGCCTACTATAGGAGTGGAAAATTCGCCAATTGGTTTGTTTCAAACGGGTTCTTGAAGAAAAAGACGGAATCCGGCATTTGTAATCTAGGGAATGGCTTCGTTTCGTCTTCTATCGAATGATGACCATTTGCGCTTTGGTCTGCCGCATAGCTTCGAAAACGTCGACAATTCCACCTCCATAGTCTAGGGAAATGTCTTCGGGATACGTGGCGAGATTTTCTTTAGTAAATTCGGGGGGCCATGCAGCAAAATTGCCTTCTCGTCTAAAGGAGTGGTCGGGAAGTCCGCTCAAAACGAGTCCCCGAATAGTCATTGTCTCCCAAAAGTGCCTAGAGAATCTCATACTGCGAAGATCATGGAGAACCATACCTCGGATCTGGTTGCCATTTAGACAATGGTCGGTCTCCCCGGAATCGTTTTGCTCGCCACGGCGGAAGAGGTGGCTAAGAGCCTCATGACTATATTGATATTGCCAACATATTGGCAGCAAGTAGACTTGAACAGACCCAAGCTTTTGTAAGAAGTCTTCTTTTCGCTCAACATCGGGCCTAATCACATGGCGCGCACGAATCTCAGGATCGCCTGCAGGGCCGACACGATGAGTCCAAGTGGTTGTCCCTGGGGTAACTCTCGCAAGGCGGCAGAACAGTCTGCCGTCATCGCTCTCTAGGACGGAGGAGATCCAAAGCGGCCTTCCAATACACAAAAGATCCCCAAGAGATTCATGAGACGACACCAACGGACCATGATCAGGTACCAGGCCGATCAGGGGTACGTTCCGGCATGGCTCTTGACCGATCCACGATACCTGCCTTTTGATGGTTGACGCCCAATGCCAGGATGGTGCAGAAGGTGAAAATTGATCTTTCCACTCATTCCCAAGGAACTCATCGAGTGTATCCCTCCCTCTCCAGCAGTGCGAAAAAGGGAGCGTTGAAGCTGGAAAGCCGGCGAAATACTCGGTCCCAGCTAGTTCGCAAATCCTTCGTCCTATACCTTCAAAGGCTACAAGCCTGTCCTTGTCTGGAAAGCTGAGGATGAGCCCAGAGTATCCCAATATGGCTTGCGCAAATATTTGGTCAAAATTTTGCCTTTCCAAACCCCTCTCTAGTCCCGTAAGGGAGCCGGCTGTCAGCATTTTCCAATTCGAATACATAAAGTCGTAAGCCCCAAATGGCCAGGCTTCCGAGGTGAGATGGCTCGATTTGCAGTTCCAAAAAATCCGTTCATCTCCAAAATACAGCATCCGCGGGGCCAAAAGTTGTTCCTGGAATACCCAAGCTCGATCGAATAACGGAAGATCCAAGAATGTCTGGCGGAGCTCGAACACATCATTACTAGTCCCTGCACGCAAATAGTAGACATTGCGGCTTGATTCGTCATCAAATGGCTGCCAACGTACACTGCATTCAGCTCGATGCGAAACGTCCCGGTCCTGAAAGCATCCAGCACGGGAGTCTTTCCCGTGAGCAGCACCGATGTTGATAATGCCATTTGCGTATATTTCGTGCATCAAGACTGACTGTTCGAGCCAGTCTTTCCTACTGGCGTTGTCGGTACCCTGAATGATGCAGTAGCAATCAATCCAAAGGTAGTCAGTGCCGAGAGCCTGAGTCGTCAACATGGCATCGTGGAAAGTTGGATCGAAGTCAGAGAATGCAAGACCCTCTTGCAGGTTGTTCATGGTTTGACTGGTCAGAAGAAAACTCGGCATCCCTCCCCAACAATGACTTAGGGTTGCATACGAGACCGACACAGTTTGGCCTGTTGTGTCTATCAGCTTTGCGCGTCTCCCTGATAGAGCGAGCAATCTTCGTGGGAGCCGTGCAGGGATTGTGTGACTCGGGCATTCGTCGTGTGATTCCAAGCAAAGTCTCAACCATCCTTTCGCTAGCTGCAACACATCTGGCCAGCCAGTATTACCGGCAGATCGCGAAAGACTGCTCAAAGCGATCAATCGGTCTTTGTCCTCGTTCTGGTTCATGCCGCTACCCCATGGGTCGAGGTATACAACATCTATCATCACGTACTGAGACAGGTAAGCACGGGATACACGATGTGAGGGAATGCGAGAGCGTACCTCCTCCAAGGTCTGGGGTTCAACTGGTGTCCGAGGAGCACACCTAGGCTGTCCAAGCATCAACGTGCAAAGCTTCCCTCCAATGCTAGAATCGGGCTTTTTAATGCAGAAGAAAGTACCGTATTCTCTTCGGTCAGGCACTGGTATCCACGAGCATGGGACACAACCCTCCGAGAGAGCCTGTTGGTGAGCGGCCGCCGAGAGATGATGCGCATGCCATATTTCCACAACCATGACGTCCTCCATAACCCGGTGACTGATGGCATATCTGTCCAATGAGCCGCCGGAAAAGATAGTCCAGCAAGCTTCGCAGAGATGATCCATGACGGACCGTGCCTGGTTTTTTATTATAGGTGCAGTGAAGTCGTTGAGTTCTAGTCGAAAGTGGTAGTCGAGGATGGCAGCCCAAAAGTGGTGGTTTAAGAGTGGTAGACGAGGTCGGTTTGGGAGATGCTCCAGCTGGCTTGCTCTCGAGACATGAAGGTACGAAACCAGGCAGTTTATAGGCACGCACGCCTCACTCCAGCTCCAGCATTGCCAAGTGGCAGGTGGATAAATTGTGCCAATCGAGACGAAGACTGAACGCACTTGCATATGGTGGGCCCATACCAACAAGCCTTAAGCGAGCTGAATTTGATCGAATATAGCTTCGAATTCAGCAGAGCTTTACCCGGTAGGTCTTGGCCTTTGAAGTCTTGGACCGGGTGCAGAAGTGGTGCCTGTCGACGGGGACGCTGAACTGAAGGATCATATGTTGTCTTGTCGCGCGTGCTGCCGGCCATCTCTTGTTTCGAGTGACTCATGTTGGCAAGCTCTCAAACTCACCTCATACTTATCAACCACCTCTTCTTCTTTAACTCCCCCAGCTACTCCTCAAAATTCGGCCTCTTTAACTGAACCCTCGCCGTAATCTCGTTGAAGGCACGCTCGCCATCCAAATGCGGCAGATCAAAGAGTAATTCTCCCGGAACCTAACACTACCCAGCTCAAATTCCGGATGCTTAATAAATTTGCCTTCTTCGTCGGTAGGTTAGATGGGCTTGGTGACCAAATCACTATTCTCGTCGTCCGTGATGTGTTTGCCGCGCTGAGCCTCTTGGTCGTCTTGCTTGTTGGGGCGGCGATGGTCGTTATGTCGTAGTGGACGCTAATTTTGTCGTCGTCGACGGGGTAAAAACGAGGTAATAGCATGACGCGAGCAGAGATCGGTCCCCCGTTCGGGCTTGCTCGAGCAGAGGGCTAAGTGCCATTTGCTGGTCTCTTGGGGATCCGCAGACAGCCGTACGTCTTAAGTCAAACCACCAAACTTTTTCGAAACACGTAGAAAAGGATGTCCGTATAAGCTTCTCGATAGTCTCGAGAAGGAACTAGGACGCCCAATTTGACAGGCTTGCTACTTGGGAGATTAAGCATGTTTACTAGACTTAGTAGTGTTAGAAAGAGTTTTACGTCTACGTCGCTGAGCTAATACGAGCCAACGGTATTGCAGTAAGGTTCGCGAATGACCGTCGTAGGAAATGGGAATCCGTCGAACGGTTCTCGTAGAATACGTGAGCAAAGAGATGCAAGTGCGGGAAGTGTATTCGAAGATTGTTGAAAGTCGGATTTCGGCTAAGTGTCAGCGGTGTTGCTACAAGGGTGGTTGCTACCCAGTAGGGTTATATACAAAATTGAAAGTCCTTGGTCCAATCGGTCGGTTAGCTCAGTTGGTTAGAGGTACGGAGCACAACAGCCTTATTCCTCTTTCATTGACTTATAGTCTTCCAGCGTGGTGCTAATAGATCATCTTGATCTTGTAAACGCCAAGGTCGCGAGTTCGACGTAAGTGTTGAAATTGGAAAAGCAGTACTGTGTCAGGCATTAACCGACACGACAGCCTCGTACTGACCACAACAATTCATTTTTTTGTCCTTTTTCAAAGATTCAAGAAAATTTTGCATCGGAAGTGCCGCTTGCGGGGCCAAATGAGTCTCTGGGCAGGGGTGCGACCACATCTGTCACGAGCTTTGGGTTCAGCGTACTGGCTGTCAACACAGCCGTTTGACATCTTTCCACATACACATGGTCAGTTAGGTGCTTTCTATACCACAGATCAGTGTTCTCCGCTATATGTTTCCACCCAGCTTTTTCATATTTGCATGTGAAGTTGTAGCCGTGCAGGAGGGCAATTTCCCTTTTCACACTAGCCTTGAGTGAAGACCAATCAGCATCGCTAGAGCTTGACCTCACCTCCACCACAGAAAGCTTTCACCGTCCACGACTATAGTATGTGTCCATGTGCGTTCTGTGGGGTTTCAAATTTTGTGTGCGCTCAGGATTATCTCGATCATTCTTCGAGATTTCACTGCATTAGAATACAATGATGAACCAGTTCCAGCTATCGAGTCATCCGCAGCCAAATTACACGGCGAGACCTGAGACCGACCTACTCTGAGAACATTTGGAATCTTGTGAAACTCCCAATACTTCGTTCGTATTCCTGTCCCATCACACGGATTGTCTTTCTCATTTGGGTCTACACCTCCCGTCACCATCTTACCAGCTCTTGAACCTTGACTGGCAAACCCGTCTTCATCGAATGGTTGATACCGACACCGACAAGGACTGCATTTCCGCCATCACGAAGGAAGGCCGCACGCGAGAACTCGTCTTCATCTTTCTTGCTAGTAATGAGCACATCCCTTAGGAGCAAGGGATCACCACCGCCATGGCCGCCTTCTCCTCTCTTAACGGGCACTTCGTAGGGCTCCGCCCAAAGTGGCTGAACGGTGATCTTGGTGCGTTCCACAGCTCCCTGCTTGCCCTTGTCTCCGTTTGCGTTCGCCGTGATGGCGTCGTGGTTGTTCCCGGCCGCATAGCCTCCCTCAACGAGATCGACTTCCATCCTTCCTTTCGTTCCGTTAAAGACGGCATGATAGCCCTCCCATGGAGCATATGCATATGTATTGTAAGTCATCGAGGCACCGTTCGCATATGTCACGACCATGGATAGCGTGTCCTCGATTGTAATGCCATCAGCGAAACAGTTCCCATCCCGAATGTATCCGTCCTCATGTTCGGCATCAAGGTACAAAGCCTTGAGCTCTCGATTGTCTTTCAGACTAATCGCAAAAGGATCTTTTGCTGACTCTTTCTCGTTATCCAGATACCGCTCGCCGGTATACTTTACACCACGTTGTTCGGCGTTTTCTCGACCGTAGAACTTCAGGCCGCCAACACAATAGACCGATTCTGGCGAGGTACCGAGCCAAAAATGAACGAGATCAAAATGATGGATGGATTTATGCATCTGGATCCCACCACTATTGGCCTTCTCCCGGTGCCACCGACGCATAAAATCTGAGCCGTGGGCGCAGTCCAAGATCCAATCCATATGGACTGATGTCACCTTTAGACAAGCATCAGCACAATCAACTCGAATATCCCCTTTCAGCAAGGACATACCTCGCCAATCACACCGCTCTTGATAAGTTCTCGTACTTTGGTATGGTGTGGCGAATAGCGGTAGTTGAAGAGGACTCGTACATGTCTCCCGGTTTGCTTTTCGGTGTCGATGATGGCCTGTAGCTTTTCTTCGTCAATGGTGACTGGCTTCTCCGTAATCGCTATCGAAGTGAAGGCTGTCAGCTGTCCATGTCCTAACAAGAAGCGCTTCATGTCAAAACCCTTACCATCACATCCGAGCTCCATAGCGCGGATGCAGTAGACATGATGGAACTTGTCGATGGTAGTAACAATGACAACATCCGGCTTCTGCTCCTTGATCATGCGATCAAAGGCCGTGTCCTTGTACGTAGGCACACGACTGCCACCAACCTCAATCATTCGATCATTGGCTGCATCCATTCGAGTTTGATTGGTATCGCAAACACCTACTACCTCTGCATATTCGCGGAAGTCGAGCAGGATGGTCTGGTAATAGAAGGCGGATCGAACACCCATGCCAACAATGACATATCGCTTGACTGTAGGGCCTGCCATGGTCGGTAGTGATGTGGAAGAGGAAGGAGATCCAACGTATAATGATAGAAACCGCTCAAGCCTCTGATGGTGATGGCTTGAACAGAGCGACTTGCGTTGTCAGTTGTTGAGTTGACCACATCCAGCGAAGAAACTGTTTCGCCAATCCTTTAACATCGTCCATGCCGTTGTGGGAGTGTCACACGTCAAAAGACGTCCGAATCGCTTTCGGAGTGGTCCGTATCCTTCACGGAAGAGCATATATACGGCACCTGTCCGTTCAGACATCGGCAGTTTCCTCTTCCGTCTTTGGCGACTCCTCCCAAAAGGGGTTAAAGCCGCTCGCGGATACAGCCTGATTTGAAACGGCGCCGATCGCAGAAGCAGAAGAGACTACCCTTCGGCTTCTTAGGATTTGATGCTTAAACATGTTCACGTACTTGTCAGCACCAGAATCAGATGGCTGCGTGTGGCGTGAATCGGCTCCAGTGACTGTCATGTATTCTAGGCTACGCTGGCGAGCTTGAGTAATCAAACTGGAACTCGTGGCTTCGAACTCAGAATTGATCATAAGACTTCATGGTGTTGATCTAGAGACTCATACCGCATCTCAAAGCTCATTCTGGTCGCTCTTCCACATCTCCGACCTCGAGACCCTGGACCCTGCCTATCACTGGAGCGACTCCCAGCCGCAGATCCCAATTGCTGTACATCCTTCCTCGCGCGCGGGGCCCCAATTTCGTTTGGTGCGAACCGTAACTCAGTCCTCCCATCCATTCTACGACGAGGACGTCTCAAGTGCCTAGCCCTCGGGTCTTTTGAGACCAGGGAAGTACGCATTGGTGCACCAACGAAGCCCATCTTCGCGGATCGAAAGAGTGATGGTCAAGAGACACAGTCGGACGCTCAACCTCACGACTGGTAGGTCTCAAATGTGACACGAGTGCTTGCAACTTCTTGCCATGTCACGACGACAATGGTTCTGGGGAGTGACTCCACCGCTGCCCCATCATCCCCTCAAATTTTGCTTTGATAGAATCTACGTCGTACTCAAGAAGTCCTCGCTGGGCAGAGTTTCCTCTCGAAATCGATTTGAAGCAGCGCGAAGTGTTGGAAGATTTCAATGGAAAGGTTCTACGAGAATGTTGGAAGAACTAGCCAAGCAGACGGACTCATCAAAATCAAACCTTAGAAAGCATGTGAGCAAGATTCATCCGTCAGCAGCCACGAAATACTGAGCTTTTCCAATCTGAGAGAAAGACCTGCCAGACTCAATCGTACCGAACCTCGACTTCGCCTCCCTCACGAACGATCACAGCCTTCCCGAAATTCTTGGCTGTCGTTGCTTTGCGAGAGAAAAGGATATCAATCTCCTCGAACGTACGGCCCTTTGTCTCTGGCAGTCGGAAATATGCCCAAATCATGCAGAGTACTATAAGCCCGGCAGTAAGATATCCAACTTTCCCTTTCCAGTTTGCGGCTTCCGGATTCAAGATGTATGGTGCTGCGACAGATTGCACGATGTTAAAAATAACATATGAGTTGCGAGAGAGTATGAAAGTCTTGGACCTGAGCTGCGCCGACGGAACTTCGCTAACAATAATGTAGGGAAGCGGTCCCAAGGTCAAGCACCAGGCGGCGTACCAGACCAAATACACTGCAGACGTAGCGAAGCCGATCGAGGTGCCTGTCTGAGGTATCGATGAAAGAATGCCGATGATGATCATCATCAATGTCATGAACGCACAAGCAATTATGTATGGCCACCGGCGACCATAAGGACCGCTGAGCCAGGCAGATATCCAGTTGCATGCAAGATGAATGCCGCCCTGACCGAGACTCATCTTATATGAATTGTTCGCCGTTAATCCCGCCTGTTGGAAAAAGTATGATGCTGAGCTCGATATGGCGAAGCCGGTCCAGATCTGACTTGCCCAAGCAAAGCAAGCGATTTCAGTTCGCCAAATGTTGTCGCCCTGGAAGCACGACTTGAAAGATGCGGTCGCGTGCTGAGCCTTCTCAAATTTATCGGTTTCAATCATGAGTGCAAGTTGCTTCTCTGCTTCCTCTTCCAACGACGCTCCGGTGTTCTTAGAGGAGAGAAGCCTCTTGATAGATGTCTTGGCTCGATCGTAACGCTGCTGTTGAACGTACCACCAGGGAGACTCCGGGCAGAAGATCAAAATCAGAGCAATGATGACCGGCCACACCCATTGCACGGCAAAAGGAATGCGGAAGGCCCAGTGATCCATGCGCGTGTTCAACGTCAGAATCACAGCATATGATAGAAACTGGCCGATGCCCCAGCAGGAAAAGGTTTCGAAATAGCTGCGCAGCGCGACAGGTGCAACTTCGGACGCATAGGCGGGAGCAAGTGTCGAAAAGACGCCAACGGGGATGCCTACTAAAAGCTGGCCAGCAAAGAGCGTAGAGACGTCCGCTGCGAAGAACTGAATGAAGATGAGAGCCGTGATGGCGGCTAGGGCCCCAATAGCGACGGGTTTGTGGCCAAACCGCTCAGCCAAAAGACCGTTGAGCAAGACGCCAATGAAGTTTCCCACAGGACTTCCAAAAGATAGTGCCGACTGCCAGGTAGGATCTAATTGATATTTTCCAGGCTTGCCAGGTTGGGGATGACCATAGTACTTCTGAAAAGCTGGAAAGCCAAACAGACTCCCATAAGCGCGTTGTCGTACCCATCCATGATGATACAGAGACTGACCACGGCCGACCAGGCTACGGCTTTGGGATACTTCTTGCAAGCGGCCCAGACGCCGAGGCTATGTTCTGCGGCGGTAGCTTCATTGGCTTCGCTACGGCGATAGGCCTCGATCGTTTTGGTATCGTATTGCAATTTGCTGGTGCCATCCTCGACGTACTGCACGTCGAGTGTGTTTTTGTCGAGCGTCTCCATAACCCCGTATAGCCTTACTACACCTCTGAGGAAGGCTGGAGTGGCGGCGATGGTGTTTCGTTGTGGTTGATTGAGGATTTGCTTGATCGACTATCACGTCGATGTCACGCCAGTGTTGGGTCTTGTTTGCCAGGAGTTGGTCGCAGACGTGTTGATGCTACTACTGAAGGATAGTGGAACTATATGTCGGCCTGAGTCTGGAATGGGAGCGTTCAGCGGGCCCGCGCATACCCGGCAGCAAAAGATAGCTTCGCATCGGAAATCCACCTAACCCGGACAGGGCGAAGTTCGAGTCACATGAGCAGGCTCCACGTGGATGTATGGGGTAGAAGACGAACGCCACTGCAGGTGGTATTCCTTCTTGCGGGGTAGAACTCCGACAGGCGCGGTGGTCGACCCTGAGGGGCATTGCCCGACATCTTGGGGCTACAAAGCTGAAGCTGCCGCCTCAGTTTGAGCCTTCTCCACGACCTGATCTCACCCTCGCCGCCCCAACACGACATTGTCCTCCGCAGATGGAACTTGTGTGGCAAGCGTCTGACGGGAGCACCGCAAGACCGAGGAAAGCACAAGATAGGTTCTGCGTCCCATTTGGTCCCACATATTCGCTAACGCCACACTACCATGCGCCATCTGCCGTGCTCGCAAGAAGAGATGTTTTCATTCCCCTGACGGACCTGGCGGAGATGGTTCACATGTGGAGACCTCACCTCGGCCATCGCACCCATCGTCCAACGATAGCAGCGGTCGCGAATCTAGCCTTGAACCTGATCGGATAGGGGCATACGCTCCCGTAAACCTGCTACAGGAGATCTCGGCGACAGATGATACCATCCGGTCAGACGTCTCTCCGTCCTCATTCTCAACACGACCTTCCGTGTCTCAGCTGCCCCCCTCAAGCAACGGTCACAGGGATATTGAGCATGATGGACTGGTAGCACAACTTAGGCATCGCCGAGTTCAATGGCACAAGGCGAATCGATGTACTATATCGTCCCCGGTGCTGTCGGCGTCACATAGGGCCTATTTGGAAGACGCTGGCGCTTTCACAGCCCTGCCATCTGTTACAGTCCATGCCTTATTGCCCGTTTACATCGGCATGCTTGACGACCTTGTACCTGTGGTAGATGGGCCGAGATTGCTGCGCGATGCCACCACTGGGAACGCTTCTATCCACCTGGTAAAGGCAATATGTCTGGTCACTTGCAAATATCCCCAAGCCGCACCTCATCTTCACCTAGTTGCTGATGGTCCAGCAGTGAGCCAAAAGAGCTTTGCGACGGCGATGATGACCGCTCTTGATGCAGCAATGCATGCTGAGCTCGAGACCGATGGTTTGAACAGGATAAGAATACTCGCTCTCATACACCTACACAACGATGGTACGCGAGGCCGAGAGCAGTCTTCACTTTACCTCTCAAACGCCATAAATCAGGCGTGGGGATTGGCAATTCATCATGACTGTCGGAGACCTGAGGATCCAAAGACGGAGTTTCGTTCAGCTTGCGACAACTTGTGGTGGACACTTCGAAACATGGATCGCTTGAGCAAGCTCGTCATGGGCGTTGCCCCTTTCTTGATCGATGATAGTGACATCGGCATCGAACGAGTGTCGTCAGGAGAAGACGATTACAGAAGCTCAATCATGGCCTTGTCGACTGCTCTAGGAGACTTGGTGGCTACCGCTACCAGTTTTTACAAAGCAAGTCTAACAGGACCAGTCCACGATATCTCTCCTTGGCCATCATTTTCGGAGATCACTGCGACGACTACATTCTCGAGATTCCATAAATCACATCAAGGTGAGTTCAATGCTCATCCCTCATTCCTACCTAGTCTCAATGCAGAGCCCGAGCTAATGCACGTTCGTAATTCAGCATACCTGGAGTTATGGTACCATTTGGCTGCGATGATGTCTTGCTGCTCTGGACTTCCGGGCACAGATGCTTATCTCAGACGTTTGTCGTCTGCGGAGCGAGTGATTGCAATTTTGGGCGACAAAGCCTACATCGAACTTCCACCACTACCGCTCGTACCGTATGTGCTATCGGTAGCCACGATAGTGGTTTACCGCTCTGTCATCGACAGGCAGAGACCAGTACAAGAGGTATTACTGGTCATGAAAGACTGCTGTGATACTCTGGACGGGTTGAGTCAACTTTGGACCAGCGCATCAGGCTTTGTCAAGGTCGCCAAGTGGCTATTCAAGCAGCTTGTGCTATATCGGCCACCACATCTCCATCAAATGCGGAAAGCAGGCCTACTTAATGGTTCCGATCGGCTTTCAGCAGCCATCGACGATGTTACGGCGCCAGTTCCATTGGCAAGGCTCGATTCGTATAACAGTGAAACTTCGCCGCAGAGTCAAGGCATGTGGTCTGTCTCAGAAGTGGCCACGGAAGAGGCATTGCTTGGGTGGGATCTGGGACAAGGGCTTGATAACGTCGTCTTTGATGTTTACGCCAACATGGAGAATGCCGGATTTTTCGATTATCTGGATGACAACAATAGCGAAAGTCACGTTTGATTGAGTCGATAGCAATGTGGTACAGTCAAACCTGGATAAGAACATAACTTATTCCTGAGTTCATTCTATGTTACTAACTAGGTTATAGGACTATCTAGTCTAACTAAAGAAACTGCTGAGCTGAGACTGCTCTATAGGGTTTGTGTAGGTGTCGAACACAGTAGAAGTGACTAAATTAATAAACAATAGTAGGAACTAACTTAGGTGTAATTATGTTAGTTAGTTATAGGAAGTAGGAGAACTAAAGTGAGATAAGCTCCCCTCAGTCACGTGACTCTTGGCATTTATGCCTTAGGCATCTATTCTAGCCCGCCTATCTAGACTATACTATTTAACACTCCTACTTAGGCTAGTATATATATCTCCAAATAAAATCTAAGCAATAGTATATAATCTAAAAGAATTTTCCTTTATCTAATTAGGTGTTAGAACTTATTCTATACTACTATATTATAGTAGTAACGACTATAGTTTAACTCCTAGGCCTAAT